CCCCCCCCACCCCCCCCCCTCCCCTCGCCACGCTACTGGTGAGAAATAGAGAATTAACAGTAATTTTAAATTATTTATGTTTAGGTTGAATGTCCACAAAGTCTCACTTATCTGCACCTAAGCTAAAGTTTGAATTTGGCCTTATAAAGAGGCACTTTTCATCGTCATCATATTTTTCTAATTTATGCTCAAGACACAGACAGCTCCCTTCACTTTAGACGGCCACCGACAATATTCCTGTCAGTTGACAAAAACAGTCCCGGCAGTTGCTAGTCTGCCGAGCGCCTCCGTATCTCCCTTTGCATTCCTTACGTTCTTTTTCCTTGAGGGCGTAAAGTTTAGCGTCATTCCTACGCTGTCATTTGGATTAATTCTTTGGAAGTTTCCCATCCGTCGCCATCTTCTTTTTTTCCGGAAACTGCATCAATTTATGTAAAGTCCTGCATTTGGTCTTTTAGTAGACTTTCTTCAATTGCCATGTTTTTTGCATGGCTGCAAAGGCTTTTTTGACTTTCGAGATGCGTGGTTTAATTTCCTATTTTTGGAAAAGCTTAAACTTTGTAAATCCGTGACTAGAATGACAAAAACCATGAAGAACGACAACACAGTACCCACTTACCTGGTGTGGTCGTTGTCGTTGTTGTGGTTGTGGTGGTGGTCGTCGTTGTTGTGGTGGTAGTTGTAGGTGTGGTTGTTGTTGTAGGCGTTGTTGTTGTCGGCACTGGTGTAGTCAACAGTGCTAGAGCAAAAAAAAAATACAGTTTCAAAATGTATCTTCTTCTTCTTCGTTCTTAATTTTTAGTGTTGGAATGGATTGAGCCTTATCTGCCGGTAGGTTTGAACTCGAGACTATTTTCAATTTAAACAACCATAAGCTTTTGCCGACTCGACCATCACAATTAATGATACGTGTCAACTGGTTATGCGCCCATTGAGGCCATTGACTCCGATTTCAGCCTGCTTTTCTTTTAGGATTTGCTTCCATAGCCTTTGTCGAACCAAGAACAAACCACAAATCAGCAGCTGTTTGATTTTTGGAGTTGTCTCTCCTACACATTTAAAAGCTTTAAAAAACGACATTTGTTCTCGTTTAACATCGCTTAAAAAAAACAAAAACAAAACACATTTCAAGGCGTTAAAAACAAAAGGTGTGCACATTAAAAGGCGTTAAAAACGTTTTTTCTCGTTTAACATCCTTAAAAAACAAAAACAGGCGTTAAAAAACAAAAAGTGTACACATAAAAGGCGCTAAAAGAACCAAATGGTACCCACTGTTAAAGACGAGGTGGGCCTGTTCCCGACATGCCTGTAGACTGGCACAGCAGAACCAGCATCTCTCGTGCTGGATGACGTCACAATCCTGGAGCTCCTGGTGGTTGCAGGCCTGAGGGCGGTCGGGATCGGGGAGAGAGGGGGATAACAATTAACAATAAGTTAAAAATAGACTTAAGGTACGAGTTCGTATTTGATTATTGAGATGTATCGTAGACAGAGTTTCTTCCAGGCATCTTTTCGGGGGGGGGGGGGTTGCAGAGAAATTCTACCGCCCCCCCTCCCCCCGAACGAGATGGAATTTATATAGTAAACTTACACTTTTACTAGTGTCAACCCCCCCCCCCCCCCCGGAAAATATCAAGTGCATCCCCCCCCCCCCCCCCCCCCCCCCCCCCCACCGAAGAAAAAAGTCTGTTAGAAACACTGATCGTAGGCGGGTCTTGTCGCGTCCCCATCTTGTCGCCACCCTACACATATTTGCAAAAATGTATTTACCTCTTATTTAACTAGTTATAAACCATTATGTTGCAAATGTATGGCAATAATAGTATGAATGTCCCTGATCCTAACCTAACCTAACTACTCATCTTAACGTGTATATACCTGATCCTAATGTAAAGTGACTACAACCATGTCTATTAATGCAGTTTTCACCTCTTGGGTGAGCTTATCTTCGGTTTCAGAACCTAATCTCAACATGAATATACCTGATCCTAACCTAACCTGACTACTCACCGGTCTGTTACGGCACGTGAACTCGATTCTGTTTTCATCTCTCAAGTGAAGCGTGAACTCACACACCTGAAACAGGTGTCAAAAATCACGTTAATTAATTTACCAGCTTCATTTCAAGTTGTTTTGGAGTGTATTTAATCATTTTCAGTTAATATACTTTACATACTTAAAATAATTGTTGTAAGTTATTTCACTGTAGTTGTTTATATATATTGTATATATATATATATATATATATATATATATATATATATATATATATATATATATATATATATATACGTATATGTGTTTGTGTGTGTGTGTATTTATATCTGCGTGTGTGTGCTCACGCTTGCATGCTTGCGTCTGCTCAAACGTCTTGAGCTCGGCTCTCGGGTGGAGTTCAGTTAAGCATGATAACGGCTGTCTGACAAAGAAGCGATCCCACACGCCATCCACATTACGATACCACAACTCTACTTCATCTACCCACATTAAGTAAGTGCTGGTACAATTAGAACTAACAGCTGCTGAGCTTGCACAGTTTCAAAAGTTTTTGGTGAAAGTTGAATACAGTTTGTTCTCGATTTTGTCATGATCAAAACCAAGCTTCATCCTTAGTCGGCTCTAAGAAATTGTGAAAGCGCTGATCAAAATAGCTGAAAGGAATGGAACTTTTAACGACTACGTGGGGGCTTACCGCTCTGTCAGGTAACGGAACTCTTTTTTGTGTACTACTCTCGATTATTAATTAACACAGGAGAATAACGGATGATAAGGAGATTCAAGAACAGGTTATTCGTTGACCCTAGCAACGAACGACCTTGAGATAAAAGGTCATGTACTCACGTCGTGATCCTGGTGGCAGTCAATGACCTCAGTGCACGAGGCGGGGTTACCCTTCTCTGTACATACGGGACACTGGATGGCTGAAATCAAAGGGCAGAGGGTCAGTCAAGCAGCAACATATTCAAAGGGCAGATGGTCAGTTATACAACTGACCGAAACACAATCAAAGGGCAGATGGTCAGTTGGGCGGGTGACTTCAACTCATTCACAGACCTAGTATATTGTTACGTTCTTTTTCAGGCGTTGAGAGAGGGGTTCTATGCAGGGGTCAGACACAAAAGTAGGGAGGGGGTAATGAGGACTTTGTGACGATATTTTACAATGTGGAGGTGATTGGGGGAAGGGGTAATTATGACTTCTGTGACGGTGTGTGACAATGTGGGGGGGTGATTGGGTTAAAGGGGGCGGGGGTAGTTATGACTTCTGTGACGGTGTGTGACAATGGGGGGGGTGATTGGGTTAAAGGGGGGGGGGTAATTATGACTTCTGTGCCGATGTCTGAATCGTTAGATGTGACGTGGAGGGACATAATCGAATGTGATGCCCCACTAATGTATTTTTTTTAATTGAAAAAGAATTTTTGCCAAATTCGGTATCCAAAAATGTTTAATAAATTTGTAATTAAATAAATATTTAGTAAGATTTACCCACATACTTAAGTTTAAACAAAAAAAGCTCTTTTTTTTTTTTATAAAGAACTCGCTGTTTTAAAATGCAGCTTTTGCAATTTTAAAGGGGTGAAGTAAGCGGTGATGTGATATTAATTAAGTGGGGGTAATAGGTTTTTTTCGGGGAAGTAATGAACACCACTACTGAAACGAAAAAAAAATTAACTCGGGCATGATATGTTCCACAGCTTAATTTATACAAATATTTTGAGCATGCAAACTACATCAGATTAGCGCCTGTTTTTTTTTTTTTTTTTTTTTTTAGATAGCACATCTAAGATAGATAAAACACACACGAATGAAACCCTAACACATGATTGCTATGCAATCGAAAATCCTAGGGGTGATTTTTAGTAAGAAGTTGGATTGACATTATTGGTTACGAAATAATGTATCTCTCAATCAATTTTGTTGTCCGTATATAGCCTAGACCATAAAGAGTCAAAAGAAGTATAAAGAAACGTGAAATCCAATGTCCTGGGTCCTTGTCTTCGATTAAATATTACAAAATACTAAATTAATTCGGTTTAATACAAATGTAATCACAGAGGCGTTGCGAGGGGGGTGCGGGGGTACGGATCGCACCAGGTGACACCATTTAGGGGGGTGACACCAAGGCAAAAAAAAAAAGTAAAAATATATAGAGGGGGGTGCAAATCGAAAGTTCGAGGAGGGGTGCAAATCGAAAGTTTGAGGGCGGGGGGGGGGGGGTGCAAATCGAAAATTGAAAGTTTGTCCCCGGGAAGAGTCGCTATGCCTCTGGGGGGGGGGGGGGGTGACACCATTAAGTGCCGCACCGGGTAACACCCGACCTCGCTACGCCACTGTGTAATCATACTTTAATATTAGTGGATTATGAGATTATAATAAATCTTGTTGACAATAATTAACTTCATTTGAGAATTGAAGAGTGCGATCTATCTCGTATCTAATTTACAGTGTTAGAGTTGTGTAAAAAACATAAATAGGCCGAAGAATTGATAGATTTACAAAAAAAAAGCAACAAGCAAAAAATGAATGAGCTTGCCACGTAACAAACTGGGTTGTTAAAAAATTAACTTGACCTAGGAAGTTTAAAAAGTTTTAAAGGAATTGTATCTTGATAGTAAAACCGTATTCATCATCCAGATTAGCTCTACTCTCTGGCCCCATAAATCCTAATACATGTATGGTGGGCTTTATAAGTTGTAGAATTAATGTACAGTTCGTGGGGGGAAAACTTTAGCTTTCGCAATAGGCAACTTATAAAGGAATCTACCATAATCTCAAATAGCAGACTAAATAAAAAATTAGCTTTCTCATTAGCAAAGCATTAATTTACGAAATGCTGTTTCGTTCACTCAAACTTCAGCAGCTGTGGTTTTTAATCTTAATCCAAAAACGAATACCCAGTGAAACAAATGATTAGTATGTGGTTCACGCTAAATGTTTACAATCGTAGAGCCGGTTTAGTGACGGCTATTAGGGGCAGATAATTTAGTTTGAAACGATTTTAAACTTAAGGGAGGTAACTAAGAGGAGGCTGCTTTCACGGGGGGGGGGGGGGGGCTTGGGGAAAGGAGGGGGGGAGGTTATCGTCCTTAACGAGCTACTGACAGCGTTTTAAAGCAAATATATTCAGTGGCAGCATTTGTACTGTCGAATTCACAAATTATGAATTACTGAAAAGTAGAAAATAAAACAACTAAATAGAGGCGTATGATACGCTGCGTATGAGATTATTTAATGAATTAAGGTCAGAAAGATGCATTGAAGTAATATGATAATCATATGTCCACACTTTCCTTAAATTTTCTGTAGACATAACGTATGTGTTGTATGTTCTATACATCTGTTTTAGCAACACCTATACATACATAGATAATTCTAATTTGACGTAAAACAGTTTCATCATCGTTCAGAATGTTTAGCTGATGCAGATGGGGTTCGGGGAGTGCTTTAAGATAAAAATACAGAACAGTAGATGGAATATATCGCCTTTATGGTAGAAAAGTGTAGCAGAACTGTGCACTTATTTGTAAAATCAATGTCTATTTCATGTTGCCAATGAACCATACTTGTCGATTAAAGATGAAATATGTCACAAAACTAGCATGCAGATATTTTTGTCGTTCTATTATGAGTATTTCTCATGAAGGGATAGACAATTTAATTAAATATTATCTCTTGATTTAGTTTCTGAGTCAATGCGTTTGTCTCCATCATATAATATATCAGGTGATGTTGCGTTTGTGGTTTGTATTAGGCTGTATGAATTAGTTAAACAAAGGATTTAGTCGCACTACACAACAGTAAATATAGCAGCATCCATTAGCAGATTTAATATGTGGGTGTGGGGGGGGGGGGGGGCGTGAGGGAAAGGGGATATGTCTGAACAGAAAGAAAAACGATACTACTGATCAACGCCGCAGATCGACTTAAAAACAAATCAGCTAACAAACATTTATTAGCGCGAGGGATGCGAGAAGATAATTGACTAGGGTAAAGGGACGGGAATTACTACGGGAAACTGGAGGGAATTATTAGGCAAAAATATGGGATTACTAAAGGAAAAGAGGGAAATATTGAGAGAATTATGGGAAAGGATAGGGAATTATTTAGGGGAAAGGAGAGGAAATTACTTTGGGGGATGGTGGAGGGAACTATATGGGGAAAGGAAGGTAATTACTGGGAGGTAATTACTAGGGGAAGGGAGGTAATTACTATTTGGGGGAGGGGAAGGGAGATAATTACTATTGGGGGGAAAGGGAGGTAATTACTTGCTTACTAGAATAAAGCTTAGATAATTACCAGGGCGAAAGGGAGGGGAGACGCGAGAACATTTACTTACCACTGGCGAAAGCCGCCCAACAGAGAAACAAAATAACTTTGGCAAACATCCTAAGATTAGGGACGCAAGTTCTAGATATGTATAAAAAATGATTACAGGAGGCTCAACGTGACCTTAAATACCATGGGATCTTCACAAGTTTCTAAACAGTTCAAGTTAGATATTTCAGAATCGATACATTAAAAAAACGACAAGACGTCAATAATATTCTAGGACCAAGAATACTTGAAATAATCGTAATCGGGATTGTCAGTGATTAGGTGTTGGTTTTTTTTTTTACAAAGATTTTTTTTTCTGGAAATGTGTGATCAAATCTGTCGTCACGATTCCTGTGGGACCATCAGACAAACATTTCAACGTGGGAAAGCCAGACTGGTTTTATCTATTTAGGTTGAAAGCTGATGTACATGCTTATCTCTGTAGATTGTTGGAGAATATGATTTGTTGTATGCCCGCTGGAAACATTGTTTAATCTTGACTTTACATGTCAGGTGGGAAGTTTTCTGATTCTTTCCAGGGATGGGTGAACAAACATCACAAACTATTTTTTTTAAAGTAATTATTGTTTTTTTTCTTTCTGGGGTTTAGTTTTTGATAAGTAAAACATTAGAGCATGATGATGATAGAGAGTAATAGTAATGAAGAAGTTGGACTTCGATTCATGTCGAAAAGAGAGAAATAGTCTAGACTCGGCCACCTATAGAGGCAAGAAGAGGTCCGCATTTGATGTATTTTAACGTAAATAAAGTTTGCAGAAGTCCGCAGAAGTGATGCATGTAGACATAAAAGCATTTTGCAGAGGTCGGTATTTGATGTAAATTGACGTAAATATTATGAAGACAAAGAAATAGTGCAGAAAAAATTCATGTATATGTGCAAGCAATGCCAATGTACTATCAAGATATCACCTGAACATAACATTAAAAATTGCAAATGCAATCGACAATGCAATTTCTTGCAAGCTGTTTTTTACTACGTGTGTTATGCAGATTTGATGAAGTCCATCCCCCACGGGTAAGTCTTACTGACGAAAGTATCTACATGTGAAGCAGCGAATTACACAATTTACAAAATGGGTACACGACGCTGCCTAAGTCTTTGACTTAACATTTGTACCAGTCTTATAAAAATATTTGCAAGATAATATACAACTGCTTACAAGAAATTGACACGACGCACTGCGCAAGTCTACAATTTATGTGTACAAGATATTGGTACAAGTATAATAGCAATTTGCACAAGATAAACGGAAACTGCGTACAAGACGTGGACACGACACGGTGCCAGCGAATCTACCATCTACGTACACAAGACGTGTAAACAGTGATGTGTCTAAGATAACGGAGTGTGTACGATGTGTTAGTTAGATCCAACCCTATCGCACACACACACACACACATAGACACACACACACCTCGTGAGGCGAAACAAGTGTCTTCCTTCATAACGATCCTTATCTATAGCTTTGACGTGATTATGTCAAGTTAAAGCAAGCTAAGGCATTGACGATTTTAAAAAAAATAAAAAAACATGGCATGAATTTTATGTTTAACACATTTATTTTTGTGACATTTTATTTGTAAGCTTATTTCATTATTTTAATTGGTCTTTTTAATTGTATTTTTTGGGGGGAGGGGGGAGGGTGGAGGGCGGGTTTATGCGGAGGTGCACATGACTCCTACCTCTAAATGTACACCAAGTTTGGGCACAAGGTAGCTGAGGCTAGTTAGCTGTGGACAGCTACCCATCTGGGAGTGAAAACTAAAAACAAACCAAACAGTTGCTGCTCTGCAGATTTTGCATGGGAGGACTAGTGCTATGGAAGCGAATCCAGAAAGATAAGCTGTCTGAGGTCGGAGTCAACGGCCACATGGTACATAACATGTAAAGTGTGTAGGGGAAAATCCCCTTCAATTGTAACAATTAAGGGAAGAATGAAAGGGAAGAAGAAGAATTAAGCTTCAATTATTATGTTTAAGAAATTCTATAATAAAAAACAGTAAACTGAGGTAAATGGCCTGTAGGTATTATATATCACTTCACCAAAAGAACAGACGCATCGGATTTGGCTAAATAGAATGGGGAGGGGTTGACTATTTTGAAGGTGGAGGGGTATAAGAGGGGGGGGGAGATATCTATTCTATAAACATCCTACTTTATTATATTGCTGTATGTTTGTGGGTAACATTGTAGGAAGAGTAAGTTAACAACAATAGCCAACATGTTCTACAACGTTACTACATTCAAAGTAGGTAGAAAATACAATTATAGTACCCAACACTTTATTTTATAGTCACTAAAATTAGGCAGCTCTTATAAAAGTTACAATGTAAATCTATTTTTTTAATTTTTTTATTTTTAAGAGATAAGTTTCTTGGATTTTTTGTACTTTTTTTAAAGATAGTTGACATCAGCAGGCGGCATTTGTTTAAACCAGTACAATAAGGCAAATTTGTAATCAGGGTTAGGTTTTTTGTCATAATATGCACCGGAAATATTTTTCTTTTGGCGCTGTTTGTCAAAAATTGCACCGGAAATCAGTTTTTGGCGGTGTTTATAAATAAAATATATAACCTATAGCGAAAAGATTAAAAAAATGCTGGTATCTATTAATTAAATAATGGACAGTTTTTATGAAATTGCCGAGAATTATAAAATGATGTTTTAAATAGTCTACATTAATGCAAGTAAACGAAACCTGGAAATGATTAGTTGTCTTCTTTCTTCTTTTTCTTCTTCGTTCTTAATTTTTAGTGTTGTGAGGGATCGAGCCTTATCTGCCAGTGGGTTTGAACTCGAGACTTTTTTCGAATTTATCAACCATGAGCTTTGCGACTCGACCATGCTTCGATCACAATTAAGGATTACGTGTCAACTGGTTATGCGCCATTGAGGCCATTGACTCCGATTTCAGTCTGCTTTTCTTTTTGGATTTGCTTCCATAGCCTTTGTCCAACTAAGAACAAACTACAAGGTAGCAGTTGTTTAATTTTGGAGTTGTCTCTCCTAGAAGAGTGGCTGCCCCAGCTAACGAGCCTCATCTGCACGAGGGTTCGAACTCGAGACTTTTCGGTTTAGCAGCCATGAGCTTTACCGACCCATATTATCAATCATTTTAATTAATTTTGGAGGGGATCCCTTCCAACATTAAAAGTATGAACAAAGAAAAAGAAGAAGAGATTGCTAATTTTGCCATGGGGGGTAATTTTAAAAGAAATTCAACATACGCTAAATTACGCTATTTTTAATTCTTCATAAAACGCATTTGAATTTATAAAGTACTAATAATCCGCACTATTATACACACATTGTTTGCTGTTCACTTGCTACGCAAATCTTTTTTCTACAAGATTCTATTATATTTTAAAAGTTTAAGTAATTAAAATGGATTAAAAATCATGTCTATATCCTGAGTGCCAACCCCCGTAGTGTTATATAAGTACATTCAAGATAGTTTAGGGGATTCATTCCCGCTTTAATTTAGCAGTAAATGGAAACATAAAACTTCAAGTAGTATAAGCCTGTGGTCATTGCTTGCTAAGTTAGTAATAAAACAGCTTTTTCTTGAAACCATAGAGTCGAAAAGTTCTTAACATTTGCTGCTTTCTGAGAGTATTATATAGTATATTCAAATTCTGAAGGTTGTTTTTTTTTTCAAACCGAACACGGCGTCAAGTAGGCCTACCACAGGCCTGATATCGGAAATCCACTAAAAATTGATAAATTCTACACCTTTATATGAAATTTCGTCCACCGAACTGAAACGTTACTCAAGTTGTTATTTTCACACAAACACACACACATAAACACACACGCGCACAACACACAGACATAAACACACACATACATAAACAAACACATAGACACACACAAACACACGCGTACTCACGTTCGTGCGCACACTAAATGAAAAACACATATACGCACGCACGCAATAACAGACACAGACACACTCCAACACAAATACGCACACATCCACACACACGAAAGCATGCGAGTACATACAGACACACACACACAGACACACATACAGACACACACAAACACACACACGCAACAAATATATAAACCTATGCTTAAACAACAAATTTAATTGACTTTGGAAGTGTTATGTGTTGAGATTTATATGCTCTTACAGTAGGAGATAACATCTTCTCTAAATGTATTATGATGGAACAATAATATATAGATTTAGGAAATAACCAACCTTAATGACTTTTTGCGAAAAAGTAATAGTTATTTCCCTTTAAATAATATACACATTACCGCGAAGGTTTCTGGTATGAAATAGTTTAACATTTTAATTATATGATTGGCGGCTTCCATAAGGTAGTTTTTGGTAGGGCACTATGTGTTACTCTGCGGTTAGTTTAGCACTTGCGGTCCACTGGTGCTCTTCTAAAGGATTAGTGTTGCATTTACATTAACGGTCAAACTACACATGGTGCTTTATCCGTTGCCAAGACTATTGTGTGTCTAGGGGCGACCCAATCTCCAGCAAGTCAACTGTGGCGCCTACATTTTTTTAAGGAGCGCTTTACACTGTAATTGGTGGGCTGCTGATAATGGGCCTGTGTACAGACAATATTACCTCGCATACACTTTCTACTTTCTTGTATACGAAGTATAAAGAAAGTATTGTAATCGTGCAAAAAAAAATCGAGATTTTTCCAAATCTCGACGTTTTACACCTCCCTGAGTCGGAAAAACACAGTTTTCCAATCTTGTCGCTATGTGTGTGTGTATATATGTGTGTGTGTTTGTGTGTATCTGTAAACACGATAACTTGAGTACTGTTACAGCTAAGTTCATATATAAGTATTATATCAAATGTGTAGATCCTTATCAACTTTTCAGCGATTTCCGATAACCGGAAGTGGAACTTTTACTATTTCAATTTTTCAAAAGCCTATAACTTGAGTACTATAGATAAATGAAATTTTACATATAAGTAAAATATCTAATTCTCTGCTTTCTATCAAATTTTCAGTAACTTCCGTTGACCAGAAGTAGTAATTGAGGCTATTTCCGATTTCTCAAAAACACATGTAAATTTATAAAGTACTAATAATATTCCGCTCTATTATATACATTTTATTTGGTTTTCACTTGGTGTGCAATTCTTTTTTTCTACGAGATTGTATTCTATTTTTAAAAGTTTAAGTAATTAAAAATCATGTCTTTATCCAGAGTTGACATCCCCCGTAGTGTTATATATTATTATGAATAATCGAAAAAGTTTAGGGGAGATCACTCCGGGTTTCTTTATATGGTTAGGCTGGAACAAGTTACTGAAATTGCGTACACAATTGCTCACAAATTTTGTTCGTATTTTATAACTTTTGTTTTTAATTGAATGCCCGGACCTTTTAAAAGCACTACCGGGACAGTGTCCCATTTCACCCTCTTTCCCTAGCCCCGAACGCAACTCGTGATATAAAAGACACAAATCCCCAACACAACAACACGTACAATTTTGAATTCGGTTTTTTCTACAGGGGAAGCAATGCAAGTGTCATATAATCACAAGCAAAAAAACAAGTTAGTTCCCTTTATTTACATCTGCAACTATACGCTTTTAAATACGCTATAATTAATTAGATAATAAGAAGTCAGGGAAAGAAAAGCGAAGGCGGTTGGTCCCAACAAAAACTCAGCATAGTCAAATCTAGGAAATTGAGATGGAATGGGCATGACACACGAAACAATGGCCTGCACAAAACTAAATTGTCAGATTGTGTGTGTGTGTTAGGGGGGGGGATGGATGCAGAGGCGTAGCGAGGGGGGGGGGGCGGGGGTACATATATCCCCGGGCGCCGACCTCAGTGGGCGCCAAAATGGGTTTGAAAAACTTATTGAAAGTTCGAGGAGGGTGCAAATTGAAAGTTTGACGGGGGGGGGGGGGTGTTGAAAATTGAAAATTGAAAGGTTGTTCCAGAGTGGGCGCAAATTTGTTTTAATTTTGTCTGAAAAAAGTGTACAAATTACGTCCCTTTGTACCAATTTCTTCCCTTGAAAGAAAACTTGCAAAAAATTACATTTTTTGTTTTTTTTTCCGATTAAGTTTACCTTTGCATTTATAATTATGTTTGCATTTACGTTTGTGTTTATGTTTCCGATTCTGTTTATTTTTTGCGTTGTTTTTCTTTTTTTTTTTTTTTTTTGGCGTTTGTGTTTTTATTTTCAATAACGTCCACATTTACATTTAGGCATTTAATTGAAAAGTGTATGAATTACCAAACAACGGGCAGCGCAGGGTATATGATGCTTAATGAGCACATCATTCACGGCCCTTTACAAATAAATTTTACCTCAAATGCCATTGCAGAGCCTGACATGAACAGCTAGTAATTAAATATAGCCTATTTTCTATTTTTACTTTCTCGTATATACGTAGTATAGAGAAAGTATTGTAATCGTGCGAAAAAAAAATCGAGATTTTTACAAATCTCGACGTTTTACACCGGAAAAACATACGGAAAAAACATAATTTTGCAATCTTGTCCGTATGTCTGTGTGTCTGTGTGTGTGTGTGTGTCTGTGTGTGTGTGTGTAAACACGATTACTTGAGTACCGTTACAGCTAGGTTGATGAAATTTTATATATAAGTATGTTATCAAAATCGTAGATCCGTATCAACTTTTGAGCGATTTCCGATAACCGGAATTGGCACTTTTTCTACTTTGAATTTTTCAAAAGCCTATAACTTGAGTACTATTTCAGATAGATAAATGAAATTTCACATGTAAGTAAAAGATCTAATTCTCTACCTTCTGTTAAATTTTTTAGTAATTATGAACATCTTTATTCGGCGTTCGCTTGGTATGCAATACTTTTTTCTATGAGATTCTATTTTATTTCTAAACCGGGAGATCACTCCCGGTTTATTTTATAATGTGAGATATTAATAGTTGATCTGTAATTGTCCAAAATAGGTCTAAATGGATTTTAGCCACAGACAGACGGACAGACGGACAGACGGACAGACGGACAGACGGACAGACGGACAGACGGACAGACGGACAGACGGACAGACGGACAGACGGACAGACGGACAGACCGACGGACAGACGGACAGATGGACAGACGGACAGACGGACAGACCGACAGACAGACGGACAGACGGACAGACAGACAAGCAGAGAGACAGATACACATAGACACAGACATATATATATATATATATATATATATATATATATATATATATATATATATATATATATATATATATAAACTTACAGACAGACAGACAGAAACACATAGACATAATGACAGACACAGATAGACAGTAAGACGCAGACAGACACAGACATACACAGACATGCTTAGACACACACAGACAGAAAAAGATACACACACAGACAGTCATACAGACACACAGTCACACAGTCAAACATACAGACAGACACACAGACACTTAGAAACGCAGTCACACAGACAAACACACAGACACACAGACATACAGACTTACAGACACATATTCACATAGACAAAGACACAGACACACAGTCACACATAAGACAGACACAGACACATAGAGTCACAAAACGACAAACACACAGAGACTCAGACGGACAGACAACAGGCAATAGAAGCACTGCTGTACTAAAAAGCGTGCTAGACAGGGTTAAGTTAGTTCATCATGACATCAGTCATTTAAGCAGGTCCGTAAATCTGTAGATAGCACCTTATCTCCTTTTACCTACCACCAGGTGTCGTGTTTTCCGTGACGCCATGTTGACCTGACTTGTCTGCATGTTCATGGCAGTCTTATGTCAAGTAGTTGTTAGGAAAAAATTAATTTAAATTTGAGTATCGATATTAAAGTTATTTGCATTATCGTTTTTATTTTTAATTGATCGAGTATCAAACATCCATGATAATTAGGCTTAACTAGAATAAATATCTTTTTTTTTTGCATATCTAGTGATTCCTAATCTAAAAACCCATATTAATCAAATCCATGTTTAATTTTAGAACAATAATAAATTCGATTTTTAACTCAGGTAAATTGTATAGTGTCGTATCGAAAGTGTAGTTTTTACGCACTTTCCGACTACAAAAAAAAATGTCTTATCTGTTGAAGGGATCAATTTTAACACGACATGTAAAACTAGTTTTTTTTTAACATGCATACATTATGCTTGTGACATATAAAAAGCCAGCTCATTCATGTCACATATGTGTTAAAGTGTGTGATGATATAGATGTGTGTGCATTAAGATGAGGATCGCGAGTGTTTTTGTTTTGATTGGTTTAGTAACAGCGGGCAAAGGTGAGTAGACAGCTTGGATGGGTGGTTAAACAGTTTGGATGGGTGGTTAAACAGTTTGGATGGGTGTTTAAACAGTTTGGATTGGTGGTTAAACAGTTTGGATGGGTGGTTAAACAGTTTGGATGGGTGGTTAAACAGTTTGGATGGGTGGTTAAACAGTTTGGATGGGTGGTTAAACAGTTTGGATGGGTGGTTAAACAGTTTGGATGGGTGGTTAAACAAATTGGATAGGTGGGGTAAACAGCTTTGATATGTGTCTATCTACCCAAGCTGTTTCTCCTACATATCTAAGCTGTTTAACTGCCTATCCAGTTAAACAGCTTAGATAGGCAAGTAAACAGCTTTTTAAGCCTATTGGGCCCATCATCTGTCCATAGAGAGGGGGTGCAATGCGCAATTTTCCAATTTTGAAAATATATATGGTTTTAATGAATTTTATTTTAAGTGTATGTTTTTTTAATGATTAACCCTATAGCTGCCGTATGTCCAGTCTGTACCAACTGGCACGATCATCAGACATGCACGGAAATTGCCGAGTGCCACCAACATCACGATGTGAGTTCTGCGCCGTTTAGAAAATAGAGGGTTTTTTTCAAAGGGAGGTTGAAGGAGGGGGCTTCTATTCCGATTGGTTGTGCAACGTTTTTTTATTCATGTTAGAATTATCAGCACATTTATGTAATATACATCATAATATAACTATGTAATACACAGTTTATAAACTCATGTATCCGATATGTATATATATATATATATATATATATATATATATATATATATATATATATATATATATATATATATATTTATTTATTTATTTATTTATATATATATATATATATATATATATATATATATATATATATATATATATATATATATTTATTTATTTATTTATTTATTTATATATATATATATATATATATATATATATATATATATATATATATATATATAGGTATGCGAATTGATCATTCACTTGAGAGATTTGAACAGGATTGAACTGACATGCCGTAATGCCAATGTAAGTATTCCATTCTTTACACGCTTTCAAATACTTTAAATGCCCTAAAAATAGTAAAATCAATAACAAACTGGAAAAAAATTAAGCTTTCTTTAGATATAATATTGAAAATGTTGGTCACACAATTATGTTGAAAAAGATTTCTGGAACGACCGAAGATTTTTTAAAAATTAGATCTATAGAAAGATACTACTGTTTTATTTTATTATATTCCGTACAATGTCAAGTTTGTTTTATATTCTACACGTTTTTAAGTAAGGGACTGGCTTTTATTATTGTTTATGAGCCGTAGCGTCACTCCCAAAGTTGGGGGGGGGAGAGGGATGGAGGTCCCGGCTGCAAAGAGACACCATTTAGAAGGGAGAACCCGTTAGGAAAAGTTTTAAATTTAGCGTCAAAACAATGATTTAACAAGTTCAAATAAATTTTAAATTATGGGAGAGAGTTAACCTAAAACCAAAATGGAAAATTGTTGGCGGGGGTGGGGTGACAGCCTCAGTTATTGCCCTAGTAGCGCCATAGTTTATGGGGACATTTATGGAGACAGGATTAATTTATACCTGACTTTCTCACGGGCACTACACCTCGTCATAGGGGTCATTCATTTATGACATCCACACAGGGGGGGTCCGAAAAAACTACTTTTGTCGACGCATGTGGACTGTGGAGGGGGGGGGGTTCGGGTCAATGTGGACGTCCACATGTGGGATTAAACCACAAAATACTAAATACTTGCATTTGATAATTTTAAAAATAGAATTATAAACTGAACATAAATTTTAGGTTATACATCAAATCGGCCATTCTCGTGGTAAATGTATCAGAAATTTAGCTGTATTCCGCCCAGATAAAAAAAGCGATAATTTTTTTACAAGCGGGAGGGGATGGGGCTGTGACCGCATCAATTTTCTAAAACAATTCATGGTTTTTTAAGTTTATTTGTAAACATATCATTTAGTCATAAAGAGATGACCACATAGTACTGACCCTATAAAAACTATATACTATACCGGCAAAAAAAATACTCTCTTCTACATAACAATAGCATGCTGCGGTTATATAACTTAACTTTGACTATAAGTTTTACTTAAAAGTCCAGTGTTTGTAAGAATGATACAACTAATCTGTATATACCGTATTGAGTTATTTATGTTTAGATAATTGGTCAGACACGTAAGGGGAAAAAATAAAGGGTCGTATGGTGTGACGATGTGCTGCGTACAGTGCTTTAAACAGATGTGCTCCGTTTTTTTTGTTTTCAATTTTTTACAATTTAATATCTAAAGCCTTTTGAATATTTTTACCATGTTTGGCACATAAAAGTAAGTATTAACAGCAAAAAAAAGGGTTGAAAACAATTTTGGCTTCTTGGAAACCCAAAAAACTTATGCCATTTTGAATTTTTCGGTACTTTTAAAAAACCTACGGCTTTTTTATGTATGCATTCATAGCAATCAAAGTTAAACTACTTATATTTCAGTATATATTAAAACTTTTGTCTCGAAATCTTTTTTTAAAGAGCTACTGGTCAGAATTTTACAAGGTCTGAAAACAGTACCCCTTTTAGTATTCAAAAGTTTCAAAATTGTTTTGTTTTTCGTGGCATATTTTTGCCTAAGTTGAAAGACATTTTGTTTTTTAGGCATGTTTTCACCAAGAACTGCAGGAAATAATATTTCTTCTTTCAGTCGTGTTTTCATCAAGAACTGCAATAATTAACATTTTGTTTTTCAGGCGTGTTTTCATCAAGAACTGCACGAATTAACATTTTGTTTTTCAGGCGTGTTTTCATCAAGAACTGCACGAATTAACATTTTGTTTTTCAGGCGTGTTTTCATCAAGAACTGCAAGAATTAACATTTTGTTTTTCAGGCGTGTTTTCATCAAGAACTGCAAGAATTAACATTTTGTTTTTCATGCGGGTTTTTTATCAAGAACTGCAAGAATTAACATTTTGTTTTTCATGCGGGTTTTTTATCAAGAACTACAGGACTTAACATTTTGTTTTTCAGGCGTGTTTTCACAAAGAACTACAGGACGTAAAATTTTGTTTTTTGGCATGTTTTCACCAAGATATACAGTACTTAACATTTTGTTTTTAGGCATGCTTTCAACAAGAGCTACAGGACTTAACATTTTGTTTTTCAGGCGTGTTTTCATCAAGAATTACAGGACTTAACATTTTGTTTGTAGGCATGTTTTTACCAAGAAATACAAGACTTAACATTTTGTTTGTAGGCATGTTTTCACCAAGAAATACAAGACTTAACATTTTTAGGCATGTTTTCACCAAGAAATGCTAGACTAAACATTTTGTTTGTAGGCATGTTTTCACCAAGAAATACAAGACTTAACATTTTTAGGCATGTTTTCACCAAGAAATGCTAGACTAAACATTTTGTTTTCAGGCGTGTTTTCACCAAGAACTAGCCTACATTACTTAACATTTTGTGTTTTAGGCATGTTTTCACCAAGAACTACAGGACTGTGACGTCCACCACCACGAGCGCTGCTCATTCTGTTGTGTCGGCGAGACAGGCGCATGCGCACTCCAACTGGATCTGCTCTTTACAAGTAGGTCAACGTTCTAGGTCAAAGTGGCCCAACGTCTGGCTTTATCTGACCTTTACGGTGAACCCCTTTCTGGACACAACCTCCAACCAATTTCTGGGACAATTACAGTTTAAAATTGCTGTTAAATGCTGAATTGCTAATTTTCTTATTGTAATCTTTTTTTGATTTAACCTCTAGAGTGCTGTTTTCTTTTCTCGTAATTTTAGTACAGCCTAATCGTGTATGGGACAACGTGGTTGGGTACTATAGCGCACGACTGTCTCGATGATTTTGAACCCCGTTTTTTAAGTCCATAGGATGTCCCTGCGTCCACCCAGCTCTGCTGGGTATCTGTGTTACGTTAAGGAATGTAAGGACGACTGAACATAATGCTGACTACACTTTCTTTTTCATTTTCCGAGATCACAGAAACACTTGCGCTCTACGTCTTTAGCGCATTAGACCGCCAGGATGGAAAGATTATGACACAATTTTGCTACATTATCATTCAACTGCATTTCTCCTCTCATCAGATTTCAGAGTTTTATTTTACTCTGGTTATGTGTCCTTAAAGCTTAGACATGCATCCAGTAATTTGAGTATTTATAGTATGCAAGACAAATGCATAAAAAACACATATAAGTAGGGCCTACCTATTGACTTCTAAGTATCTATACAGCAAAGTTGTCTGATTGTTCAGTCTGGAAAAGCTCATAGTTGCTAAAGTACCAAATTCAAACCCCTGGTTAGATAAGGCTCAATAGTTGAGGACAGCAACCCATCTCGCAGAGACGAATCCAAAATCAAACAACTTCTGCCTTGTAGTTTGTTTTTGGATGAAAAAAAGGTTATGAAAGCAAATAAAAAAAGAAAATCAGGCTGAAATTTTGAGCCAGCAGCCTATAAGACGCTTAAAGTTTGGCACGCAATACTTAATTTATTGGAGAAAATACCGTCCTACATTACGGTTAAGACGAAGAAGAAGATCTACACTGCGCAAAATAGTGGCGCATCTCAAAGAAAATCAAGTCTTAAAGTAAATGTACTCTGCAAGGCAGCAATCTTCTGTAGATAAAGTAAAAGCTATTTCACGATACTAATCGCAGCCTTTAAGATGGGAATGTCATGTGAGTGTAATATCAGGGGCGTGCTCGCAGAATGCATATTTCTTTCTCTTGTTGTTTTATATGTGCAGTCAGTTTAACAAATATATAATTTTAACGTTGTAGATTTTCTTTTATGTCGAAGTGAGATTTTTATTCCCCGAAACCACTTTAATGCTTATCGATCTAACATAGCTAATTAGCTTTGTGGATTTTTTTTTATTCCACAGCTTTGTTAGTACCTGGGGGAGGCGCCTTGAATACAACGACTACGCATGCGACAACGACACATATTGTACCAACAACAACACCTACGCCAACAACGACAACCACTCACCCAACGACAACTACTCACCCAACGACAACCACACACCCAACTACTACCACACACTCAACTACAACCACACACCCAACTACAACCACACATCCAACCACAACAACAACCACACGGCCAACAACAACCACACATCCAACTACTACCACACATTCAACCACAACCACACACCCAACCACAACCACACACCCAACCACAACTACACATCCAACTACTACCACACACCCAACTACAACTACCACACGCCCAACGACAACTACACACCCAACCACAACTACACACCCAACCACAACCACACACCCAACTACAACTACCACACGCCCTACGACAACCACACACCCAACCACAACCACACACCCTACCACAACTACACACCCAACCACAACCACACACCCAACTACAACTACCACACGTCCTACGACAACCACACACCCAACCACAACTACACATCCAACTACAACTACCACACGCCCAACTACAACTACCACACGCCCAACCACAACCACACACCCAACTACAACTACCACACGTCCTACGACAACCACACACCCAACCACAACTACACACCCAACCACAACTACACATCCAACTACAACTACCACACGCCCAACTACAACTACCACACGCCCAACCACAACCACACACCCAACTACAACAACCACACGCCCAACTACAACTACCACACGCCCAACCACAACCACACACCCAACTACAACAACCACACCGACTACCACAACGACACCTTGTAAGTATTGCTCATATCTCATTTTCTAGCATTGTAATATGCATCACCATAGTTATATATGTGTGTGTGTGTGTTTTCTATGTGTTTAATCTTTAGGAAAAAGCTGGAAAGCAAATATACAATTTTTTTGTATAGTAAAACTCCTTCTAAAAAATATGTATAATATAACGCTGCTGGTAGTGTGTCTGTCCTTCTTTCCTTCCGTCATCGCTATAGATTTAAAAAAAAAAGAACCATGCAGTGCTTTTAAATTGCATCGCATTGTCTTATTATGAGTAATGGAATTGGTTTTGTTCATATAAAGACGTACATTTATTGTATAGTTGCCACAGTTTTTTAATATTTTGCATAACGTTAAGAAACTATTAAGTGCCTACACATTACTAAAACATAATAAATGGATCAATGTCAAATAATATTATCGTTTAGATTCCTAGAAATATTAGACACATTTTGATAACAGTAGGGTTGAAAAATTTAAGTAATCAAAAATTTAATACTTCTGCCAGGGAAGGTAATTTAAAAAGAAATTCAACTCATGCTAATTAAAAAAATGTGAATGCAAATTTCGCGGATGTGCAATAGGGCATTATTGTTGGATTATTATAATTACCATGGATTTATATTTAAGTTGTGTTATTGTTATGCGTTTGATTTTGGTTAGTGTTTTATGTGTTTGCATTTGCATTGTGCTTGCGTTTTCTTTTGTGTTAGTGTTTGCGTAAGCGTGATGCGTTTGTGTTGCGTTTCTGCTTGTGTTTTCGTTTTTGTTTTTTTGCGTTTGCATTGTGTTTGTGTTTGCATTGTTTTTGTGTTTGCGTTTTTGTGTGTGCTGTGTTTGTGTTTTCTTTTGTGTTTGTGTTTGCGTTGTGCTTAGTTTTGTTCTGTTCCCAAGTTGCGACATTTAAAAAAAGATTCACTGTGGCGGAGCACTGTATGCAACTAGTTTATTATAAGCAGTGTTAATCTAAACTAAACTCTGCTTCAATTGCTCATCTTTATATATTTGATTGTTCTAAATGCCTATCATTTTATTTTTGTATATTTTTTGCTATAAAAAAATTCATTAGTGTTACTATACACTGATGCAACCGTTTATTCTTCCTACCCCTCAACCACCAACCCCACCCCACTCCCCCACCCTCACAGTACAACCCAACTACTGCATCCAGTGCAACGTCAGTGAGCCGTGTGACGCCTACACCGTTCAGGTCACCCCACCCCGCCAGTGTGACGCCAGCCATCCCTACTGCTTCACCACCATCGTCCAGAACAGCGAGGTCAAGGACATCTACAAAGGGTACAGTATTTTAATTGCGCTGTCTGTGAATTCGATCAAAGTGGAAATTTATTTGTGTTAGGTTCATTTTATGGAGGTCTTAATCGGGGTATTTTGTATGTATAATTATTGCTTCTTCTTTTCTTGCTTGTTCTATTTTGATGACCTACGTATTTTGTCCATACGCACGGTTTCTTTTAGATATTATCTCCCGGGGGTTGGGGGAGAGCAACTTAAAATTTTCTTGTGGGGCGTTGGCTTACATTTGTTAAAGCATATTTTTTCTTCGTACATTATATATATTTTTATTGCGACCGGGTACGGGTGGACTTAATAGGGCTGGTAAGTAGGTCACCAACCAGTTCTACGGCTCAATAAAACCTGCATGAGGCATAGAACTGGTTGGTGACCTACTTACCAGCCCTATTTCTAGTGCATATTTGTCATTCTGAATCTGCAGTGAGTATTTGGAATTATCTTCGTTTAGTATAGGTTCAATCAAGGGCATCAAATACCTTTTTCACGATATCAATTTCACATTGTGCCAGTAATTCTTACGTGCAACCTGTTTCTATTTTGTCCATTTCTTTTAAGCAACTCATTCCTCCTCATCATTATCGTGTCCCGTTCGTTCCAAACACATATGGTGCAGATGAAGTAGAGTTCGTCTGTTTCAGCAAACTAGGTATACATCGGGGACAGTGTGGTCAACACTATGCCCAGGGTTAGGGTTTGTTGCCCTAACGTGTATCACGTACCCATTGTAGCTGGGTGAACTCATAGACGTCTTACAGACTCAAGATTGGGATCCGAACTCGAGACTGATAGGATAGCTAATATAACCTCTATTAATCAACCACACATACTCTTACAACTGATTCCCATTTTGTGCAACTAATTTCTATAATTTCCCAACTAATTTCTATAATTTCCCAACTAATTTCTATAATTTCCCAACTAATTTCTATAATTTCCCAACTAATATCTATAATTTCCCTACTAATTTCTAGAATTTCCCAACTAATTTGTATAATTTCCAACTAATTTCTATAATTTCCCAACTAATTTCTCTAATTTCCCAACTAATTTCTATAATTTCTCAACTAATTTCTATAATTTCCCAACTAATTTCTATAATTTCCCTACTATTTTCTATAATTTCTCAACTAATTTTTATAATTTCACAACTAATTTCTATAGTTTCCCAAGTAATTCCTACTTCGTTCAAATAACTCGTACTTTGTTAAAGCTAATACCTCTGTACCAATCCTTAGTGCATTTAAACTTTCTTTTAATGCATTTTTTGTATTGTTCTGAACACTTACTAAAGCAACACTGATTTCTACAATCTACAATCTACACTAGTAAAAATAATTTGTTTTTAAATACTGCTAGAAATTATTGGTTCATCGTCTAGTCGATTTTTTTTACAAGCTTTTATTTAACTCACTTCCTCGTCGGTCTGTCTGTCTAGACGGAAACGCAGGAGTGAAAATTCGGACAGTTCTACTTGACCGATACGATTCAAAGTTAGCACGTGGGTCAAGACATGAAGACAATGCAATCTGAAACTAAATTTGACTTAATTGGATGCCTAATTAATTTTTTATGAATTAATTAAAATTTGGACCGAATTAGTAGGCATGTCTAGCCAACCACACCACACGCGTCATCACCTTCAATAGCTGCGCCATCACGTAATGGCTGCGTTCAAAAACCATTGCGCGCCTACTGAACGTGATGTTCAGTAGGCGCGCAATGGTTTTTAGTCATGTAACTCTATTGTAAATAAAACATGTAAAGTACTGAAAAAAAAATTCATAAAAAACGTTTTAATAACAAGCTTTTATGTAATGATGCACTAAAAAGTAGAAAATAAATTATAGACTACTATTTAAATAACTATAAAGAAAAGCGTGGGTGTCTTCCTTAACATTAGTAAAGGTATCCAATAGATACTAAAGTGACCCACGCTTTTCTTTATAGTTAGTAGTCTATAATTTATTTTCTACTTTTTAGTGCATCATTACATAAAAGCTTGTTATTAAAACGTTTTTTATGAATTTTTTTTTTTTTAAATTCAATTGTTACCTTGACCTGTGGTCATAAAAAAAAATTAAGTTCGAAGTTGAAAAAACATTGTAATGACTTCAAAACAAATTTAGTGCACTTGTACGCAGCTTATCGCATTTTTAAGTGAAAAAAAAATTAAAATATTATAACCGATTTTGTTATCCAATAATTGTAATGCGTCTTTACACCTTTATTTGCTAGATAAAATGTATGGTCTTTATAATGTCTGTCCAGGTTTAAGGTGAATCATGCCAAGGGGTGGTAAACTAATGTCATTTTTGTACAGTAGTGGTTAAGGTTACTTTCAGGCATATCAGCGGGGGGGGGGGGGGAGGGGGCTAGGAGCGTGTCTACCGAAGACCCCCATCCCCACCCCCGAACAAAATCGAATAAAAAATATAATTTATACAGAAAATATATACTATAACCAGTGTACGCCCCAACCCCCATTAAATTATGTGCGCCCCCTCCCTAAATTTCAAGTGATCCCCACTCCTGACACAGAAAAAAATTCCTGAAAGAAACAATGGTTGCAGCTCCGGCTCAAGTATGAAAACAACAATCTTCGTAAACATTGAAAAAACGTCTCGATCTGAGAGACAGCTCACATATAATATCCAGTAGTTCAGTTAGTCAGATCTGTTCAACACAAGTAAGACTAAAGTTGTGAAGTGTAAAACTACTGCAAACACTGACTTTTTTTAAGTTTATCATTTTTTGTCACTGTGTTGATGATATTATTTTAATTTTTTTGTAGGCACTACATTTTTTTTTCTACATTAATTACCATGCCCTTTGATTAATTAAAAGTTCAATTAAAATAGATAATTATTCACGATTTTACTAATTAAGTAATGATAATTAGATCCGGGTCGCTATAAGTAAAAAAAATGCTGGTGGTGTCAGCATTAGTGACTGGACAACCAACAAATAAGTCTGTCTCCTGCTCAGTGACGTATCTAGGAGGGGTGCAGGGGGACAGTCGCTCCCTTTCGAGCATATTTATAACAATTACCCTTTTTTCGGAAATAAATAATTAAAACATTTATTACATGAGAAAAATTATTAAAATAAGAACTTTTTAGGACAATGATACCCTTTTTAAGGAAACAAAAATTAATTACAACAAGCAAAAACAGTCCGTGATGTATAAACTAATTTATTGAAAGCAAAAAGGAAGCGTCTATCCTGTGGTCGTCGTCTGTAGTAACTGTTAAAGAACGCGCCTATAAGGTCGGCTTTTGATGCAATCGCCTCTCTCCCAATCTTGAAAACCTGCTATCTTTTATGGTCATGCTCCTATCTCAGTTTACATGTAGTCATTTAATGCGGATTTGTTTTTGTTGGTTTTTTTTTTTTTTTCTTTGGTTTTTTAATTTTCTTATATATCTAACATTTAAAATTTACTTTAAATAAAAACGCAACAATATTAATAAATTAATAATTACAAGAACATTAACTAAAATAACAACAACAAAAACAGTAACAATAAAATAAAATAACAATAACACCAATTACAAAAAAAAAACAAGGAAAACCAAAATAACAGGAATAACAACAATAACAACAATAACAACAAAAATAACAGGAATAACAATAATAACAGCATTAACAACAATAGCAACAAAATCAGTAACAATAAAAACAATTATAACAATAAGAAAAGTAACAACAATAACATTGATAACAACCATGCTGGCAATTATAACATTAATAACAATAATAAAAATAACCACCAATGATATCAGTACCCAATACAATAGCATTACCTGTATTAATACCAATACTGATTCTAATCGCATTGTCCATCTAAATCTCACGTATTCGTAATGTACAACAACAATACTAATCAGAGTTCTAATTCTACTGTCCTCAGGTGCGCAGACGAGCATTTTTGCCAGACTCGCTGGCTAGGCTCCACTCAGCACAAACCTCTGTGCTTTGAGAACGACTACACCGGGCTGGTTCTAGACGACTGCACCTTCTGCTGCCGTGGCATCGGCTGCAACCTTCCCGTCAAGCCCTACGACCCGTCCCTGATTCACGTCTTCCCTTGATTAAATATGAATTTTATTAGCAGACTCGTTTTACGTGTACATATTTATTTCGTTGCTTTGTGGTTCTGATTTTTATTTTATTTTATTTATTTTTTGTTTAGTGTATAATCTTATTTAAGTTTGTTGCATTGTTCTCGTATAGTCCTAGTCCTATTCGTTATATTCGCAACTTAAAGTGTATAAGACTACTGGAATAATGAGTTCAACCTATAGTTCAACCAGTTCTACGGCTCAATAAAACCTCATGAGCCATAGAACTGGTTGGTGACCTACTTACCAGCCCTATACCACTGCTTCTGTATAAGGAATTATTGCAAAATCGTGAAATATTTTATCAGTATATTAAAATTTGTTAATTTTACGTAGAGGAGTGTTTACCAAAAGGAAGAGTTGTGACCTGGGGGGAGGGGTTGGGGAGGGGGGATCGCAATGGGTGACACCACTCAAGAAGATGACACCAAAACGAAAAATAGATTTTATGAGGAAAGTCTGGGTTTTTTCAAGTTGATTAAGTAAGTTATTAAAGCTGTATAAACCATTAGCCAAGGGTGATACTACTGAAGCGGGTGACATCAAAGCGAAAAATAGCAAGGAAAGTCTGCTTTTTAAGTTGATTAAGTAAGTTATTAAAGCTGTATAAACCATTAGCCAAGGGTGATATCACCTTGGGTGGGAGTGACACCTTGGGTTACCACACCGGGTGTCACCCGACTTAATGACACCGCTGGTTGTAATAGCATTACATGTCAGTAATTGGGATTCAACATATAGATGTCACGTCTGAGGATGTCACACATGAAGATGTCATTTATAAATAAATAACTTTAAAAAATATATATTTATAACTTATGCAGATGTCATTTATGTATGTATCACGTGTTTAGATGTCACTTATGTATTTTCACGTATGTCGTTGCCACGTATGTAGACGTCATGGATTTAGATGTCAGATGTTTATATTTCAAATGCGTATTTCATGTAGTTAGATGACACGTGTGTTGATGACATGTATGTAGATGTAACGTGAGTATATGTCAAGTTCAATAATACAACCTTTGTATACGTCATCACTCACAATTTTAAAGCTGCTTCATTAAGATAACAGAGAGTCTGTAGGCAAAGGGAGATAACGACAGGTCGACGGGATCAATGGAAACCTACATCAGACAGTTTCATGTAACGGCAATACACGTCATTGATTTGAAATACACTCGTGCTTTTTTTTTTAAACTTAAATGTAGTTACATTAAACTAAGTTTTAAATGTAAAACCCGTTTAAATTTTGGATATAATATAACATTACGAGGTCGTTTGTCCTTGTATCCCAGTTAGAAACGAGGCCGTGAACTCAAGTTTTCGGCAGTTTCGCGGTATCTGAAATTGTAACGTATTCAGTACAAAAAAGCCAGCAGTCTCAACAGTTTAAAACTTTTAAAAGACCCACATAGCCTATGATTTAAACTGCTTCCTTCAAATGCAGCCTACTTGCATTAAACCTAATCATTGAATTATACTAGAAATATGTATTGCCTTGTAGTGAGAAAACGTTTAGTACTTGGTATTACTCCGATGAACGATATTTTGAAACAGAACAGCTTGTCCAGTTTAAGTTTATTTGGTCAAAGCAAATTATGATTATTTTTTCTAGTTACAAAGTTTAAAATATTTTATTTCTAATTTTGTGCTGTTAGTTGCAACAATGGTGTAGCCAATAATTTGTCATAGTATGAGTTCTAAAAACGCTATCGATTTATCTAATATATAAAGTTTAATTCTGTATGTGGCGGGCGGACAGCGTGATGACAAAGAATTATAATAAATTAATAAATTAATTGACTTAATCGCCATAGTGTGATATATCTAAAGTGGTCTTCTTTTATATTAATGATATAAAAAATTAATATTTCATTTCCCTAGCCTATACTGTTAATTGACGGCATGTGCATTAAACAAATATAAAGAAAATGTATCATCCTTCACAAAAATTCTAATTAAGTCTGAAAATTATTTACTTTTATCCCTTTAGCACTCATTACGTCCTCTGATAAAATTGAAAACACAATTACTTCCCTTTACAAAAACCATTACATCGGGGTAAAAAAAATATAAATGAGTTTACTAAGTTGAATCAGGCGGTTCCGCCGGCGCCCCAGCATAGTGTGCTTTGAGGCCACGGGCTAGACTGTGAGCACTTTGCGTTTGCATTTTAATGTGTGTTTATGTTAAGTTTTGCGTTTGTGTTTCTATTTGTATTTGTGTTTGCTTTTTTGTTTGTGTTTTCTTTGTGTTTGGGTTTGCGTTTGTGGTTGGGTTTGTGTTTGCGTTTGCGTTTTTGTTTTTGTTTGTGGTTGGGTTGGGTTTGTGTTTCTGTTCTTATTTGTATTTGTGTTTGTTTTATGTTTGCGTTTTTTTTCTTTACCAGTAGTAACAAAAAGAATATAGAAAAACAACTCGACTTAATCGCCATAGAGTACTATATTTAAAGTTCTCATTATCTAAATTAGTTATTTAAAAAAAAATATTGAAGTTTTTTTTTTTTTTTAACAAATTTCATTCTCCAAACTTACAGTGACTTATTGATTTATTCATTGGTAGATTAACCACATTAATTTTTAAAGTTTGAAAAAACGACTTTACTTTGAGTGAATAGTGACGTCCCATGATTTGTTTACTTTTTAGTACAATAAATGGCGGCTCCATACAAGATTTCGTATCTTATTCAGGTGTTTAACGCGTTCTAAAGCTAACTTTCTGTCGGCTTTAACTGTAACAATACGTTTTAAAAAGTGCGGTAAGCCGTGGGTATAAAAGGGTTACTATTGTCGTTCTGCAAATAATAACCAAGGCGTATATAGGAGGGGGGCCCAGAATTTTTTTTTTGCGGGGTGGCCCTTTTTTTCTTGTTCCGCCACTGATCACTACAAGTGTTTCCACAAGTTGACTATTATTTCTTCATACCATTAACCTGTAATATCTCCTTAACGCTCACACGATCAATATCATGGATGTTGTTACCCACCCCCACAATTGATAAAATAAATACAAAAAACATTTGATAATAACACGCTTTTAAATGCACTAAAAACAAGATAATTTAAACTATTTGTCTTTTTTTTTGGTTGCTAAAATATAAAAGAGATCTCATGAGCAACCAAAGTTTTTGGTAATAAAGTTTATTTTTATTTCAATGCATTTAAAAGGATACATAAGGTTCCTGGTGTAAATTTCTTTTAACAACAAAGATTAATGTAGTTTGCTACATTAATTTAGAGATCATATAATTACTGCTGACGTATTTTTTCCCCAGACATTTTTATCAGATAAGAATTGACTCGCACATGTCGTGTCTTGTTTCATTTTTTTAAGAATCTTGGAATTTTATCAGATTATATTTAAATAATGGCCATTGCCGTCATGTTTAAGTCTACGCTAATCTAAACTCCGTCTATCACGTTTTTTTTATTGTTTGATGCAACAAGCAGCCGCGTTGTACTACGTGTAATCAATGTTGTTTTTTTAATTAGTTTCAATATTGTAACAACACTGATTGTTTTTTTTCCCACAATTAATATAAAAAAAATTCACGGTCCTTTGGGCAAGTGAAGTAGAGCTCACCTTTTTCTGTGACCTCAGCATAGGAAGGGATAATGTGGTCAGCGCTATGCCCAACCGCCTTTACTTTTTCTAACGTGAGCTAGGTACCCATCAGAGCTGGGTGTACTCAAGAACATTTTACTGACCTAAACACTGATTTGAACCCGTTAAGCCAAGCAGGTCCCACTTATCCACGCGGATTTTTCAGAACATGTGAGATTTCGTCCATGTGCGTTTTAGAAGAGTGGGTGTGCAAGGTTCCCAAAAAAACTGCGCAAGTGGAAAATTGCGCAACGGAAAACTGTGCAAACAGAAGAAAGCGCAAACACAAATTAATTATACTTATACACTTTGTTTTTGTCATATTTCGTGGATATATGATTTATTAAGATATAATATACATGTATTCACTCTTTAAGCAGTTCTGTAAATGCTCGATTTAAGAAAACAAAATGCTATAGCGTTATTTTTTGTGCGCAGTTTTCCGTTGCGCAATTTTCCATTGCGCATCTTTCCGATCACCGGTTAGCACAGATGGTGTTTTTCAAGATGTATTAATGTATTTTGATCTTGACTTGTTCGAACAAATGTTAATTTTAAATCTTTTATCTAGTACTCACTCTCGCCTTTTCTTCCCCTATCCCAGACACAACACTCCTTATCCCACAAATCTCACATCCCATCCCCCACGTTATACGAAACCACATCGAAGCCGCTCATTAAAATGTAAACCTCCCTCCCTTTTCACACTCCTGACCTATTTTTTTGACGATTTATTACTCACATTTGAAAAAAAAATACACGCATCAATTGACAATACTTAGTTTATTTAAAGGCCTTTAAGCGTGAAAGACATAAATAATGTTAAAAATAAACCAAAATCAGACAAATACAAGTGGAAAAAGATGTGGACTGCGCATGTCTGAATTTAGCAGTTAATGATGCAGACTGCGCATGCCTGAATGTAGAAGCGGCTGTAAAGAAGTGGACTGCGCATGTCTGAATGTACAAACATCGGGAACTAGAACTTGACTAGAGTAAGATCATAGGGCTTGACGGGAAGGTTGCAGCCGACGCCCGTGCAGCAGAAGGAACAGTCTAGAAGCAGGTCTGTGTAGTCGTTCTCCAGGCACTCGGGCTTATGAATGGTCGTCTGCCAATAGTTGGTCAGACACCAGTTCCTATCGGCACATCTGAAAAATATATGTAACATGTATGCAGTGGGACACAAGATCATATTGATGTCATCAGCTAAATACGTGATATAGTTGGTTGTGTTGTTCTTTTGTCTTCCTGATGAAGACGTGATGCCGAAAGGTTTCAAGTGTTTCGTTAAAGATTTGAGACCTTTTTTTTTATTCTTGGTGGCAAATTTGAGGAAACAGAATGAGCAATAGAATTACCGCTAGGAAACAACAGTATAAAAGATAGAATTATTGTTAGAAAACACCAGTATGCACGATAGAGTTACTGTTAGTAAAAACCGTAATATAAACAACATAATTACCTTTAGGAAATACAACATAATGCTAGAATTACTGTAAGAAAACATAAGACTAAAAGATTTAATTATGACTTAAATGAGTAGGTAGAAGAAGTATGTTGAGGTAAGCAACTGACCCTTTGTAAATATTCTTAACGTCCCTGTTCTGAACGATGGTGGTGAAGCAGTAGGGTGTTGCGGCGTCGCACAAACTGGGGGGCGTCACCTGGACTGTGTAGGCGTCACACGGCTCACTGACGTTGCATTGGATGCAGATGTTGGGGGCTGGATGAGATCAAGAAAAAAAATGGTTTGTGGTGATGTAATGCTATAGTGCTGGGGGGGGGTCACTGGTTATTTTAAATTTGGGTGAACGGAATCATGCGCAATAGAAAACTGTCTAAACAAATGTGAGCATGAGAATTTCTAATTTTATTTGTTGATCACATGTACATTAAAGTAAAATAACACATTTTTCCACGGAATATCACAAAATTAAAGTGTATTAGTGTAATTAGTTTGTATTTGCGCAGTTTTATGTTTGCGCAGTTTTCCGTTGCGCAGTTTTCCGTTGTGCAGTTTTCCGTTTGTGATTTTTTTCTGGTAACCATTAATTTAAATGCCGAATTTATACTTTTATTATTATTATAATTGCCCCCACCCCCAATCCCTTCCAGACGATTCGAAAGGTCTTCAGGAGCTAAAGATCTGAAAGAAACTCTGAAGGGGGGGCGGGGGGGGGGGGGGAATGAGATGTGCTGTTGTATTGATTCCATTTTGTAACAATTTATGACTCTTTGGTGTAAAAGAAATGTTAAGGAAAACAAAACTTTAAAATCTGTGAACATTTTTGAAAAGTGGATTTCATCTGGAAGTCTTGTTCGTCAGAAGCGATATATATATATATATATATATATATATATATATATATATATATATATATATATATATATATATATATATATATATATATATATATATATATATATATATATATATATATATATATGTATATATATATACTTTTATATATATATACTTTTATATATATATTCATTTATTTATATATATATATATATATGGATTAAAGAGGATTACATATATATATATATATATATATATATATATATATATATATATATATATATATATATATATATATATATATATATATATATATATATATATATATTTTTTTTTATATATATATATATATATATAAATTATACAGGCCCTATATATATATATATATATATATATATATATATATATATATATATATATATATATATATATATATATATATATATATATATATATATATATATATATACTTTTACATATTTATATATATATATATATATATATATATATATATATATATATATATATATATATATATATATATATATCAAGATATATATATATATATATATATATATATATATATATATATATATATATATATATATATATATATATATATATATATATATTAGTTCAATTACTTTAAGAAGTTCTTAATTTAAAAATATCTCATACCAGCTGTGGTTGTGGTGGTAGTAGTTGTGGTCGTTGGGGTGGTTGTCGTGGTGGGTTTCGGTGTGGTGGTGGTAGTGGTGGGTCTTGGTGTGGTAGTCGTGGGTTTCGGTGTTGTAGTGGTAGTGGTGGGTGTGGGTGTGGTAGTGGTGGGTTTAGGTGTGGTAGTTGTAGTGGTGGGTGTGGGTGTGGTAGTGGTGGGTTTAGGTGTGGTAGTGGTAGTTGTGGGTATGGGTGTGGTAGTTGTGGGTTTAGGTGTGGTAGTTGTGGGAATGGGTGTGGTAGTGGTGGGGATGGGTGTGGTAGTGGTGGGGATGGGTGTGGTGGGAATGGGTGTGGTGGGTTTAGCTGTTGTTGTATCTGGGACTGGTGTTGTTACGGGTGTCGGCGCGGCTGTAGAGTACCCAAACAGTGCTGTGGATTACAAAAATATATGAACATTAATTTGTACAGTTTAGCTTTCATAAAATAGAACGTTAGAATATCGTGAGCCAATAATGTAATCTATAAAAATCAGTAAATAATCAAAACCAAATACTGTCATCCATGTTGTAAACACAATAAGGCTGGTAAGTAGGTCACCAACCAGTTCTATGGCTCATGCAGGTTTTATTGAGCCGTAGAACTGGTTGGTGACCTACTTACCAGCCCTATTGCTAGACGTCTTCTGCGCTCAATATAATTTTTATAAATAGCCAACTTTATTTTTTTGTGAACGGCGCGCGTGCATTTTAATGTAGTGACTAAAATAATCAGCGAACTAATTTTTTTTTTTTTGCAAATGGCGCGCATGTATTTAAACATATTGATTGAAATAAATAGCGAGTTAAATTTTCGCGAATAGCCCAATTTTCAAAAAAATTGTTCTATCAGTTTTTTTATACAGAATAACTAGAGAAAATTTTGATCAATTTTAATAATAATTGAGAAAGTTATTTAAATGTTACATTTTTTTATCCAAGATGGCGGCCATCACCATGGCAAATTTTTTTAATTTTTAGACTCTTTGAGTTATAAATATATGCTACATATGATAGTATTTGGTTTATAAATACGCATTTTTGCTAATTTGATTTTCATCACCCGCCATGCTCTTAAAATGTATTGACTAAAATAGCGAAATAAATGTTTGCGAATGGCGCAAACGTTTAAACGTAATGACCCAAATGTAAACGAGCAGCTTACACTCAAAGACCGTGTGAGCTTGCATCTTGCAGGCGTCTAGACTGGCACAGCAGAACCAGCATCTCTCGTGCTGGATGACGTCACAGTGCTGGACTTCTTGGTGGTTGCAGGCCTGGGGAGGGGGGAGGAGGGTGGGGGTAAGGAAACACGTCATTGAGCTTCGACACTAACATGTCATTGAACTTTTGAACTCTGATATTAACACGTCATTGAACTTTTGAACTATGTCATTAACACGTCATTGAACTCTTGAACTCTGACACTAACGAGTCATTGAACTTTTGAACTCTGACATTAACACGTCATTGAACTTTTGAACTCTGACATTAACACGTCATTGAACTCTTGAACTCTGACACTAACGAGTCATTGAACTTTTGAACTCTGACATTAACACGTCATTGAACTTTTGAACTCTGACATTAACACGTCATCAAACTATAAACTTATATTTGGATTTCTCGTCATAGAATTTTGACACTTACACGTCATTCAACTAGAAACTAAAATTTGATTTTTTTTTTGTCATTGAATGAATTCTGACACTAGGACATCATCAATTTTTTTTTTTTAAAGTTTGATTTACATTTAGTCGTATGTCTATATCATTGAATCCTGACACCAAGACATCATTAAAAAAACAACTTAAGTTCGATTTACATTAAGTGTGTTTTGCACTGAATTCTGATATTACTTTGGTGTCAAACTAAAAACTTAAGTGGTTTTGTTTTATTATCTTTTTTTTTTAAATTCTGGAACTAGTAATTCATAAAACTAAAAACTAAAATTAGAAAAAAAAATTGATTTCGTTTCTTTGAATTCTCAAAATAACAGGTTGTTAAACTAAATCCTAAATTTGAATTAATTCGGTGTAACGTTATTGAATTTACAGTTACTAAAAAGATCTTTTCGGTGGTGGGTGGGGGGGGGGGGGGAGATTAATACTAACTAAGTATTGAAAAAAAGAAAATACAGTGTATATACTGAATTATGTAGGCCTAACTTAGCCAATACTCCCCCCTCAACGAAAATTTATCCCCGTGGCAGTTTCAAATACCCCCTCCCCCCCCCCCCCCCCCCGGAGAAAAAAAAGCATCGTCTAATTAGAATATAACATTATAACAATACATATATGTGTTTCATAAGGAGACCCACACATACGCAGCTTGAAATAAATCTGATTGCTAGAATCAAGACGCGGTTGATAACGTTTTCCTTCCAGATAGACATGACAGTATAACGAGACATAAAGGGAGATAACAACTCCTCTAAAACATGAACAACTCACGGGTCTGTTTCTGCAGGTAAACTCGATTCTGTTCTCATCTCTCAAGTGTAGCGTCATCTCACACACCTATCGTGGATAAAGTGTGAAGAACTTCAATAGCTGCTTAGTAAAAAAAAAACTAATTACGTCTCATTAGTGTAAATATTTCTACATATGTGGTCCCATGGTCTAACAGAACACTGAATAATTGAGACTTGGAAACCAAGCACAAGTTGGCATCAGCAGTGTGACAGAAGCTGCCTAAAGGAAATTAGAATTGGTAATCCTAGCGTCTAGGGGCCTCTGCTTAATTTCGTATTTTTCTCTCCTAAATGGGTTGCTGTTCTTAGCTTTCGAATTCCACTTGCATAGGTGGTCTAAACAAGGGCCTTTCAGAGTTGACAAGCATGCGCTTACAATCTTATTCTTATATATATATATATATATATATATATATATATATATATATATATATATATATATATATATATATATATATGTGTGTGTGTGTGTGTGTGTGTGTGTGTTTGATTGTGTGTGTGAAAGACAGAGTTTTTTTTTAAGTTTGTTTATATTTAAATATAAGGCATATATACATAAAAAATACCTTTTGAAAGTGATAGTTTTGGATCAATATAATTATTTCCAAAATTACAGAGCAACTAAACTTAAAAACAGATAGCATTGATCCTCATCTTTTCCCGTTCGTGCCCAAGACACATGCGTCAGATGAAATAGAGTTCATCTGTTTCAACTGACTTACATATGAATGGATAGTGTGGTCACCACAATACCCAGCCTTTTAGTTTCATAGACCTGGATAGACTTGCGACGTCATGCATTCGCGTGATCCGAACCTGTGACCTTAGGGCTAGCACTCAAACATTCTACCATTCAACAACACAGAAAGCATTGACAGCCAGAGGTAAAGCCCCCATTCCAACCCCTGACCCCTGTACCAGCGATCAATCAATGACGTCACTTACATCGTGATCCTGGTGACATGGAAGGATCTCTGTACACGATGCTGGGTTGCCTTTCTCTGTACACACTGGGCACTCCATTCCTGTACACATGAGGAGAAGAGAGGTGTTATTGTGTGGTGTCACATGATGTGTACATGATATCTGGATAGATATGGGTGTACTTATCATCTGGGTAGATACCTGATCATAAATTATCTGAGCATATACCTCTGTATATAATATCTGGATAGATATGGGTGTACATATTATCTGGGTAGAGACCTGATCATAAATTATCTGAGCATATACCTCTGTATATAATATCTGGATAGATATGGGTGTACATATTATCTGGGTAGATACCTGATCATAAATTATCTGAGCGTATACCTCTGTAAATAATATCTGGATAGATATGGGTGTACATATTATCTGAGTAGATACCTAATCATTACCTTAGCAGATATATGTACATATTATCTGGACAGATACCTGTGTGCATATTATCTCGGCAGATACGTGTGTAGACTTTACATATCTTGGAAGACACGTGTATATATTTTATCTGTACATATACCTATATGCTTATTATCTGAGCAAATACCCATATTCGTATTATTTGGGCAGTTATCTGTCTGGGCCGATACAAGTACATATTTTCTGGGTACTTACCTGTGTATGGCTACATATTATCTGGGCATATATCTATACATGTATTATCTAGGCAGATACCTGCACATAATATCTGCTATACATTTGTGTAGGCCGGTGTATTATTTGAGCTGACAGCTCTCCAACATTGTGGACACGATATCATCAATTTACTACTGCTCTCAACTGCATTGCAGTAGCTAGTTAAATGCTTATCAAACTACCTGTAGAACTTTACTAGTATATTTCTTAATGAAAAGTGAAATAATGTTAATAAACTTGACCTTTTTTGTTGGGAGGGGGGGGAGCTCTTGGTTTTTGTGACGATTTCAGATGGAGGGGGAGAGGGAGAGGTACGAATCATACAAAAGCGTGCAATCATTTATGAATGAACCCTTAGGTAGTATTTATGAGCAAATTATTTTATCACTAATATGCTACATACACATGTTGAAATTGGCACTGTTATCAATGATAATTAGCGTTTAAAGTAATGTAGATTTTAGTTTTAAGATGAGTTGGGTTAAGTTGCGTCGATTTCAATTTTGTGTATTAGTTTTAAACTACATTAATATGGCGAAAATAGGTTTCATGTTAAAGTTGGATAAGTCTTTCGTCTACATTTGTGACAAAATTTAATATTTGGCTTTTTGGTTGATTGCTGTAGTTTTAATAATTTTTTGATAAAACCCAATATTTTATTTAGTTTGTGTAACAGAATGCTTATATAATATTGTCATTTCGGAATGCTGTAATTTTAACAAATGTATTCATAATGGCAATTAGAGCTAGTTTGGGGTTTAAGATGGATTTAATGTTAGGATATTTTTATTCTAGATTTTAATTTACGAACCGATTTACGTTAAATCTAAATGCATAATCTCAATCGTCCCTCCGTGTTTCTTATTGATGAAAAAGAATAAGTTAAAAATATAATAAAATTGATACAGAGTAAAAGGATATTAAAGGGTTAAGTTAACTTTTTTAAAGATAAAAATATTTTCTTTACAATTAACACGTACTTTATCTTAAATAAATTATATTGTGGTACATAAATAAACTAAGATAACTGATGATTTCACTGAATATATGTTGATTGACATCGGAATCTATTTGCCAAGAAGATGGTAATTATTTTCTAATAGAAAGTTTGCAGGAATTAAAATGATGATTGAAGTATTTGATGGTCTTTTTAAGATTACATTAATCTTTTAATGGCCAGTTCGCCGCCTAGCCGGGACGGCTAGTATTCTCATAAAGTAGAACATTGAGAAATTTTCGCCTCTATATTCACAAAGGTATACTATTTCTAGATCCTGATTCTTCTGTTATATAACACCACGATCATGATATGACAATATACAATAATGTTTAGGGGGCTTATTCCTAATTTAAATATTAATAATTGTATTAATCTTCAATTTTTCAAAACTAATTGAATTGCTTTGCGAATTGAATCCCAAATCCTTTGTCGTAAGTTAATTATCTGATAATTTTAACCAATTGAACTTTTCAGTAATAATTAAAGATATTTTTTTTCTCTTTTAAAAAAGAAAAATAAATGAAGATATTTTTTTTTCATTTTTTTTTTTTTTGTTTTTTTTTTTTGTTTTTTTTTTTTATTAATTCAATTGTTCTAAACATTTAAATCAGTAATAATATATTTGATAGATTTTACACAGCATCAAAGACATGAACAATGAACATCAATTGCATATATAATAATCAAAGGGAGAAAATAAAATGGCATAAGAACTAGATTAAAATAAGGTGTGCAAACTAGGTTTCTCTCGACTGCTTAGTTTAGTGTGCTGCGGAGTCAAAAGTTCACATTGTAGCCACCCATGGACAGAAATAGAAACGACCGTGGGAGAAGTGTCTCTGTAATACACATACTGATCTATCATTCCAAAACTTTCCATGATATAAAATTGACCCTTGGCAATGAGGGCACGCTACCTTAAAATATCCGCCAGTCCGGTTTAGTGGGGGGGGGGAGTGTGTGTGTGTGTGTGGAGGGGGGGGGGTGAGGTGTCTATCTCTTTCTACCATTCAGGTTGTGCACTTTTAAAACCCGGGAAACAGAAGACTGTTCTAATGTTCATTTACTTGGGGGCTGATCGAGTGATGTTTGGCTTGAGGCTGTCTAAATTAAAATTAATACTTTATTTATTTATTTCCGTTATATTTCTTTTTTTCTCAGTTAACCCTTTATTGCATGAATTATTGGTTTACTTGGTAAAAAATTTTTGACTTCATATTTCTACAGCAAATGGACTAACTTGAGATGTAGGGAATTTTTTTTTTGAATAGATGATAAATATCACAACAATTTTGGTCGTTGCAATTCTGCAACTATGCTCAAGGGTCAAACTTTTTTTCCATAATAAGAAAAAAAAATATTTATATAGAATTGTTGATATAAATGTAAATAACTTGTACAAATCATTTGAGAGTAACAATAGTAACATGTAAGTTTCTTTATGATGAAAAGAACAGTAAAATCATGTACACTGAAAGAGAAAAAACAACTGAAAAATTACATGCAGGTTTATTTAGTAAAAAGTTTATAAGCATTTTTTTTTTGCTATACAGCAAACTTTGTGCATTGTTGGTGCAGGACAACCTGCAACTAAATGATGAACTAAATGATATTGTCTATGTAAATCTTGAGCCCAACATATTGGGGAACACTCTGTAATAATGTCCGCTCAATATTAGCAACAGCACTTTGTCATCTTGTCCTTTTGTAGCTTTACCCGAATGCACTTCAAAATCTTGGATTATACAAGTTGTTGGACACAACAAAAACTTTGTAGCCCATCTATATGGCTTTCTATGGTTGTAGGTTGAACTGCTTTTGCCTACGATATGTGAATGGGTCGATTTGCTCATGAATACTTAGAATCTCAGATGGCATGGGGTTTGATAAGCACAGAATTCCTATATTGGTCAACTTCTTCTGCCCTTTGAACATTGTTTGACAGGTGTAGCTTAATCTTAATCCACTCAAATCTATTGATGGTTATGTCTGTGACAGTAACACATTATGTGGCAAGGCACCAAGATCTTTGGTATCTAGAATTTTGTTTTACAATGTTTATGTAAAACACAATTTCCAGGGAATGTTTTTGTTTATCTTTATCCAGTACTAGTGGATTGTTTATGTCCTGCTGAGGACATTGTTTGACAGGTTCAGATTATTCTTATTCCGCTTGAACGCTATGCCATATAGGGTTAAGTGAGAGTTCCCAGTCTATGTCTTAGCTTTGCTTGAAATATTTCTTTTAACTCGATGTCCGTGTATTTTGTGAAAAAATATCTGACTTTATTCCTACTTTGCCATATAGTCCAGTGGTTCCCAACCTTTTTCGAGTGGCGATCCCCTTTTATAAAAAGTAAGTGACCCGGGACCCCATAGAATTAAAAAGCCGAAGTTAGTATGGAAATTAATAAGCACTAAAATAAGATTTTCTAGTAGACTTTCAATATGAACTACTCTTGATAACTATTTTAATAACATGAGTAAAATTGCATACTATTCACTAAACATTCGTGGTTAAGTTTTTAATTTTAAAAAAAATTGTTAACGCCAACCAATGTCATTATAATTATCTTAATTTGGTTTTTAATCGAAGAATAGTGTTGAAATATATTCTCGAAAAGTCAATCAATTTTACGTTTGGGTATGAATGGAGAATACTACACCAAAATTGTGTCTGCAGTTTTTCATCTTACTCGGAATCATTCTGCAAATCAAAGAATTCATCTTGTAATTCATTGGGAATGCTGGCAACATCAAGGGAAGAAGAGAATGGGTAATGCGTAAATGCAGATTCTTCTTTTTTCAGCTCAGAGAAATAGTGATGCAGTTCGTTTTCAAGAGATTCAAGATGCCCAGAAATTGCTTCTATCAAAATTTTAATTATCTCACAATCAGATTCATCTACCACACCGCAGAGTTTCTCAAATTTACAATATTTCCAAGATTTATTTTCTTTACCGATTTTACAGATTTGATAAAAATGCCCCGAGATTATCATGGCAAGTTATAATATTCGTTCATTTTCCCTGAAGCTTCAGGTTAAGCTTATCTTGATGTTCGAACACATCTGCTAGGTATGATACTCTCTCCAACCACTCTATGTCGTTTAAGTATACCAAAAAGTCTTTTTACTTTCTCGTATATACGTAGTATAGAGAAAGTATTGTAATCGTGCAAAAAAAAAAAATCGAGATTTTTTCAAATCTCGACGTTTTACACCTCACTGATACGGAAAAACATAATTTTGCAATCTTGTCCGTATGTCTGTGTGTGTGTGTGTCTGTGTGTGTCTGTCCGTGTGTAAACACGATAACTTGAGTACTGTTACAGCTAGGTTGATGAAATTTCATATATAAGTATTTTATCAAAATCGTAGATCCGTATCAACTTTTGAGCGATTTCCGATAACCGGAAGTGGTACTTTTCCTACTTTGAATTTTTTAAAAGCCTATAACTTGAGTACTATTTCAGATAGATAAATGAAATTTCACATGTAAGTAAAAGATCTAATTCTCTACCTTCTGTTAAATTTTGAGTAATTTCCGTTGACTGGAAGTAGTAATTTACGCTACTTCCGATTTCTCAAAAAACTAATGTAAATTTTAAAAGTACTAATAATATTGCGCACTATTATGCGCTTTTTTTATTTGCGTTCACTTGGTGTGCAATTAATTTGTCTACGAGATTTTATTCTATTTTTAAAACTTTAAGTATTTAAAATGGATTAAAAATCATGTCAATAGCCCGAGTTTCCATCCCCTGTTATTTTATATAAGAATATTCGAGAAAGTTTAGGGGAGATCACTCCCGGTTTATTTCCTTTGCACTTCCAAGAACAATTTGATTTCAGATTTCAATTCAAAAACACAATTTACATTTCGTTTGACAGCCAGCGTACTGTAGTGTAGAAGAGCAGAACCTCGTGTTTCTTCCAGACTTTTTTCTCCGGGGGGGGGGGGGGCACTTGAAATTTTCGGGGGGGGGGGCGGGGGCGGTAAACTTTCTTCGGGGGGGCGGACACTGTTAAAAGTATATATTTTCTATATAAATTATATAAATTTCATTTCGTTCGGGGGGGGGGGCGGTAAAAAAAAGAGATGCCTGGAAGAAACTCTGCTCGTGATCTTAATGTTTTTGCTCAGTTCTTTGAAGGCTCCAGATTTTATATAATTTACGACTTATACTAGCACTGGACTCTTGATGTTGATTGGTTAGGGCAGTGGTTAGGGAGCTAAATCTTTTCTGTTTTCTGAAAGCCCGATTTTGAGCTAAACATAGATGGCGCACCATCCGTACAAACCCCCACAGCCGTTCTAACCCATTTTAATCATCCAGTTTCAAAAAAGGTATTTATTTTCTCCATGCTATCTTCACAAAAGAGCAACTCTTCTTTGCTATCATCCGCATGAATATAGACACAGACCAGCAACTGCGAACACGAACTCACGTCTGTTGATTTATCAACTTGAAAAGAAAAGAAGGGTGAAAGCTTAATTTCGATAAAAATGTAAATCTTTGCTATCATCCGCATGAATATAGACACAGACCAGCAACTGCGAACACGAACTCACGTCTGTTGATTTATCAACTTGAAAAGAAAAGAATGGTGAATTTCGATAAAAATGTGTTATTTAACATTTACGTACATTCAGCGTTTGATGAGATTTTCTCCTATTGTTTTTTTTTTTTGCTTGGCATTTTCTATAGCGACTTCATTTGATGCTTGCACTAATGCTGGTGAAAACTTCCTGTTCGATCAAGTCTCTGGCGTTTGCAACTAGCTTCTTTTTACAGTACGCTTTGTTTCTTCTCTATTACATTTCCAGTGATGTTAATGAAGCCGAATTTCAAAAATTCTTCTAAATATTTATGTTTTCTTTCAAATTACTAAGGTTTAGTATACCAGTTTGCGACCCCCCAGAAAGACCTTCGCGACCCCCCTGGGGGTCGCGACCCCCAGGTTGGGAACCCGTGATATAGTCGATCTATAAATAGCCGTTGCTACTAGTCTGTTTTCGTCTTCTGTTCTTTGTCTAGTCGTGTTAATTAAATTAAGTGTGATTACTTTATTTGTTGTGGCTGTTTGATTGGTGGTGTTTAATATTTTCACAAGTGTTTGCTTTGCTTTCTGTACTAATATACAATCTAAATAAATGTGTTTCTCGGTTTCTTGTATATTTGTTTACACCAGGGTTCGGCAACCTGCGGCTCGCGAGCCGCATGCGGCTCTTTTGATATCAAGTTGCGGCTCTCCAGCTCCTTGCACAAATACTAATAATCTTAATAAAAAAAAATAGAATATTTGAAATAAAAAAAATGTTAGTGGCTCTTTAAAACCAGGGAAATTTTGAAAATTGTAACTTTTGGCTCTTCCGCTTCAAAAGGTTGCCGACCCCTGGTTTACACGTTTGAATGAAGATATAAAATTATTTTGCAGCATTACAATTTATTGCAACAATGGAATTTAAAAAATTTTGAATTATTTTTAGAAACAATAAAAAATAATATTCATTGCTTTTTTCAATTTCAGCTATAGCTATTTAAATTTCAAACATGTTACTAATTCTAAAATAGCGATCAATTTTGCTTTTAAAGTATTTTATTTACTAATGATAAGTAAAAATAACAATATTTTTTTAATTTAATCTTACTGAATACATTTTATACTATTTTGTTACATTTTCTTTTGAATCGTTTCCCCTTGTTTCATATTAAGTTCTACACGGGAGGTAATTGAATGCCCCTAGTGCTGCACATCAATCCTTTCTTAAGGATTGAGTACCTTTATTTAACTAACTTTTAGAGGTTTTGTAGAGTGTTTAAAAATGTATAGCTTTATTAAACATTCATATTACGTAAATTACCCGTTGATTCGTATTTACTTTCGGTAGCAATTTTTAAAATGAAATTGTCCGATATTACTACTAGATCTAGAATTGTACCTATCGGATTGTTTTCTCCTAATTTTTACTTTCTCGTTTACAGAGAATAGAGGAAGTTTTGTAATCGTGTTGAATAATTAGCAGGTTTTTTTTTTTACTGTTTTCGCAGTTTACACCTCCATACTTTATCATATAGATCTACGGAACATGAAGGATTCATTGCAGTCACGAACAAAAAAATCTAAATAGAGATTATGACAAAATTTGAAGTTTTACCACAAGATATAAACTTGGTTTTGCAATATTTTGTTCGTGCCTTTGAGTATGTAAACACGATTAAGTAAAGCTTCAGTTGCGTTGATGAAATTTCATATATATATATATATATATATATATATATATATATATATATATATATATATATATATATATATATATATATATATATATATTATATATATATATATATATATATATATATATATATATATATATATATATATATATATATATATATATATATATATATGTCGAATTTCTACTCCTGTGTCAACTTTTGAGAGATTTCTTGTCACGTGATGTTTAATTAATTTTTAACAAAATTTAATCAATATTTCCTTTATAAAGTACCAATTTTCAGCACTATTATACACATATTGTATGCGTTTATTTTGGTGCGCAATTCTGTTTAAATCATTAAAATAAATAAATAAAAACAATACTATTAGCCGAGTGCACTGGGAGTGCCATCTCCTGTAGTATAAGAATTTACGGAAAGTTTAGGGGAGATCACTCCCGCTTTATTTTAGTAATGTTTGCCTAAAATAAAATGAACACAACCTACCATATGATACACTGACAATACATAGTGCTGCAAGAAATTGAAATATCACCATTTTCGATTTAATTTGACAGAGTCGTAAACGTCTGAATAGTTCCGCTAATTCCAAAGACAATTTTTACTCAACACCTTTAGGTCCAATCGCGATGGACTTCACTGAAGCACGCTCTATATACCCGCAGACGAGATTTTTATGGTAGTCTGGAACCGATTGAACCGAGCTATATCGGGGAGGGAATTGTGCAGTGGCTGACACGATCTTGTCAGCTGGAAGTCCAAGGCCTACATGTCGACGTCACGACTTCTGCTCGGCTCACATGTCTGGGGCAATGGGAAGATAAGCAGACATGCCACGGGCGTCCATGGCGGGAATTTCCTGCAGGCTGAAAAAGGTTTTCGTTTTTACTTTCTCGTATATAGGCCTACGAAGTATAGAGAAAGTCTTGTAATCGTGCAAATAAAAAAAATCGAGATTTTTACAAATCTCGACGTTTTACACCTTACTGATACGGAAAAAACTTAATTTCGCAATCTTGTCCGTATGTCTGTGTGTCTGTGTGTGTGTGTCTGTCTGTCTGTCTGTGTGTAAACACGATAACTTGAGTACCGTTACAGCTAGGTTGATGAAATTTCATATATAAGTATTTTATCAAAATCGTAGATCCTGATCAACTTTTGAGCGATTTCCGATAACCGGAAGTGGTACTTTTTCTACTTTGAATTTTTCAAAAGCCTATAACTTGAGTACTATTTTAGATAGATAAATGAAATTTCACACGTAAGTACAAGATCTAATTCTCTACCTTCTGTCAAATTTTGAGTAATTTCCGTTGATGGGAAGTACTAATTTACGCTATTTCCGATTTCTCAAAAGACGCATGTAAATTTATAAAGTACTAATAATATTGCGCACTATTATGCACATCTTTATTTGGCGTTCACTTGGTGCGCAATTCTTTTCTATTTTTAAAAGTTTAAGTATTTAAAATGGATTAAAAATCATAACTATATCCCGAGTTCCCATCCCCTGTTGTTTCTATATAAGAATATTCGAGAAAGTTTAGGGGAGATCACTCACGGTTTATTTTTGTAAGCTTTAAGTCCGGATTTTTAAATCACAGTAGGCCCCTATTTGTTGGCAGGATTTTTCAGTATTTTTTTTTCTTTCTGGTATACAGAGTATACAGAGTATAGAGGAAGAATTGTATTCGTGCACAAAGTCACATGCATTTTTGAAAATTTTCACCGTTTTAGACATCAGTTCTTCGTCACATACGTAGAATAGGGGACTTATTTTAAGCGGCCAAAAATTATAAATCCAGATTTATCAAAATTTCGGCGTTTTATGCGTAATCGAGTCGGAAAAACTGGGTTTTGCAATTCTGTCCGCCTGTGTGTGTATGTGCGTCGGTGTGTGTGTGTGTGTGTATGTGTGTGTGTGTGTGTGTGTATATATATATATATATATATATATATATATATATATATATATATATATGTGTGTCTGTGAACACGATAACTTGAGTACTTTACTGCTAGGTTGATGAAATTTCATATATAAGTATAACATCAAATTGGTAGTCCTGTATCAACTTTTCTGCGGTTTCCGGTAACCGGAAATGGAACTTTTTTTACATTTAGTTTTTCAAAAGCCCATAACTTGAGTACTATTTCAGATAGATAAATGATATTTCACATATAAGTAAACGATTTAATTTTCTGACTTTTGTCAAAATTTGAGTCATTTTCGTTGACCGAAAAAAAGTAATTTACTCAGTTTCCGATTTCTCAAAAAAAACACATATGAATGTAGGAAATAATATCCTGCACATATTGTCTGCCGTTTACTTGGTGCGCAGTTCTGTTTTCTACGAGATTCTATTCTATTTTTAAAAGTTTAAGTAATTAAAAATGGATTAAAAATCATGTCTATATCCTGAGTTGCCATCTCACGTAAGATAATTCTAGAAAGCTTAGGGGAGATCACTCCCGGTTTATTACTTTCTCTTATACAGAGTATAGAGGAAGTATTGAAATCGTGCACAGAAATCACATGCGATTTTGACAGTTGTCACCGTTTTACATCTCATGTACAAAGTATAGGAGACTTATTTAAATCGGGCGAAAATTCTAAATCCAGATGTATCAAATTCTTGATGTTTTACACGTCATAGTGTTAGAAAAATTTAATCTTGCAATCTTGTCTGTATGTCTGTGTGTATGTCTTTCTGTGAACACGATAACTTGAGTACCGTTACAGCTAGCTTAATGAAATGTCAAATATAAGTATTATATCAAATTTGTAGTTCTGTATCAACTTTTCAGCGGTTTCCGGTAACCGGAAGTGAAACATATTCTATTTTCGGTTTTTGAAACGCCTATAACTTAAATACTGTTTCTAATAGATAGACGAAATTTCACGTATAAGCAAAATATCTAATTATATGTTTTTTGTCAAATTGTGAATATTTTCCGGTGACCGGAAGCAGTACTTTACGCTATTTCCGATTTCTCAAAAAACGCATATGAATTTATAAAGCACTAATAGTGTTTGCTGTTACCTGGAGGGCAATTCTAATTACTTTCTCGTACACCAAATAAAGAGGACGTATTCTTTTTTCTACGACTCTATTCTACTCTAAAAATTTTAAGCATATAAAATTTGATTAAAAAGCATGTCTATATGACGAGTTGTCATCCCCCGTAGTGTTATATAAGAATATTCGATAAAGTTTAGGGGAGATCACTCCTTTTTTTAAAAATTATTTGCAGCATTTCATAACTTTCATGTATAATAACAACCTGGCACAACGCCAAAACCTCATCGGGTCCATGTTGTAATACTTTATTCAGGCTCTAAGCGGCTTGAAGGTCACGTATAGATAAGACTGCACAGCATTTTTGGTCTTATCACAAAATCGTTGTCCTGAATGTCGAGAAGGTTAACTAAATGTAACGAATTAAATAAATGTATAATCTCAACATAATATGCGTGAGAGAAAGATAATACGTTTTTTCGTACATTATTCTTATCAGTGTGCGATTGGTACTAAGTTTAAAACGCTCAGTACCATAACACTAACCTAACCATAATCCTGTCTTGTTATACGCTAAACCAAGCCTAACTTGACAACTGGTAGAAAGACGATTACAAAAAGCTAACTTTTTCTTAGTAAGGCAGTCGCTTCCAGACCTTAAGACGCAAGTAGAGTTTCTTTGGAAGCTGAAACAGCCGGAATGTCGTGAACCCAACTTGAAAGAATCACCCAGAACCGAGTGCGATGGAGGTGTGGTTACGTCCATATGCTCAGAGTTTCTTCCAGCATCTCTTCGGGGGGGGGGGCTATGCCTCCCCCCGAAGAAAGTCTACCGCCCCCCCCCCCCCCCCCAACGAGATGGATTTTAGATAGTAAATATACACTAGTTACACTAAGTGGAACGACGTGGTTGAAGAGTAGAGCTTACGGCTGCTAACTCAAAAGCCTCGGGTTCGAATCCCTGCCTTGAGTCCGTAGGACGTCCCTGAGTCCACCCAGCTATGATGGATACCTGACTCAAGTAAAGGAAAGAAAGACAACTGGGAATAGTGCTGGCCACACTATCCCAATGTATGCGGAAGTCATTGAAACAGATAAACTCTACCTCATCTGTCCCGTGTGTCTTGGGCACGAACGGGAAAAGATGACGATTTAGACAAAGGGTTATCCATAAACTGCAAAACTTTTAGCCAATCTCACATTCCAATACAGTTGAGAAGCATCCAATGAACATGTCTTGTCCTACTTTAGCTTAGTGAAATTGTTCTTCACATCTTTGGAGGCAGAGGCGTAGCGGGGGGGGGGGGGGGGTGTGGACCGCACCGGGTGACACCATTTAGGGGGGGGGGGGGTGACACCAAGGCAAAAAATAGCAAAATATTTAAAGAAAAATTTGAGGGGGGGGGGGTGCAAATCGAAAGTTTGAGGGGGGGGGGCTGCAAATAAAAAGTTTGAGGGGGGTGCAAATCGAAAATTGAGAGTTTGTCCCCGGGAAAGGTCGCTACGTCGCTGGGGGGGGGGGTGACACCACTAAGTGCCGCACCGGGTGACACCCGACCTCGCTACGCCACTGTTTGGAGGTACACAACACCACCAGTTTCATATGCGCATTCGCCGAATCTTTCTTAATAGTTCAATCATCCCCATTAAATATCCGATCGTGAATAATACGAGTCGGATGTGTATCTTGACCTCTGCCGAACCCTTGAGACTGACTCACCGAACCCCTGAGGTTCAGTCGAACCCAGGTTAAGAACCACTAGCCTAGTGTATGATGTGCTGACTTAAGCCTACATTTGACATCTAGTATTTCGTTTGGTAAATTAAAAAAAGAAATAAACTATATAACATCTTCCATGTAATCTTATGTCATTTTATTCCTGCATTTAATTATTCCAACAAAATATCTTCTTTCATGTTTTACTTAAAATTGTGCAATGTAGCTAAGTAAATGCTACATATTTACATAAAAATGAAATAACATGTATATCAGAATAAACTTATTTTTATGAAAAGTAACAAATAAGTAATGTTTCATTTGTATAAAAAAAGTGGGTAGTTTGCATTGAGTAGTAGAACACAATATTGCTAAACGTCTTAAGTTTGAATCCACATGATCAAATCTATAGGACACCCACGTTTTTCGTATGAGTATAAGATTGAAGTCAGGGGAAGTAAAACTACGACAAATTCCTGAAAGACACTTGCCCGAATGCTGTTTTCCCAAATGGACACTTGACCAAATGCGACAAACGCCCAAGTGGACGCTTGCCCGAATGTGAAAATGCCCGAACTGACACCAAGTTGCTAACCACATTATCCCTTCACATGTTGAGATCAAAGATACAGATGGACTTTACTTCATCAGCCCTATTGACCATCAATTGTACCACCGGAGGTCATTGAAAGTTACTTTATTGTAACCCATTGTAGGTCATTATCACACGCAAGGAAATTAAAAGCTGTATAGAGCTAACCACACTATCCCTTTACATTTTGAGATCAACGATACAGATGAACTTTACTTCATCTGTCTTATGGACCATTTCGTCTGCCATTGTCATTGACTGTTATATTAGGTCAGTATGATGGTGAATTCAGGGAAACTAAAACCTGAGGTCACATCCAGCCTATGTCAGAGCCAACCTGTACTCAGAGCACCTGTGGTCAGAGCCCACCTGTGGGCAGAGCCAACCTGTACTCAGAGCACCTGTGGTAAGAGCACACCTGTGGTCAGAGCCCACCTGTGGACAGAGCCCACCTGTGGTCAGAGCCCACCTGTGGTCAGAGCCCACCTGTGGTCAGAGCCCACCTGTGGTCAGAGCCCACCTGTGGTCAGAGCCCACCTGTGGTCTTACACCTGTGATCAGAGCACTTGTAGTCACAGCTTACCAAAGTAAAGACGATCTTAAGTATAATCCTATCAAAATTTTAAAAAGCATTGTATCATGTATACATAAAAAACATTCAAACATTCAAATAAAGTTAGTTTAAAAAAATTATAATATAATAAATTTACATATTGAAAGAGCAGTGTTACTTTGTTTGCATTAGCACATTAATTACAATTAACATAAATTATTAAATTTCTATTAAAAAAATAGAAAAGGCATATCTGTTAAAAATAAAACAGAATTCCTTTTCAGTTTCTAAAAATAAACATTGTGCTAGCCAAAGTGAGCTATTATAGCAGTATAAAAATTTATTTACAAACTAGTTTAAAGTGTAGGTGAATTGCATTGTTTCTTTTTTATCAGGACTTGCCTATCAAATGTACAGCTTATCTACCAGACTGTAGGATATGTTAATACTTAGCTAACCACATTATAAACATACAAGGCTTACATATTACATGTTGCATACAAATACAATGAGACCAAAGTTAGTACCACATACATACTGAGACTAGCTTGATGGTATAATCAGGTAAATTGTGGATGGCTTTTTGTTCAAGCAAATTTTCTACCCCTAAAATGAGTAATGAAATTGTTCTTTTAGATAAATGTAATTAATAAAAAAAAAATTTTACAGAACACATTTATCTGACAGATTCTTACTTTTTCCAAATTACCCTGTGCTTGTAGCCTAGTAAAACTAGATTCTGGTCAAACAAAGTCAAATTTTTCATATTTTTTTTTCCTTTTTTTATTTTCAGGTTTATGATATACTTTAATTGCTACATTATGAATGGAAAAACATTTTCTCTTGATGTTAGACATAAGATGTATCACAATACAAACTACACTATTAAAAAAAAATTATTTTTTAAAACAATTTTCATCCTCACTTTAGCATGTAACTATCCTTTAAAAAAAAACTATATTGTTTTGTGCATGTCAGTAAGCTGTCAAAATGCTCTACCATTCTTACTTATAAATGTATAACATACACACTTTTATATTCTAGCAGTAAAAAAATTTTTGTTTAGTTAGCTGCATGTGAATTTGGACGAATCTGGCTTGGCACCCTGAATGTCCTTCATGATGGCCTGCGACAGGGTCAGCCCAAAGATGAACACACCAAGAACTAGAAAAACTATGGCTATCCACCGGAACACGTACACTTTCCTCGGCTGTGCTTCGCCTGATTCTATTCTATTCTGCATCGTCTTTAACAGACACATACCTGCGGAAAAGAGAATATGTTACTGGTATGTAATCCCATGACAGTGCGGTGGAATGGTAGATGATTACCCTATGTTTATTTCATTAAAGAATGATTACAACAAAGGGACGGAATGGTCTAGCGGTAGAGAGGTGGACTGCTAACCCGTAATTCTTGAGTGCGAATCCGAGTTCAAGTCAGTAGACCGTCCCTGAGTCCACACAACTCTGATGGGTACCTAACTCATGTTAGGGAGAGTAAAAGCGGCTGGGTATAGTGCTGACCACACTATCTCTTCATATGCCAAGGTCACAGAAACAAGCGAACTCCACTTGCCCTATAGACCCTAAGGTTTGAAATGGAACTAACTTTTACAACAAAAATATTTATAAATCAAGTCAGAACTTTTACCCGGCTTTGTCTGAAACTGTGTTAAATAGAATATGGGCATAGTAAAAAGCTATTGAAATAATACTTTTAATTAAGAAAAGGTACTTATTTTTAGCAAAAGTAGAATAACCCGGAAGGGAGATAACTAACAAAAATTAAACATTGTCAGGACAGACATATCTGTATTTTAATTCAACAGGTTCAAATTGTAATAGGTTTTTTATGTATTGAGAGGTGAATTACTGACCGGGAAATACAAAAATAAATACTGCAGCAAAGGCCCCTAAAATCTGTATGACCACGCCTATATTGGGTATGAAAATAGACAGCAGAAGTGTCAAGGTAAACCACACCAATGTGGTTATGACACGTCTCATCTTTTCTTTGTGTAAAATTTCTTCTGGGCTCATTTTCCAGAACATGCTCCACATAGTGTCAAAGGCAGCCCTGTGGAGATATAAATTATATAAAATTATAGGCGACCATTTAATGGAAGCAATTCTTAATTATTAACCGCCATGGTAGATATCCATTACCTGATATCTGGAATAGATATTTAAGACATCATTACCTATCTCTAACAGAAAAAAAGAAAGGAAATATATTCATCACCAAATCCTTTTAGAACTAGAGTAGACACATAAAACTGCTCTTTGTTTTTGTTTTTTTCTATAATAGCACTAAAAGCTTATAGATTGTTCTTTTACACTTTCTAAAAGTTTTTAAATTTCCTTTTTATCCCTAGAGTATAAGTATTTGTATATTTGATTTTAAAAACTAACATTAGAGAGAGACAGCAGTATGAATTTGAGAATTTTACTTTGCATTTTAGCGGACATGTTTGAATATTCGTGATTTTTAAAAAACATCTATTTTGGCTTCATACATAGTAAAAACAAGTAAAAACTAATTGTTAAAAGCATAATTGCATGCCGCCAGAGCCGGCGTTAGGGGGTGGCAAACGGGGCGGTCGCACCAGGCCCCGCGCTTGAAGGGGCCCCGCGCTTTAGCAACGCCATTGTTGCCTGAATTAGTTTGTAAACTTAAATAATCTTTGCTGAATTAAATAAAAAAAAAAACCCCAACTAAATGGCCGAAATTGTTGGATGTTAAAACTGAGGCCACGGCTGATGTTAGTCAGTTATCCTCTACATGGACTGGGACAGACCGTTATTCTAAAGAAAGACATTAGTGTCACACATCGCTGGCACGGTCGACTCGCTATTGTCCTGAGGTGACTGGAGATGGCGGTCGCGAATTAGCCCCCGACCTGACATTGGAGGTAAAATCGGGAAAAACACGTAAAGTGATACACTATTGTATGCGGACCCCGTTGAAGATTTTTTTTAGTGAGCAGGCGGGGGTGCCTGTAGTAAACAGTCAGTGACCTGATGATGGCTTGCAGAGGATGAGGGGGTGAGAGCGGATGAGGACATGCCCCGGAAATCCAGAGTATTTATCCCTAAAATCATAATGTATACACTGTATGGGCATCTTTTGAGATTATTCACCACGATACGTTTGATAGGCATCCATACAGTAATTATGTTCATATTCATTTTAAATATTGTCAGGTAATCTTAAAATACATTATACTTGTATTTATTTTTATATTTTTGAAGGGCTTTTATACAGTTATTATGTCCATTTTCATTTTGGTAAACTTTAACGGTATTCGTAAAGTGAGTAAGCACATGTTTATTTTAATTAATTGTAGGGATATTCAGTATAATAGTTAAGACCATAGTTATTCTTGTTTTAAAATAGTGTAGGCATACTAAACAAATTATAAAGTCTATACTGTTTGATACATCGTGCTGAGACTGTTTTATGGTAACGTTCTCCTGATTTCTCAAACGTCTAAATTACCGGCAGTCCGAGCATGCCGTCGCGAAACTCATAAATAAGGTGAAGCTGGCTGTCACATGGTTCACTAATTATAGACACGGACCTTCTCTAGTGAGAACGCGGTCTTAATCTGTAATGTAATATGTGGACGCTTTATAAACACGCACCTTCTCAGAGATCCAGTAACGTAGTACCCGAACTGATTTTTTTTTAGGGTTTGGCACCCCATAGATTTAAATGTACAGTTATCCTTCACCTCCCGACACCAACTGTCACCCGCCCCAGTGTTCCACACTACTGAGCGTCCGTGATTACATTTGAGAGTCATTTCATTTGGATATCCATAGCCGTAAACAGTGTTTTTCACGATTCGAGCTTATTCCGAAATCTATCAATGTTTTGCTATTTTCCCCGGCATCCACACACTTTGAATGCCACTGTTAACACTCGATAAATTGAGAAAATATCGGTACTATCACCCGCCACTGTGGACCGATTTAACGTTGCTTCAAAGTGATTTCACCATTTTTCCTCTACACCATGGCTACACGAGACAGAGATAGATTTCGCAAGTATGAATCAGGTGCATCAAAAGCGAGGAAACGCAATTTAAGAGAAGAATTTGATAAAACACAAGCAGGCGCGTTGCCCGAAGGTATTAAGTCAGCCAAACAGTGCCTTCAGTACATTTAGAGTATTCAGGATTCCTTTCCCAATACGGCGATCGCCTACAGAATCTTGCTAACAGTTCCAGTCACAGTGGCAAGCGCCGAAAGAAGTTTCTCCAAACTGAAGTTGATCAAGAACTATTTGAGATCAACGATGTCCCAAGACAGGCTCTGCGGCCTGTCGATTCTGTCAATAGAAAAAGACAGCCTCCAGTTTGGACTATGATGATATAATCATGGAATTTTCCTCACGAAGGGCAAGAAAAGTAGATCTTCGTTTGTGAACGTACTGGTAAGATTTTCATAAATAAACATTAATGTAAAAAAAATCAGGTTTGAAGCTGACGTTCATCGTCTCTTTAATGCGTGTCTCAAACTTATATCTGTTTTATTTTTTACTTTTCAAACAAAAAGCCTTAACAGAAACAAGCAACGTTTCAAAAGCACTTCTAAGTAAACAAATTATTTGTTAATCAGTGTCTTAATGTTAATACGACATTGATAAGCAGCTTAAAAATACCATATATATCGTTATAAATATTAATTCGCGTTGAGAAGAAAAAAAAAACGCCTCACTGTACATGTTTTAGACACCAATGAAAAAATATAAGGCCCCGCGCGGATGGTTGGCCATAGGCCCCGCGTACCCCTAACGCCGGCTCTGCAGGCCGCCTTTTTTAAAAATAGTTTGTTAATGCATTTTATTATGGTAAAATGTGTAACAATTTTTTTTCATTCACTATTAACATGTTTTTAGTCATATTCCTTCACTTAAGACAAAAATAAAAATGTCAATAAATATTACTATCGGCACCACGGGTACACAAGACTTACTTTCCACAAAAACATAGAATAGGATATGTGGTGTATGTTTTGACAGCAACAAGGACTACTGCCACCATCACCTCAGCTGTAGGGTTAAACGACAGCAGTATGTCATTTGTGATGGTGTCACCAAACTGAAAAAATAAATTTTAAATTAGAAAGAAAAATTAAAGTCAAAAATAGAAAACGTTTAAGTCTTGACAAGAAAAAAAAAGGATTTATAAATTTTTTAAATAAGATAATGTGAGAACAAAGAAACACAAACAATGAATCAAACATCTTTCTGACAATAAAAATCATGGAACACATAGTTAGTGTGTTTAAAGCCTATATTTTCAATACATTAAAGCAATCTTAGTTATCTAACTAACTTTCAAGACAGCAGCAAAGGAAAAGTATCACCCCCATATGAGTTAATTACATTGCATAATACAGCAAATAAAGCATTTAATGGGATGGTGTGTTTGTGTGGTACAGCACATGATCACTACTAAAGAAGTCCAAGTTTGGTTTGCTGTTTTAGTCTATAGGGCATTATTTGTGCACTCAGCTGTTATGAGTATCTGACTCTAGTTGGGGGAAAGAGAATGTTGTGAGCTAAGTGCTGACCCCACTATAACTTCTGTAGAATTGAAACAGATAAACTCTACCTCATCTGATCCAAGGACATTCCGATTTTTTTTTTAAATTCAGGATGTAAGTGATCCCTTCTTCACTCTTAAAGTGTACATTTTATACTTTATTTATCTATCTTTAGTATATTCTATTATTATAATTATATTAACCTATCTTGTATATGTACTTTATCAATATCTTCAGTGGGGCATATTTACTTCATGCAGGACATATAAGTACAGGTTTGAGAGACACTATTAAAGCACATATAAAAGGAATAAGTAATGCTAAAAATATAAGTTCAAAGCAAGAAAAAACAAAAAAAATTTAACATAAATACCATTAAAAAATTAAACACTAAACCAATACTATTGCACAACTTAGTCATGAAAATGTAAAAAACTTGAAACAAAGTATCAATAACACTAACAGACAGTAAAACTACAAACCTGTAGATATCCCAGAGCTGCGGTGACTGTGTAAGTTATGATACACAATATCATGGCAAGTGTTACTGTTTTAGAGAACTCTCTGATGTTGCGTTTACCCATACATGAGTAAATGGGGATGATACTGACGTGACACTGAAATTATGAAAGAGAAAGTAAATTTTTTTCCTGGACTAGTAAAAAGTATAATCATTTGTTCTTATACACGCTATTAATAAAAGAAACAATTAGAACTAAGAGAAAAAGCTCAATTTATAATTGTTTTTTTGTTAAAGTTATTTATAATGATTTGAAGTATAAAATTCAAGTCATGAATTCAAAGATTTTTTTAATACATATGTGAATTACACACAAATAATTTTTTTAAGAAACTAAAACTAAGCACAACAAATAATATTTTAGCTCATATCCATAAAATTTCTACATAAACATTGTTATTTAAATCAGATGAATTTTAGAGAATTTTAAAACTTCAAGAACATTTTTAAATACAGACTCTTCTTAGATAATGCCACTTTATATAATATAAGGTGAGAGAAAATGCAAAATCACAATTTACAGCAATAAAACAAACACAAACTAACCTGATACGCAAAACAAATATCAGGAACAACAAGAAAAACATCAATCCATGAATGCGGCCTTAGAATTGAAATATACAGATGCAAGGTTCAAAATTTATAACAATAAGGTATTGAAAATATATTTCTTTAAAGCATTTTTATAATGGAATAACTTATTAAATTAATTATAAAATTATTTAACTAAGTGTAATAACAGGATTCAAAAAATTTTCACAATTAAATGTAGATAAACTATGTAGCCACTTACTATTGAGATAAAATAAGCAGAAAAATATAATATTTTCAACATACCCTGTGGCAATAGTACCTGGGTTATCATGAGGTAGAAAATACTTGATGGTAACTAGTCCTACTACATACAAGATACCTATAACACCCACAATGCTGAGGAAAAAAAATTATTCAAATTTAGAGGACATTCACCCATAAATATATACTTAGCCTATATAAGAGTCCACTTACAAAACCTTCAAAGTCGACTTTTCAAAAAATAAAATGACAAAGATAAATAAATCAAAACAATTTGCTATAAACTAATCTAATAAAGGACAGGGAGCTTAACATGGTACACTTACCTGGCATATCTCAAGAAATCGATTCTTTTAGGAAAACATAACGGCAGTATAAAGGCTATAGATGTGACAGAGATAATGAAAGCTCTTGTCATGTAGAATGGATCTGTTTTGCAGTACAAGTCGTGAGCTACCTCCAAGAAAACTGAAAAAAAAATAGTATTCTTTAATGATGACTGTGTTAACTGTATCTCTTTTTTTCTGACCACAACCTATTTATAATACATATAATCCATATCTCTTTCCATATCCAGCTCCCTATCAATATCCCTATCAGTAATACTATCCCAAACACTATCTCTAATATATACTTATCCTATCTGAGATAGATTAGGAATACACAACGGAGATAGAAGCCATTAGCAATGTAGACATCTTTATTTGTTAACCGGAAGAGGAAGGACAATACACAAGGGACATCACTCATAATAACAACATTATAAATATAACCAACACAAGAAGAGTGAGTTCCCTTGACCTCACAATTATCTCAATATATTACATCCCTTTACCCTTAGAACACAACAACACATCTCTCAATAGAACAATTGATAGTATCCTAAAATCACCAATTATATTGTAACATGAACACTATGGTAGATTACATCCTTACAAACAATGCACAATATGTTACAACATAATTAAATACAAAACAATGATGTCAAAGTCCTTTTGACCTTTAAAATCATAGGTCTAACTTATTTGGGACTTTGATTGTCCTGCTTGACCTTCTCAGTGGCTTTTGATTTGGTGACTCAATATTCTGACCATTTGGATTCTCTATCTCAGGAGGTCTAGGATTTAAATCATTAACTCCAGAATTTACATTTTCTGACTCTAGACAACTTGGTTCACTCATATCAACAGAACTTGGTTGTGGAACAAACTGAGTTGGTGTGAACTGTTCAGATTTGGTGGGATTGACAGATTCACACTTATTATCTGCACAAGTTATTTTTAACTGGTCTGCATGTCTACGGACAATAAGTCCATCATTTGTTTTTACTTTATAAGACACAGGTCCTGTACATTGAACAATTTGACCTGGTATCCATTTTTCCTTTCTCCCATAATTTCTTAGATACACATTCTCATTAACTGCAAATTCTCTTTCAATGGATGATTTGTCATGATTTACTTTTTGTGTATGTTGATGTTGGGAAACAGACCTTTGAACAGTTGGATGTAGTAGGTCAAGATGAGTTTTAATTTTCCTACCACATAGCAATTCACATGGTGCAACACCTGTTGTTATATGAGGAGTTGTGCGGTATTTGGTTAAGAACCTGTTTACTCTTTCCCTAAGAGAAAACTTGTTACCGGTATTCATTTTTACCATAGCGGTTTTGAATATGCCTACCGCTCTTTCAGCTAAACCATTCCCAGCAGGATGATAGGGGGATGTGGTTATATGCTCAATACCATTTGCCACACAAAACAGTTTAAACTCATGAGCTGTGAAACTAGGCCCATTATCTGAAACAATTTGATCTGGTAATCCATGAGTTGAAAATATTTCCTTAAGTTCTATAATGGTATCATTTGCAGTGATTGTGTTCATGATTTTAACTTCTAACCATTTAGAATGTGAATCAATAACAATTAAGAACATTTTGTTCATGAAAGGTCCTGCGAAATCTATATGTATACGTTTCCATGGTTCGATTGGCCAGTCCCAGTTTTGCAAGGGTGCTGTAGCTGGTTGCTTTGAATGTTGTGCACAGCTTGAACAAAGTTTTACATATTTTTCAATATCAGCATCCATATGTGGCCACCAGAACCATGATCTTGCTAGACTCTTCATTTTGGAAGAACCAAGATGAGTATCATGTAAAGTTCTTAAAACTTCTTTTTGTAATATTTTGGGGATAATTACTCTTGACCCCCATAGTACACATCCATCTTCTAGACTTAACTCCATTTTTCTTATTTTATATGGCCTTAAGTCATCATTCACAGACTCTTCAGGCCAACCATTTTTACAGTGCTCATATACTTTTATTAAGCACTCATCTTTTTGTGTTTCTCTTTTAATATCATTCACATTTATATTGGAGTTATCCATGATAGTGAAGAGAACAAATACATCTTCTGGTACATAGCTCAGGCTTTGGTTTTTTAAAGGTAATCTACTAAGACTATCTGCACTATTCTCAGATCCAGGTTTGTATTTCAATTCATAATTGTATGCAGTTAGTGTGATAGCCCATCTTTGAATTCTTGGTGGGGCATGCTCAGGTAGGGTTTTGTTTTCTCCAAATAAACCTAGCAATGGTTTATGATCTGTAAAGATGGTGAACTTCCTACCAAACAGAAACTTATGAAATTTCTTAACACCAAAAATGATGCCTAAGCCTTCCCTATCTAACTGAGAATAATTTTTCTCAGCCTGGTTCAAAGATCTACTGGCAAAAGCAATGGGTCTGTCACCCTTTTTATCTATGTGGGACAAGACTGCTCCTACACCATCTGGTGAAGCATCACATGTTAATATAAGTCTTTTCCCTGGGTCATAGTGAGTTAGTAAGGTGTCAGAAGACAAAGCTTCTTTTGCTGTATTAAAAGCAGTATCTTGTTGTTTACCCCAGTGCCAAGTTGCATTTTTCTGTAGCAGCTTGTACAGTGGTGATAGTTTACCAGACAGATTCCCTATGAACTTTGCATAGTAATTTATCAAGCCCAAAAAAGCTCTTAGTTGTTGGGTATTTTCAGGTTTGGGTGCTTCTTTAATGGCTTTTGTTTTCTCAGGTTGAGGTCTGATGCCTTGTTTGCTCAATATATAACCAAGAAAACTAATTTCTGTCAACATGAATTGACATTTATCTTTGTTTATCTTTAAACCTTTTTCACCAACTATTTTCAAGACTTTATCTAGTGTTTTAAGATGTTCAGTGTCATTCTTACCAGTTATGTACACATTGTCAAAGTAAACACAAACATTTGGAATATCCTTAAAAATACTGTCCATGACAGCTTGGAAAATTCCAGGGCTAGATGATATGCCAAAACATAGTCTTTCATATTGGTAGAGTCCTTTATGTGTGTTTATTGTCGTATAGACTTTTGAATCTGGATGCAGTTCTAGTTGAGTGTAAGCATGACTAAAGTCTAATTCAGTGAATTTGTCTCCTCCTGCCAAATTCAAAGAAATTTCCTCAATGTTAGGTATAGGGTACCTATTTAACTCTATTTGCTTATTCAGTGTAGTTTTATAGTCTCCACAAATTCTTATAGAACCATCCTTCTTTAACACTGGCACAATGGGCGTTGCCCAATCGGAATAGTCTACCTTCTTTATGATGCCATTAGATTCCAATCTACTTAGCTCATTTTCAATTTTATTCCTCATTGCATAAGGTGGAACTCTAGCTTTGCAGTATCTTGGATTTGTGTCTTTAATGCTTATCTTCACTGTTCTATCATTTAGTAAACCTGAATTGCCAAAAACACTTTTATTTTCAGATATTACTTTATTTATTGAAGTAAGACTAGATTCTCTTGTATTGATCAATGAACAAATACTCTCCCAATTTAACTTAAGATCACTTAACCAGTTCCTACCTAGTAATGGTGGTCCATTTCCTTCAACCACAAGAAGAGGAAGTTTAACACTTTGACCATTATAACTTACATGAACCATACACTCTCCTATTACCGGAACATTGTCACCAGTGTATGTTGTTAGACACTTGTGACATGGTTGTAGAGGCACTGATCCTCCTGTGACAGCGTCAAAGTCCTTCTTTGTGATGACTGTTAGAGATGCTCCAGTGTCAAGTTGGAAGCTGATGCTCTTACTGTTGATATTAACTAGTACATTGATGGGAGCATGACTTATTGATTTCACAGAGAACAGGTTGAAATCCGGCTGCGAATCAGTTTGAGCATTTTCACAGGTAGAGTGGTTCATTGGTTGGGTTAGGTAGTCTTGGTGAGAGTTAACATAGTGCTGCCTTTGGTTGCGGTACTGTCTTGACTGGCTAGATTTAGCAACAGACGAAGACTTTGCGAAGCAGGCCTTGGCAATGTGACCTTGCTTACTGCACTTATAACAAGTTGCAGACTTGAACTTGCATCGATGAGATGCATGGGGACCTTTGCATCAATGACATTTTTGATAATTATTACTAGATTTAGATCTAGGATTTGAACGAGCAGGCTGTTTAGCATAAGTTGGAATGCTCTGATGGGGTTGGTGTTTGTTGACTAACCTGCTGTTTACTGCATGGATCTCTGAAGACGTTAGAGATCTCGCCGCCTCGGATGACTGCTGGAATGAAGTTGCGAGTTGTATTGCTTTTTCCAATGTTAGATCTGACTCGAGCAGCAACTTTCTTTGAACATCAGGGCTGTTTACACCTGTCACAAACTTTTCACATAGTCTGTCAGACAGCGTATCGCCGAATTCACAAAATTCACTTAAATGACGTAAAGCAGCAACATATTCTGATATTGACTCGTTTGGTTGACGAGTCCTACTGTCAAATCTAGCTCGACATAGAAACTTTGATGGGGTAGGCGCATGGTGGTCTGTTAGCAATTTGCTCAGCTCGTTAAAGCTCTTGGTAGTTAGACTAGCTGGTGCGCATAAGTCCTTTAGTAGCCTAAATTGTTGAGGCCCTATGACTGTTAACAAAACAGCTCTCTTTTTGGCTTCTATCGTCACGTCGTTAGCTTCAAGGTAAAAGCTTAACCTATCTAGGTAATCATGAATGATTTCATCATTCGAATCAAATTCTTTTATTTGGCCATACAGCGCCATTATCCTAGAAATACTTAGCTAATATGCTCTAGCAAACCTCTTTTTGAATAATTAGGTGCTCTTTCTAGTGGATTATTTATCCTCGCCGCCAATGAGATAGATTAGGAATACACAACGGAGATAGAAGCCATTAGCAGGGCTGCCTACCCCAAAAAAATTTTCCCCGTAACAAGAGCATAGGTTTTCCGTAATTTTCCGTAACTTTCCGTATTTTTACACATTTTTTAAATACAATGTAAATTAAAATAAGACCCATATTATATGATCGTAAAGCTCATCAGCGTAATGATGACAGTCGGCGACTCGTGCTACTTTTTATTTTATGGACTAATAATTAGTTTTAAAAAAAAAACGCCGTTAAATTCAGAATGTAAGGCGACAATGGAAAATTTCAAATAGGAATTGTTCTTGCAATGAGTACTATGACGTATGTTATAGGCCAACACTACGGATATCTAAACCAATGTGAACTCAGTGACCCCTCGACTGTGTGTGTGTCAGGATTTTTTCTCCCGCGAACAAGAAAACGTAAGCGGCCGACGGGTGACGATGTTTAGAATTAGCATATTTCTTGAATATTTTTTTTTAAATCTACATTTTATCAATGTAATATCTAGAAGAAAAGAACAATTTTAAAAATATGATCCGTAATTGATCTAGGTGAGCCTAGATCTCGATGTTTAGTAATATCTTGTCTTCTCGCACATCTCAAACAAAATGCCTCGATATCTCGCTATTTATGCATTTAGCCGTAATACCGCCTCAGCAAATATGTCTCGCCAGACTGCGCGATGAGACTTTCAATGATTTAGGCCACGCCCTTTTTTTTTCTCTACGGACAACACCGACTCGCGGGGTCAATAGTTCACAATATAAACACGACTGCCGCCAGCCATGACAAGAGGGGGAGGGGAGATTGTTACGGAAGAGGCTGAGAACCTTAGAACCGGATAACACACTGAAATACTGAAATATAACTAGCTAAATTAAAATATATAACTCAGACCGGGAACATAAAGTTAAGTTACCACCAGAAATTATTTTTTTTACACTAAAGTCGATTTTGATCTCTACTGAAATCAAAACCGTAATTTTGCAGCATAATCGTAATTCCGTAACCTGGGTGTCAAAATCGTAAAGTTACGGGCAAAACCGTACAAGTAGGCAGCCCTGCATTAGCAATGTAGACATCTTTATTTGTTAACCGGAAGAGGAAGGACAATACACAAGGGACATCACTCATAATAACAACATTATAAATATAACCAACACAAGAAGAGTGAGTTCCCTTGACCTCACAATTATCTCAATATATTACACTATCCATAACCGCATCTAAATTGCAAATGGCTAGAGGTAAGGGGGGGGGGGGAGGTGGGAATGGACAGGTATAATTTCCTACTGCAGTATTTTGAGTACAGATGATGTACAGAGAGTAATTGATGGGGGGGGCTAATGTACTGCTCTTGTAGGGATGGTACGGTCAATACAATTCTACCGTCATTTTTCCTCATGCTAAATTAGGTATCAGAAAGAGTGCACTCAACGACAAAACTAAAGGGAAGCCTATTATATTTGTAGCAATAATCTCAAGCAATTAGCTACTCTGGATTCTAATACAGCAAATGATAGATAAGTACAATAAAAAATTATCACACAATATAAAACATAACAGATTATTAAAACATAAATTAAAAATTATCACGCAAAATAAAACATAACAGATTGTTAAAAAACATAAAATAAAAATCATCACACTATATAACAAACAGATAAACTGAAACGTAACATAAAAAATGTATCTACTCACATAACTCCCATTGGTCACCTATTATAATGAGAAATGTTATACACGTCCCAAAGCAGTACAATAAAACACTGATTGCACAGGCCAGCTGGGCTTTAGGGCCACAGATGGAGAGAACCACGTCTTGGTAGGTGTTGCAGCCTTTTATATCAGAGCAGTAGCCAAGGATGAGTAACGCCAGCACTACGAAGACCAGGAAAAACTGACAAGCAAATAATTATCATAATAAAGACATTGGCGATGAAATAAATACATAAAGTATAGATTTGAAAATTTTCAGGATAATGAACTTACATTAAGAATAAGTTTATAGAAGTAGCATGGCAAATTTTTAGCTGCTTATTTATATGTTAGAGATAAATCCATTAAGATAACGGTAGGTATTTGTATGATGGGCAGTAATTCACTCCTTAGAGTCAAGTGTTAATTTAAGATACAGAAGGTTTACTACACATAAAGTTACTACCTCAAAGCCTTTTATGGTCTTTTTTTCTATAGATTGAATTTATGTCCATGAACGAACAAGCAAATTATGAGTTGTATGGCCTTTTTAGCAACATGGAAGTTATGGGTTAAATGAGAGCCTGTGTCTACCAATTTAAATTCATGTCAGAACTTTAACACAAGTTGTTTTTTTTTAATATCCCAGCCAGGTAGTTCTATTAATTTATATCTTGACCACATCCTCAGAAAAATTTGAGGTTGGAAAAAAAATATCAAGAAAAAAAGGAATTCAGCATCTTGATCTACTTACAGACTGCACGATTACTGCTGAGAAGACCCCACCAGCCTGGTGATAGGCAATGGGAAAGTTTAAAAGTCCAGCTCCCAGTGCTGCATTGACCACAAGAAATGCCGAAACAAACCAGCCTGAACCTGCTCATTCAAAGAAAACAATAGGTAAAAAGAAAATTGGGGGAAAAACATATGTGGAAAACATGCTCTAATGACAGAGCTCAAAACATTACATCAAAACATTACATCACAAGTTCAGTCCCTAAGATAGAGACCATAATAGGTTGATCCCTGATGAAACTGCAAACGTAAAAATCAAACGAAAAATACAGGTCTTGACTGACAAAACAATGTGCAAAAATGCTTAATTCTACATCATAATCAAACATAAATAGCATTGCTCTAGCTGAGTTGAGAGAAAGAGGGAGAGGGAGATAAAGGAGAAGCTTTTGTACTTTCACTGACCTACGTTACTATAATTTGCACATAAATTCCTGATAATTTGCAATACAAACATGATATTAAAATTAAAATAACAGTCTTGAGAGAAATTTGTAACATCCTTACCTTCTTTTTTGCTTGTGCTATCTTTTGATGAACTAAATCCAACTAGAGGTTTAAGCTCATCACTCCCATCAACTAAATACTCAGCGTTGACACTGTTCCCTTGGATCGACATGACGGCCTTTTGTAATGGTTCTCAAACTGTGTGATAACAATTTCAAGTTAAATTGTTTAGTACATCAACTCAACGTTATCATTAATGTTAGTCTGTGAACTTCTGGCTAATCTTTATTTAATAAAAATAAGCTTTGCGTTTAAGATGAATTTTGAAATTAAGTTTAATTTTATAATTATATGATTTAGAATTGATTATCCAGAATTATCCAGGTCTATTAATCATGTAATAGTAATAGATTAAGTTGTTTTAGCAGTAAACTAATAATCTCAGTTCTTAATTAATTAATTAGTTAATTAATTAGGCCTATCGCTTATGATATTAAAGTGAGTTTACTTATTTATTTTATTAGTTTATTTTTCTTAAGGCACAACACACATCACTATTCCTGAGTGGTATGCAACCTCACCTATTTACATAAAATTGTTTATAAATGCAAATTATTGTTTTGAGTTTATATTTAACTCAATGCAACAAGCCCGCCAGTTGGTTGAGGCCAGGTAAGGGGGATTCTAAGGGACGACTCGAAATATAGTCCCTTTTTTCTTGTGATTTTTACTATTGTGTTCTTTTCTTATGGACCTAGTGATATTCTTAGATATTAGATAGGCCTAGTTGGCTAGTCATAAATAATTAAATATTATAATATTAATTTTGACAAGAATCTCCATATATAATTCTCCTCATGGGAACCATAGAAGCAGTGGCGTGCAGAGCTATGTTGCTGCCCGGGGCAAAACCAAAGGAAGATGCCCCCCATAAATTGTATATATATATATATATATATATATATATATATATATATATATATATATATATATATATAAATTACGGTGTTTAAAGCGTTAGTAGCCCTACTATTGACGATAAATTATAACACACATTATGTTATTAATCAGAATACGAATAGAAAATCATTTTAAAAAATTGACTTAGCTGAACTCTTGAGAAGACTCCATGCATATATATCCAAAAGAATGACTGACTCATTCGGGGAGGGAGAAAACAGTATGGGGACATGCCGGATGTTGGGGGGGGGGAGGGGCTATATGCCAAGCCCAACAAAAGAATTTACAGTTTCCATTACCCTACCGGGGTCGGGCTGCGGTCACCGTTGAATTAAATTGGAAAAAAACTAAAAGGTCAAAGTTCGCCATTGTTTATTGCTACGACTGAGGCCACGGTTGATGTTAGGCCTAGTAAGTTACCCCCCCCCCCCCCCCCCTCCCCATCTCGAACTTGAACAATGCTGTATTTTATAGAAACACATTGGTGGCACACCTCGTGTGCAGGGAAGAGAACCACGGTCGCCGGGTGATTGTTTGGTGGCTGGCGATGGGTTGATTGAGTGAGCCCTTCCCCCTCCCCCTCCACCCCCTTGTACCTGGTATGTAAATTTGGGATACCCTATTGTATTCTGACCAATGTAGGTGTATTTTTTTTTGGATGCCTGTACTAGTTACGGACCTAAAAAATGCTAGTCTTGTCTCGTACGTCGAAGTAGTCGGATACGTAGGAATAAAGCGTCTCGTCTTAACTCGATACATTGAGAAAATATCGATTCTAGTCATAGAGCACAGCGATTTCTGCTTGTGCGCATTGTCGATGTTTGATAGAATTTTAGTATCGCTAAACTTGGGGCCCGCACTTAATGGTCGGCTCTAGGCCCCAAGTATTCATATGCAAACCCTGTGTGGGAATTAATCCAGTAACGGCTACCAGGGTCGTTATAACTCCCACAATTCATTAAATCAACGTGGACTCACTTACTTTACAGGTGGCTCTACTATTTATAACATCAGTTCTATTTAAGCGCCCATTTACTTTACAGATAACTTTACTTTGCATTAAAATACTTTAACACAACTTTTAGTATGCCCTACAATTGATAAAAAATAAAATGGGCACAATTGTTTGAAATGATATCACTTTAATGTATATTAAAAATCTGTTGATGCTTATTCTTGAGGGTGTCCTTACAGTGTCTCAGAAACAATACGGACATTCTTATTCTTTAGTATATTCATATGCATCAAAACCGAATAAATTCTCTTGGGTGCCCCTACAAGTTATCTAAAAATAATACGGGCTTACTTCATCTGCAAATGCCCTTTTAATCACAAGCAAAAATAAAATAAATTATTCGAAAATCGCTCTAATGCAATAAAGTGGTTTAAATTTATTGTTCGTTCAATGGCCAGTGGTTAGAATAAAAGTCATGCGTTTAGGTATATTATATAAAGAGACAGTGTTAGTAAGCACACAATTTTAGACAAATTACAATATCAAAAAGCATTAGTGGTTAAAATTAAAACAAATAGGAAACCATTGACAGATTTGGACACTTTATATAATTAGTTCGAATTGTGGGAAAAACACCGTTTTCGGCTATAGAATCCAAGAGAAATGTCTCTCAAATGTAATAAGAACGCTCAGTAGTGTGGGGTTTAGGGGTGGGTGACAGTAGATGCTTTGGCTTTGGGGTGGGTGAAAGTTGGGGGGGGGGGGGGGGGGAGGTGAAAGATCACGCAGACTGTGCATTTAAATATATGGCTATGGGATGGAACATCCCAAAAAAAAGTCTCCAGATTCGAGTACTACATTACTGGATCTCTGGCCGTGCCAATAGAGCGTCTAGGTATTACATTACCGGTCTTACAATAGAAGGTTTGTGCCTAAAGTGAGGGGGGGGGGGGGGGGGGGGAAACAAGTGACAGCCAGCTACACCTTATTTATGTGTTTTTGGACAGTACGACCGGGCGGCCGCGAATGCCGGTAATTAAGAAGTGTGAGACTTAAGGACAACTTTAGAATGAAGTTAACTCGGCCCGGCCCAGTGTATCAAAACAGTACGGACTTAAAAGTTTGTATTTAACCGTACACAAAAATCCAAATGGCCATGAATAAAGAATATCATTAGAATAAGAAAAAACCAAGAGGATGTGCGCTTAATCAGTCTACGAATGCCGTTACGTCCATCAAAATGAATAAGGATGCCCTACAAACATTATGCAATGAATAGAAACATAATAAAGATGCCCGATAAAATATGAAGCGAAAAGGGCATAATTACTGTAGGGATGCCCTTCAGACATTCAATAATGAATATAAGCATAATAAATATCCGATAATATATAAACGAATATGGGCATAATTGCTGTAATTATATAAATACAAACGTGAATACAAGTAAATTACTTTAAAGTTGCCCTGACGATATATAAAATGAATGCGGGCATAATTACTGTTTGGATGCCCTTCAAAAGTATTATGATGAATATAAGCAAATTACATTAAAGATGCCCCTACAGTGTGTAAATTATAATCATGGGCTTTAATACTCAATGGATGACCACAAGTGTATAAATTGATTATGGGCGTGTTCTCTAAAAGATGCCCCTACAGTGTGTAAATTATAATCATGTGCTTTAATACTCTATGGATGACCACAAGTGTATAAAATGATTATGGGCGTGTTCTCTAAAAGATGCCCCTACCGTGTGTAAATTATAATCATGGGCTTTAATACTCTATGGATGACCACAAGTGTATAAAATGATTATGGGCGTGTTCTCTAAAAGATGCCCCTACAGTGTGTAAATTATAATCATGGGCTTTAAAACTCTATGGATGACCACAAGTGTATAAAATGATTATGGGCGTGTTCTCTAAAAGATGCCCCTACCTACACAAGTATCAGATACTCTATTAATTCAAAGACTGCATATATTTATTCGGGGAATATCAATGACTACTACACCACTACCCTTCACCGATGCCCCTTTCTCCCTGAAGGTTGTACGACACGGACAGTACGATGACTATATCAGTGCCATGTGTTGATTGTATATACACATTTCGGTGAATTCGGCAAATTGTGATAATTTGATAATTCTGCCTAGGTAGACAAACCTTAGTAGACATTTAGCTTTCCTAAAAAAAAAAAAAAAAAAAAAAAAAAAAAAAAAAAAAAAAAAAATTAAAATTTAAAAATTAAAATAAAAAAAAATCATTTTTTTTTTACCCCCTTTGGATGCCCCTTTGATGTGGCTGCCCGGGGCCTGGGCCCCCTCCGCCCCCCCCTCTGCACGCCACTGCATAGAAGACACCACACAGCGTAGCCACCACCCTCATCCCCACCTGTCAGGTGAGTTGTGGTTCACCTCGAAGGTTTACAATTGTAGAGCCGGGTCGGCTATTTGGGGTAGGGGTAGATAATTTAGATTTTAAAAGGGGAGGTAATAACAATTTCTGCCATAACTATTCATTGTCTTCTGTAAACTGTCCTCACAGGTGGCTGCTTTCACAGAGTTCACAAGAGGGGTGGGGGTGGGGAGGAAAGGTGTGTATAATCGTCTTTACCAGCTACTGATAGTGTTTTAAAGCAAAATATTTTCAGTCGCAGCATTGGTAGTGAATTATGAATTACTGAAAAGTAGAAAATAAAACAACTAAACAGCGGCGTATGCTTACGGCGCGGGTCAGCTTGTAAGTTATTAAAGTATTAGTAGTGGAGTCTAGTACATTGAGTAGGCCTAAGTTTTAATTTTTCAAGTTTACTTTCCTTTGTACGAACGAAGAGCTAGAGACTAGAGAGAGACTCAAGCAACTCTAGTTAGTAGCTAGGCCCTACGTAGATTATTGGTTTATATAATTCAACATAGAAAAATGTATGGTTACCATAAATTATAAACACAACGACTGTTATAAATAAGAAAGAGTGTGTGACTTCGTTTTATTGTTTAATGTTTATGTTTCGCGTTTCACAACACAGCTGTTCTTCCTACTACCATTTTGGTCATGTGACTTTGTAGAAGGCAATACTAATTGATAGTGGTTACGCTTTGTTTACAAACAAAGTTTTGTAAGAAATTAACTTTATTCGATATGTCTAATTGTCATTTAGGAACTGATACACAAACAAAACTGTTTTAACTGCTCTTAAATGTTGTAAAATTACTAACCACGAGTATAATCAAAATAAAACATTTGACAACCTTTATCGAGTATTACTTATATTTTCTATTTATAACTATCACATGCTCTATCACGTCACTTTTGTGTTGGTTCCTGACGCAAACAAGGAAAGCAAAATGGCAGCCAGTAACACTAAGCAATGTGGAACTGTAGTTACAAGTTAAACGTATAGATGCTTACATACTCCTTTATGAAGTTACCCAAAGTAGTTTCCATTTTGTCGTTGAGTTAGGGATACCATTATTGAGATGGGTTTAAAATTAAGTACAAATAATCAAACACGTATGCGGACCTATTCAGCGAGTACCCCTGGCTCGAGTAATGGTGGTGGTGCGGGTACAGATGTTGTGGCTCGGAATGGTGCTCAGTCATCAAGAGCCAGAGCTAGAAGTCTTGGAAACTTTCAGTCAGGGAACTCTGGATCGTTAAGTATTCCAGGGACTTCAGGTGGTACTCACAGAAGCAGTTCGCCGGATTCAGATTCCAGTTCCCCAGAAGATGGTGCCCTTTCTTTGTTTGGTGGAAGAGCACCTTTCACAAGCTCATTACCAGTTCCAATGCATCTATTTGCACTACAAGGTATGTTAGTTGTTACCTATTCTTATTCAAATTTAAAGTCAAAATAATTATTTCAAATAAAGTGTATGCAAATATTTTGGCTGCTTCGTAATGCATATACAAGGGTAAATCAAAATGAAGTGATAGACAAAGGCGTGACAAAGGCATCCACCCAGAAAAAGACTCTGTGTCTCATTGGAAGATTAGGCTTTATTAAAAATCAAGTTATTTCTTCAATCATGTCCAGTGTTATTACTTATTGGAAGCTAAAGAATACAAACAGGATTTGTGGGGTTTTTTTTAAAGTATTCTAAAAAAGTATTTACAAATGCCTATTCAAATGAGACTGAACATTATAATTATTTGGCCAATTCTAGACAGAAAAAATACGCATGCACAAAAGGAGAGAAACTACTGCCTTTATTCGCGGCAATGTTTTCAATGGTACTGGGCGTGCGTGTATTTACAAACTACAGAACCCTAACCTTACCCTAGCACAGCTATTAATGTCACTGCGCATGCACAGAACTATTGAGTTTCGTATTTTCAGCAGAAAAATCTTTTTCCAAATAGTCACTTCCGTAATTATTTAGGCCTAGGCCCTTCCAAAAGTAAATATTGGTGGTCCTGAATAGCCAATCTTTTTCTTACAACAGTGAAACTTTGAATTTACATTTAAATAGAAATTCAGCCTTAAAAGCAAAAAAAAATATTTTTCTTTCAATGCTAGTAAAATGATTTTGCACCCCTGAGCCAAAATCAAATGGGCCCATGCCATTCTAATTATCAGATGTGCTTTAGATTTTAGGCAGTACAGTGTTATAAATTGTTGAGTGTACAAACAAAAGACGCTACTAATCATCAGACATTGGGAATTAGCCTAATTATTAAATAATTAAGGCCTTTATGTTAATGGGCCTTTCTGAATCTCCCGGATTATGTTTTACTGTTCTTAGATAATAACAGAGTACTTTGATACAGGCAAAAAAAAAAAAAAACAAACAAAGAACTAAAATATTGGGGAAAAAATATCAAGAAGGAAAAAAGCATTGTTCAAGCCCTTTGTGCCTAATAAGAAAAAACGAAAGAGTTTTAACTGAGTTTGAAAGATGCTTCATTTTATTTAAGTAACTGAGTTGAATCTGAAGGTATTTACTATACTCTACATTTTAATCATAGTGTTTTACCCTGTTATAATTTGGCTGATCATATGTACAGGTATCAGCTATCACACTGTACATAGCTATTTAATTACTGTGTACCATGTAACATGTTATGTAACAGACAGCATCTTTAATTATTCAGGTTTTGGTCACCCTTCAATTTACTTCAAAGAGAATAGTGACCAAACATGTTTATTTCACAACTGAGTTATCTACCTTAATATTTTATAAAGTACCTTTTTGTCAAGGAGTCCCATAATTGTTTTATTAACCAACTAGGATAAAAATCCAGTTAAAAAGAGGTCTAGCCTGATTGTTAAAAAATATTCATTCCCTGTGCTTATTTGTAATGTTGTCACTTATACTAAATTTTAAAAAATGCCTTTCATTTTATTTTCATGGGTGATATGGAAAGAAGCAATTAGTGAAGAAAAGTCATTTGTGTAGTATGTAGCAGAATATTGTATTGTGTTGCAGAGTATTGCATTACTATATGTAACAGAATTTTGTATTGTATTATGTAGCATAATATTGTATTATGTTGCAGAGTTTTGTATTATGTAGAAGAATATTGTATTGTATTTTATTATGTAGCAGAATATTGTATTATGTTGCATAGTTTTGTATTATGTAGAAGAATATTGTATTGTATTGTATTATGTTGCAGAATATTGTATTATGTTGCATAGTTTTGTATTATGTAGAAGAATATTGTATTGTATTTTATTATGTAGCAGAATTTTGTATTGTTTTAAGTAGCGGAATATCTATTATGTATCAGAATATTGTATTGCTATATGTATCAGAATATTGTATTGCATTAATGTAGCAGAATATTGTATTGTATTATGTATCAGAATATTGTATTGCATTAATGTAGCAGAATATTGTATTGTATTATCTAGCATAGTAATGTATTGTGTGGCAAGCAAAGAGCCTTGAGCTTGATTCTCCACTTCCTTGTTTACTCATCATTGACAGCTATCTCTTCTATCAGGGAAACAGGATATACCTCATTGACTTTTGTCTTGCACATCTCCAATAGCAAATCTTTGTTTAGCCTAATGTGTACTAGAAGTAGTAGAAGATGCATTGATACAAAAACACATTTCCATGACAAAGTAGCTCACACAAAAAAAAAGAAATCAATGGAAAATCTCTATAGTGTGAGGCTATTTAGCTCGACGGGATCTGAACCCACTACTCCAGGCTTAGCATTGTCACGCTTGACATTGCGTTAAATCAGTTTACCAGGCTTAAATTTTAAGCATAATTTCAGGCTTCAATTACATTTTTAGCTGCCTATAGTCATCTCAATAACCTTTTATGTTGAGTCAGTTGATCTCCCTGATTTTGTTTTGTCCCCATACTGCTGTAGAATTGTCTAACAATGGGCCTACATAGTCAGTTTTTTACACATATAATAGTTTATTTTACAACAAATCAATGAGGCTTAATTCTGTTTATTCTTTCAATGAAAGTTGTTTAATCATCTTTGATCTAGTTCCAACCATTGGGAGGTGTAGGTTTTTTGCCTGCGTTGTCAGTAACAGTTTGATTATTTCCATTTAGAATGCCTAACATACTGATCTTTATTAAATTTTGAGCGATATTGTTTATTTCTCCTGTACAGAAAGTTAGTCACCATCAACATATAAAAAAAATGTCTACATACAAGAGAATATAAAAAGTCTAGTAAAATAACAAAAATATTTTAATATTTCTCAAATAGACCTAACGATGTATCTCTATCAACATATCACCCATTTTTCTGCATATAACAAATCTGGCAAAAAACAACATCATAATATTTTAGTATTCCCACTCAACTAGCCCTAATAGCTTTTTAAATACTTCACATATTTTGTCCTGTCACCAGAGAACCAGCATATGTAAACAAAGAAGGACGTCTGTTAGAGAGTTCTTTAAGCAATGCTGTTCAATATTATTGACCAAACTCTGTGTGGAGTGTGGATCAGCCCACAGAACCAGAAAAAAAAAAATTAAAACAACATTCCCAGCCAGACTAATGAAAAAATTTGTTTTGGCTAACGACAGAACAAATATTGATTACTTTAGCTGGACAATATACAACTGTTGATGTTCTAAGACAACTATATACAACATCTACTGTACAAATGTAGATGCTCTAGGCTAACTTCTAGGCTAACTACTGTACAAATGTTGATGCTCTTGTCTATCTTTTGTACAAATGTTGATGTTCTGGGTTAACTACTGTTGTTACTAACTGTTGTACAAATGTTGATACTAACTTATGTACAAATGTTGATGTTCTAGACTAACTACTGTACAAATGTTGATACTAACTACTGTACAAAGGTTGATACTAACTAATGTACAAATGTTGAAACTCTAGACTAGCTACTGTACAAATGTAACCTCTATGCTTTACTCTAATGCTGTTTTCTGGTCTAGCAGTGATGTCCTCACCATACAAAACATTTCTTCCCCCCCCCCCCCCCCCCCACCACATAATCAAATTTAATCAATTGATCTTTTGTGTTCAGACGTGTTTAACTCTTCTTTGTGTATTGATTCTTAAAAACTTGGCCCTCAATCACTGGAAATATCTTTCCAGGAATAGCAGGCAGGGGGGGTGGGTGTTGGATATTTTATTTTGGTTATCTCTGACATGCATACAAATTGTTTCCTTAATAAAAAAAAAGCATTAATTATCATATTTTTTTAAGCTTATTTTTTATGTAAGAGATGTTGTCTATTCACTGAGTTTGCTATTTTGACAGCTGTGTTCAAAATGAAAAGCTTGAATTTACATACCTTCATAAACCAAGTTAATCTTATAATTTTTTTTTAAAGTGTAAATTTACATTTGTCATACATCTTTTCAGGTCAAATATCACTCAACAGGATGCCATTTAATTGTATCTCCTAAGTTGTGATATTAAATGCTATAAATGATTTCAGTGTATGTATATAACTAATTAAATACTTATATACATATTTATCTGTTGCATTCTTTGTGCCATAGATTTTTATACCCCATTAACATACGAATTGATTATATTTGATGGGTAAAATAATACATGATTCTGCTGTAGTACCGTCTGATTTTCAGATTAACTCAATCCAAGGATAAAGACATATGTAAAAAGCAGTTGTTATAATATTTTTACTTTACTGTCTGTTTTTACGAATGCTATTGCTAACTTATGTTGTTTCTGTTTGAAGAATGTGCCACCTGTTTGATTGCAGGTATCAAGTGCCCTGTGTGCTCAAAGCAGGTAGCCTCAGATGATATAGAATGCCATCTTGTCATGTGTCTCACAAAACCACGTATTAGCTATAATGGTAGGTCATTTTTATATATAAACTGTAGGTCATATTGTCTATATTGGTCATCTTTTTACATTCGTGCCCAAGACTCATGAGGCAGATGAAGTAGAGTTCATATGTTACAATTACTTTAGCATATGAGGGGATAGTGGGATTAGCACTTTGCCCACCAGCCACTTTTTTTTCCCTACTGTGAGTTGGGTACCCATTTGAGCTGGATAGACTCAGATGTCCTACAGACTCGAGTCCAGGGTCCAAACACAAGACTTTCTGGTTATCAGTCCCAAGCTCTACCTTTTTACCACGCCCCCATCTGCCCCATGTGTCATGGGCACAAACGGAAAAAGATGATTAAAGGTTACGAGCCGGCCCGCGGCATAACATACGCCGCTATTTAGTTGTTTCTAATTTTCAATAATTCATAATTTGTGAATTCGACAGTACCAACGCTGACACTAAAAATATTTCTTTAAAACACTATAAGTAGCTCGTTAAGGACCATAACCCCCCCCCCCCCCTTTCCTTCCCCCCCCCCCACCCCCCTCCCCCCCCCCCCCCCCACGTTTAAAATCGTTGGCTCTGCTTGTAAACATTTAGAGTGAACACAGCTCACTAAAACCATGTAGGGGTGGGGAGGTAGGGAGAGCGTTTGCAGCTTGTTTTCTAACGGCTCGAAGAGGAGAATTATATATATAGATATGCTCATTTGTACCTCACCTTTAGCCCACATGTAACACATTTATGTTATATCACTCCTCCATTGTGTTTATACCATGTGTGTTTGTCCATGTTACAGAGGACATCTTGTCAGAAGACAAAGGGGAATGTGTCATCTGCTTTGAGGACCTCATCCAAGGGGACACAATTGCCAGACTGCCATGCCTTTGTATATACCATAAAGGGTAAATTGTAGTCCCAGCAGTTTGTTAAATCTTTAAAGAATTTGATATGTAAAAACCCTTTTAGCAATAATATTAAATCAATCTTTGCCAGTTTTTGTTATAAACTTTATTTTGAAGGGAGAAAGCTCCAGGTAAAGTAAGTTTTATTTTTTAGAGCCATTATTAAGATGCTATTTTCTACATAATGCTTAAGTAGGATTTTTTTAGTGTGAAAATTGTGCGACAGTAAATCACTGCTTACATTGTGTAGAATAAAGATATAGATCTACATAAATATTTGAAGAAATATTTGAAAACTTTTTTTTAAAGTGATTACCCTCGTTTTATTTTAAATGCCTTCTCTCCCTCTCATCTTATAAAAAAAATTGTTTTATTTTCTAAACCACTTTACTGCGTACCTTCTCTCTGATGATAACTTTGTTGTCCTGCCATTAGGCACAGGCCCAAACATTTGTTGAAATTTAATTTCAGATGCATTGACAAGTGGTTTGAGGTCAACCGGTCGTGCCCAGAACATCCATCAGACTAGTTGAAACCGCGATAACTGGTTAACATTTTGCTTTTATTAAAAGACTTCTTTGTTATATACATATATATATATATATTTACATATATATATATATATATCATACAGTTTTGATTTACGTGATACAAACAATGGGTTTGCTAACCCCAACTTCAGATAAATGTGTATATAATTGTACATACACGTTCTTAAGATGATTGTTTCGATAAATTCAATTCTTGAGGATGCCATGCTGATTGTGAAACATACAATTCCATCTTGGTTTAATTGAGAGGATGCTTGTGCAGCTTTGAGGAGTGGTCATCGTCGTGGCAGAGTTGAGTGAATGTACAGCTTCAATTCAAGATCTGGTCTCTGTAATGGCCTGTATTTTGAGATGAGTGAATGGACAGCTTCAATTCAAGGTCTGGCCTCCATTATGGCCTGTATTCTGAGACATATGAAAGGACAGCTCCAAGGTTTGGCCACCATGGCCCATATTTTAACCAGGATATGTACACCTGCCTCCTCCCTACACTTCTGTTGATGCCTCTATTATTATAGCTTTTCCTTTATGCATAATTCTACTTTGTTGGTGTAATAAATGTACTGTGTTTTTTATTTTATTTTTGTTGAGCATTTTTCTATGTTGAAAAAAAATTGCTTTCTTCAGAAGTTATTGTTTTGTTTAATTCCCAGATTTTAAACATTATTTACTTTTGATAATTTTTGTGTCATTTATTGTTTTTTTATCCGTCTTTTTTATTAATGAAGTAGATATCTAATTGGATTATGTAAATTAATTTAGCAAAGAACTGGGGGGGGGGAGGGGATTTAACAGAATTTAAAACTTAAGGATAAATTTCTCGCAATGAGCTACCCAAAACAACAAAAGATCATTCCAATTTGTCTTCAATACTTGTGTGAGCTTTATTTAACAGGCGCAACCTTTTACAATACAATTGATTCTAAAATTTTACACACCTACTGATAGTTGTTTTTTTTCCCCAGTAACTTTTAAAGATTAATTTTCAAAATTGATTTCATGGCAATAAAAACGAAAATTTAAAACAAATTTCAGCTTAAGTCCTTTTTAACTGCTAGGTGTATTCAGATAAGTTGTACCACCAAAACTGGCTTCCTAAGAGAGTGATTAACGTCACTGTCTCTCACACTATGCACATGTTCTCTCATCAATATGGCCAGCTATATTTAGAACCATCCACACATTTCTTCCATTTCTTTATATACATATTTGTTTTGATTTTAATTAATTTTTCAACTTAATTTGCAAATATTTAAATAATCACAGCAACAACATAAGCTGTAATTTGCACTTTGATGTTTTATTTCATTCATTACTAGATAAACAGACAAACGAACCATTGATTTTATGTTAGAGGCATTAAATATGTGAATCTTGCATTAAAGTTTTAGTTACAGTATGCTGTTTAAAAAATAATTATAGATTTAGTTGTTAAAACTACCATGGGGCTATTTTTAAGTCCCTTTTTTTTGTTCTTGTATTTTTGTTTTAAATAGGTTTTCTTTTTTTTCTAGCAAGGTAATATGGTTTACATTAAACATATCTGGAAAGTTAATGGTAATTGAAATCACCATTTCAGAAGGTTTTGAGTCATGATGATACAACAGTTTATGGTCCAGTGTGTAATGGTTTAGTGCTGTTGATTAATCCGGTCACAGAAACAGGTTGCCCTCAGTTGGGATTACATTAGGTGCTTTTGTTGTTTTTAAAAAAAAATTGTTTCCACCCTTGTAATTCCACATTTTTCTTAAGTTTTGAAACCTTTTCTTGTTATTTTTATGTAGTTTGTTTTAGATAATATCCAGCAGATGTAGCTTTTCTAAAATTAAGTATTGGTGTAGAGGTATTTTTGTGCTTAAATGGGTTTTTTTTTGTAGAAGTAGTGTTATTTTTTAAAAGAAATTTATTAACATGTAATGAACCACGCCATCACATTTAATACTATAGTACTAACCTGAATGTAGGTTGTTTCGTTTTTAAGCCTGTCTTTGAAATGTTATATTTTGTATGATTTAGTATATTTGTTAATGATAGATAACGTTAATTACTCAAGAATAATTTTAACAGTGTGGTTTGGATTTCCACATTTTGACATTAACACATATTTGGTGAATATAGTGAAAACACATTACCATATCTCAGCTAACTTTTAAAATGATTTTGAATTTCCACATTTCACCATATAACATTGGTCTTTTGGTCTGTATAGAAAATACACTAAAACAGTATTCACTTAACTTTTAGAAAACCATTGAGTAGTCTCATGGTAGAGCACTTTAGTCTTCAGTTTGATCCCCTTAAGTCAATAGTCCTGCAATCCACCCAGTACAGATGGGTACCTAACTATTGTTAAGGAAAGTATGCTGAAGTCACAAAAAGAGATAAACTCTACTTTACCTGATTAGGTCCTTGAGTAAAAAAAAATTACTTTGGGAAAATAATTTGGCCTTTTGTAGTTAAAAATTGTTTCTTGTGTTGTTGTTTTTTTTTTATTACTTTATGCTGTATTTTCTTTGAAAAGGAGATTCCACATTGCTTGATTTCATTTCTATTTGACAAGTGTAGAGAAAGCAGGGCATACTCAAGGCATATGTTTATGTGGGCACATTCTTCTGCATGGCTTCACTGCAGATACCAAACAGAATAATTGTTGAGTTTGTGTGATCTTGTTGTTATGGATGAAATCCCTTACTTCATGGGTGTCTGCAGAAATTTTTTTTATTATAATGGAGGTCACTCTCAGTCATTTGTAGACAATTTTGGATTTGTTCGTTTTTTCAGAGTACTTACATTGATTTTATCACAGATGTGCTTTGTATTTACATTATAACATCTCCAATTTCTATTGATTAGGTATTTTATTCCCTCAACGCTGCCTTGTAAATATCCAAGGGTTGTGCCCTATCAATACCTGATTATAAAAGAATATCAAGGTTAGCCACTGTCCCTTTATTAGAAAAGGGTCATAGAAATACCTAAACTCTACTTCATCTACTTTGTTGCCCAGGTCTAAAATGGTACTTCCTAATGTAGTTTTTTTTCAGGATACAAAATCTACTGCCCCTACCTGTCTGTGTGTGTGGGGGGGGGGGGGGGGTTTAAAGCTCCCAGTTGCTAAACCAAAAAGCCCATACCTCAAGCCTCTGGGTAGATGTGGCATTTTAGCTGGGGGAAAGCACCCCATCTAGGAGAGAAAATTTAATTAAACAACTGTTTCCTTGTAGTTTGTTCTTGGATGGACAAAACTAAGGCTATGGAAGCAAATCCAAGCAAAAAAGCAGGCTGAAGTCAGGTTCATTGGGACATAACATATTGACACATCATTCTTGTGTTGGACGAAATCGTTTCCGTTAAAATAAGAATGAAGAAGAAAGAAGTGTGGGTCACCTGATACTAAAACCTTTGCCCCTACCTATTCTGCGGACACCCATATCTGATATCCTTGTTATATGTGGACACCGGTTTCTAAGCTGTTGGTTGTTGTCAAGTTTATGTGATAATGACATATACCAGTATGATTGTGTAAACCCACTATTCATTTACCCATAGTGCGCTATTGTGTGAATAAATTACAGACTTTTTTGGTGTGGTTATTTAGATTTAGGGTGTTATCATGTTCCTGTTATGGTCTGACTATTCATGGGAGCAATCTAAAATAGGTTGGTCTGTGAAATGGTGATGTTGTTGAAATGGCTGCTGTTTGGACCTAAAATGGTGGTGATGAAGGAATGGCGGATGTTAAGACTGTAAAATGGTGATGTTGTTGAAATGGCTGATGTTTGGACTGTGAAATGGTGATGTTGATGAATTAATTGTGTTATGGTTTTTGAACCATATGCAATTTGTTAAAGAAACATTTTTGATGATTCAACTTAGTGTCCTTCTTATTGATCTAAAGCACATGATCAGTTTTAATGGAGTTTTTAGAGTTTTAGTTGATACTTTAATTAAAAATAAACACATTTTTGTTTGCGGATTATTTTTTAAAAATGAAGGTACGTTTTATATTACAATCAGTGATAAGCATATTTTGTTTGTTAGGTAATTTATTTTTGCTAGTAGCAAAGGATTGGTAGTATAATTTTATGTGTGCTATGAAAGATAAATCATCAGGTATATAAGTTTTATGTATGATATATATGATATATACATATATATATATATATATATATATATATATATATATATATATATATATATATATATATATATATATATAGGTATACAAGTCTGTAGAATGTGTGACTTTGTGCTTGTTTGTATCATGGGAGTTGAATACATGAATAATAGGCTTAAATCATTGTGGTATTGACAAAAATCTGTCATGTATGTATACTTACATTATTTTGTCTTGTATATGTCATAACTATTTTAATTGAAATATATGTATGAGCAAGCATAAATATGCATGTGTGTGTATATATACATTCATATATGTATGTGTATATATACATATATGTGTATATATATACACATATACACACATATGTATTTAAGTGTAAAGTAAATACATGTATTATGAGTGAATCATGTGAAAAATACCTCTAAACGCTTATATTTTATAATTAACCAACTTATTGGGACAAGTGTGTTGGATATAATGCTGATATTGTATGAATAAAAAAAAACAGGTTTCATTTTTCAATATCAGAATTTGTTTGAAAAAAGAAAAGATAATATGTTTTGTAATTTTTTTTTTTTTTTTAAAGTAAATTCCTGTTTTTTATGAGAGCAACTTATTCTGTGTGTTGCATTAAATTTACTCTTCTTCAAATGTTTGGGTTACCAATGAGCATATTTTTAGCCAAGAAATTAATATTTGTTCAGTTTTTGTCTGTTTTCCAAGATATGTTGTTGCCACTGTGTCACATTTTAATTATTAAATTACTGTTATTGAATTGTAAAGTTAAATTTTAAAAATCTCATAATTCTACAAACTGATTAAACCTAAAAATCTCAAATTTGACGTTTTTTATTTTATAAAATACAGAAAGAATGCCAAAAAAAAAAATCTTTCACATATTCAACTCTGTTATCTTATTCATTAAACTTTGCCTACATAGTAATTATACATATATTTTTGGATTGTATTACTTATACTAAAATACAAGAAAGACAATCTTGGAGCTAATTGTATAGCACATTGTGCCAACCAATGAATGTTGATGTAAAAAGAGAATTTGTGTAGAGAACCTATTGGTGATGGTGTAGTGAATGGGATCTCTAGTGTATTATTTCCTATGTTGATATTTCTATTGTTGGAAGTTTGAATGTTTTAATCAGACTTCTTTAACCCCAGTGGTTCTCAAAGTTTGATTCAGGGAGGCATCCAGATTGTTAAAATTTATATTTACCTTTTAAAAAAAAAAATTTTTAGTGAATTATTTAAAATTTTAGAAACTAATTTTTTTTTCCACTCATGATTTTCTATTTGTATGCTGAAATTGTCCTGGGATTAACAAAAAAGATAACCTAATTGAATCAAAAGACAGTATCAAAATGATGCTCATATATACATTTATCAGATTTTAATTTGGATATAACATGTCTTTACAGGCATGGGTAAATTTACCCTGTGATAGAAGAGCCACATCATAAGGCTTCCAATAAAAGGGGACCCCATCAACAAATGGTTCAGGGTACCTTTGTTTTTAGACTTTTTTTTTAATAAAAAGAACAGCTACTTGTAAAGTAACAGATTAATTAATATAAAAGTTTGTTGTCCAAATACTAGTTTAAGCACAACTTAAGCCACTTTTTTAATTATTTAAAAAAATTATCTCTGAACTATTGCACGGTTAACGCCCTTTAAAATTTGTTAACCACCTTCTAACTTTCAACATGTTATTGTCTGTGCTGTTAATTTGAAAGAGGTTGAGAGAATTTTTTGTAAATTGTGTATGTATATATTAATTAATTAGAACCATTCTAATCATGATTGTTTACTTGTTTTATACAAAAACGTGAAAAAATAAAACTGTTTTTATTTTATTTTTCTGTTCAGTCATATGTCTTTGGTTACGTTATACTGGCTTGTGTCCTTAACACAGACCTCTATGGCTGTTGTTGCTATCTGCCATCTTTGTTTACATCAAAACACATGTATGTTCTGTCATTTGTCACTAGGTATTGGCAAGCTGGGTTCAGAATAAGAAGGTATATGTCATTTAGACGGGTTAATACAAATGTCAGACATTTTCATGTTGACATTAGATTTTTGTCAAAGTGAGATTTGTCATTGCTACTTAGGGTGTCATGACACAGTAGTTGTAGAACTACCTAATTTGTATGGGTAAATAAATAAAATAAGATGATCACCATGGCAATGGCAGGAAATTTTTGGCCGTTTTTATTTTTTTAGACTTAACTCTTTGTTATATGCTAAATATAGCATTAAGTTTAGAAATAAGCATTTGGCTAATTTGGTTTTCATCACCCACCCATGCCCTTAAAGTTTATGCGTTTTCCACTTGTTTGTATTAACAAATTAGATAAAGATTTTGAGTAATTTTGTTGTACCTTATCTCAGAATAGAATTCCTTGAAAAATGATTTTTTTTCTTTTGTGGACTTCAAAACATGAAATTTTCAAATGTAACAAGTCAACTTCTAAGTTAACAATATTTTTTACAAAATTTTACAACTTGTCAAAATGTAACCTAACTTACTCTTAGTTGAAAAAGAACAATTAAACCAACAAATCACATCATCTTGCTCTGTTTGGTGAATAATAAAATACTCCAAATTACTTAAATGTTAAAAATAGTCTTAATTAAAATTAATTGTCCTTAAAAAGCAAACAGGTTAACTCAGCTAAGTATTAAGGACTAGTGTGGAATATGTAATACATCTGTTTTTTTTCCTAACCTACTGTTAATTGTTTTAGAAACATCTTAAACTGTTTAAAATTATCATTTTTTTAACTCTTGATGAAACTCCATATTTAAAATTATTTGGTTCTTTTTATTTTAAGACTAACGTTATAAACATGTAGCAGTGTAGCTTAAATGCACCACAGTCATGGAGTTAAAATTATGGCAGTTTAGTCTTGTAAAGTCTGCAGTGTGCTAACAATACCATCTCTTCATATGCTGAGGTCAAGAAACTTATGAACTCTACTTCATCTGCTCTGTGGATATTTTGGTCTGAAAGGGGAACTTTACTTCGTGCTTTGAGTTTTTAAATACAAATCTCTGCTTTAGTCAACAGACATGCAAATTGTATAGTTGCTAAACTATATTTTTTTTCAAATGAATGTTACTCTGAAATAAAGAGTTATGGTTTGTTTGTACTCATATACTAGGGCACTTTTTTTTGTTGGTGTTTAAAGGTGTTAAGCTCATTCTGAAAAACAATGTGTGTCACTTCTTGAGCAAGAAATTTTCCTAGCTCTTGTCTCACTTGTACACAAGTGATCTCCCTTGTTTGAATAGAATTATTTTTTTTAAAATTACAATTACCATTGTTAGTTTATTTGCTTAATTCTTTTTGTTAGTCAAACATTCGCAAGTTGAAACCATATTATATTTTGTTTTGTTATTAAATTATTATTTTTTTATATATGACCATTGAATTGTATTTTTTTTTAAATTGTGTTAAAACTTTAATAGTTAAAACAGGTTAAATATGTCAGGAATTTGTTCTTTTGTAAAAAAAAAAAAATGAATATAATATTTTCTTTTTCAACCAACTAGTGCAATACAAATTTAATATTAATATTTATAGATTCTGCTTCAGAGTAGCTGTTAGTTTAGCTGTATGGTGTAACTTATTATTTTTCTGCGTCTACAAAATGTAATTACAAAATAAGTCTAAATAAGTCCCATCTAAGTAAATCAGTGAGACAATTAATTAGGGATGTTTAGTTTCTCTAGTGTCAAATATACTCTTTTCAAAATTGAACACCAGTCTTAACCTGTGATACATTCATTTCTAACCATATGATATTGTTTTGACTTTTTAAAAATTTCTTTTCTTAGTTGTAGTTATTTTTTTTTTTTAAGAAAATTATTTAATTTCAACATATCATATTTTCAAAATTAAAAACTGTTTAATAATTTGTTGACTATTTGCCTACCAAAAACTACGCTGTAATTTTGTGCATAAAAACCATTAGCAACACATTAACATATCAACTTTTTTTTATAGCCTAAAACACCTAATTTTCCAATGCTTTTTAATCTTTGTTATGATAACTATAATTTATCCAACTATTTGTTGGTTGTTTTTTTTTGTACACAAAGCTTGAAGTAGGTATCTATTTTGATATTGGTAATACAGAGTAAACTTCAAATTTATTTAACTTTTAAAATGAAGAGCTTTGTAAAAATTATCCAATCTCTTTATTTTAAAAGTAAGGAAAATGAAAAAAACATCAACAAAAAAAAATTGTTAAAAATCAGTTCTATTTGTACATATTGCGTTGAGTAAATCACCCCCACGGGTGGTAAAATGGGTTGTATATTTCTTGAAACCTGCCTGTTGTGTGGTTGCTGCAACTAATCATGTTTTGTCTCTTCTTCATCTCATTCTTTACAGTTACATGTTCTGGTAAACAATAAAATTTTAAATACATTATGGTGAGATTGTGTTGTCTCTCTCCCACATTTTTTTTCATTGGTTTATTTTTTTAAGTCTAGTTTTAAGTTGCATGTGGGGCTGGCTTCTTCTTCTTCGTTCTTAATTTTTAGTGTTGGAAGGGATTGAGCTTTTGCCAACTCGACCACGCCTCCATCACAATTAAGGATACGTGTCAACTGGTTATGCTCCATTGACTCCGATTTCAGCCTGCTTTTCTTTTTGGATTTGCTTCCATAGTCTTTGTCCAACCAAGAACAAACTGCCTCATCTGCCTAAGGGTTCAAACTCGAGACTTTTCAGTTTAGCAACCATGAGGCTTAACTGACTCGACCACGCCGGCCCCTGTGGGGCTGGTTGTGAAAGGTAGTTTACACCTTGTATATTTTGGCAAGCTGGAGAGATAATTCCAAAATAAAACAGGAGTGAAGCCCCTTATGTAAGATCACTAACTCTGGTTTCCTTTCCGTAGCTCCTGCGACACTGCTGATATTAAGTTGTACAGGTAACGTCCTGTCCCTTGGGTCCATCAGCTGTGTGCTGAGAGGGGGGCCTGATGCATGGGCAACACCTGGCTATAAGGGCCCCAGGCTTTGTGCTCACATTTCCACCAATGCTTACACAATCATCCAATGGTCAATTAAACCATGCAGCTATTATTGTGGCAAATTTATATTATTTGACTGGATTTCAATTTAAATAATGAAATGTCACAAGTGATGCAACAAATGTTCTGTAGTAATGGCATAGTTTTGCTTTGAGCATGTCTGTATGTTAACTTATGCTTGACTTAAAGTAAAATAAAAAAATGGAAAAATCAATAGTTCTTAAAACAATCCGAGTGAAAGGAAAGCAGTTAAAGTCCAATTTCAGGCAGTTGAAGCAGAGTTGACTAAAGTCATCAGTGCTTGTCGAACTCAAGGACACAGAGCTGAACTTGAGACTTTGGGGGTTAGCTACTGTCAACCGTGCAGTATGAAAAGGTCACTAACCTAATAGTAGTGTGCAGTGTAAGTCTCAAAGCTCAAGCAATGCACACTTGTATTCTTAAACGAGTACGAAACATTTTCAAACTTAACAAGTCCAGATTATACCAGTACCAAACATTTTCACACTCAACAAGTTCAGATTGTTAATTAGTTTAATTTAGATTTTCACATCTCAGAGAAAAATATATGTACTAAAATTACAGTTGGCAATAATTAAAATTAATGATCAACAAATAATTTGTTATACAATCACTCAATCTACTTTACAAATCTGTTTCACCTATAACTTACAAAGCTAAATCCACAATGATAATTCTGTTAAAAATAACACAAAATATTAAATTGAATTAAATACTAAAAATAATTCTTTTTAAATATTACCTACATAAAATTGCATGAACTAGTTAAATACTGTGAAAGTATAAACTCCCTTAAAAAAAACTTCTAAAAATGATTACAATAAATAGCCAAACTGCATTAATAACAACAGATGGAATCCTAGAATCAACCAAAACAGTGTCAGACTTCAATGCTATGGTACTGCTTGTAGGCCTGCATGTTCACCTGCTTAAGTAGGGTGCCCATCTGTCTCCCTGGTCCCAACTCATAGGTGCTGGGGAACTCCACCCCCTGGCTGCGGGAGAAAATGGCGTGCATGATTTGCTCCCAGCGCACTGGCTTGATGAGTTGCTGCGCCAGCAAGTGGGAGAAGTTGGTGTTGGCCTGGTAGGGGAGGTTGGTCACATTGCTGTATACAGTCAGCTGGTGGAAACAAAGTTTATGTCAGAATAAGTTTAAATACAAATGTTAACCACACACCACTGAAATACCAATGTTAACCACACACCACTGAAATAACAATGTTAACCACACACCACTGAAATAACAATGTTAACCACACACCACTGAAATAACAATGTTAACCACACACCACTGAAACCCAAATGTTAACCACACAACAGTGAATTACCAAAGTTAACCACACCCACCACTGAAATACCAATGTTAACCACACAACAGTGAATTACCAAAGTTAACCACACCCACCACTGAGATACCAAAGTTTACCACACAGCACTGAGAGATAACCATTTTAACCACACACGACTGAGTAATAGCAAAGTTAACCACATACTACTGAGAAATACCAAAAATAGCCACACACCACTGAAAGATACCAAAGTTAACCACACCCACCATTGAGAGAGAAATACCAATCATACCTTAGGTCTCCCTATCTTCATGCCTGTGAGGGCATTCTGCAGTGGCTTTACAGCTGAGTCCATCAACTTTGTGTGGAAGGCCCCACTTACAGACAGACGTTTGGTCTTCAGAATGTTGAACTGTTTTGCATTGGTTGAGATGAACTCAATGGCCTAAAATGTTATCAAGACAGTAATATGTATTAAATAGTTAAGTTCCATTTTTTTAAACTGACAGTTCATGTGGCAAGCGAAATAGAGTTCACCTGTTTCTACTACCTCAGCATAAGAAGGGATAACGTGTGTGGTCAACAATATGCCCAGCCGCCTTTACTTTCTCTAACATGAGTTAGGTACTCATTAGAGCTGGGTGAACTCTGGGATGTTCTACTGAATTGAACCCGGATTCAAAATTTAGATTTTCTGGTTAGAAGTCTAGCTTTAAGGCTAACTGTCTTGCGCACTACCGCTAGGATAGACTGTTTGACATATATTAAATAAGAGTCAGATACCAGATATTAACACATCTGATTAGGTAAACTATTATTAAGTTTAAACAAACAAGAATTACATTTTTGAAGCTATGTTAAGTCATATCAGGATTTTAAAATTTATATCGATTTAACTATTTGCTAACTACAATTTGTTAACATAATATCTCACCTCCTAAAATTTAGATTGATTTAATTATTTGCTAACCACAATTTCTTAACATAATAACTCACTTCCTCGTGACCGGCGATGACTTTACACTCAGGGAACAGGTAATTGGCTACAATACACACTGGGTCCTCTATCCCTCGTCTCTGCTCACAGTACTCCTTAGCTGTTTTAATGGCCAACTTGAGGTCTGAATCATGCGCAAGGAACACGGTCAACATTCCACTGCCCACCCTCTCAGATGCTTTCTGCATAGCTTCAGCTCTTACTTTCACAAGTTTGACAGCTGATGGAATACAAATAAAATATTGTCACAAGTTCAACAGCTTTAGGAATGCAAATGCAGTTATTGTTAAAACCTTTTACAGATTCAAGAAAACACAACAATTATTTTTAAATGTTTTACAGCTTTAGGAATAAAAGAAAATTATTGTTACAAGTTTTACAGCTGTAAAGTAATTCATCAAAATTATTGTGTTAATTTATTATTAATTCTGAAGTCTTTGGAATAAATTCTTATGTCTTTATATATAATAATGTAACAGAAACAGGTGAACTCCTCTTCCCTTGTCCTTGTTCTACTGACCATCAGGTTCAAAGGGTAATTCAACTTTCTTACTCTACATCTACTACATACCATCAGGGAATGATAAAACCCCAGAGAAAACAAGGGCAGCAAACTCCCCCACACTGAATCCTGCAGCAGCCACGCAGTTCTCCACTGCCTGAAAAACAAACAGCTTGTTAATGTGATCATTTATCAGTAGCTAAAAACATTTACATTATAACTTGATGAGTAATTATACTGATCATTTATATATAGAAAATCATAGTCATTGCCATATCAAATTCAATGCCCAATTTGAAAAATAGTGATTTACATAAGCAAAAGAATGACCTTGAAGGTATTTTTAAAACTACCATATATTTGTATTTAATAATGCACAATGTCATAAGTTAGAGCAAGAAATAGGTTCCCATGCAATTTCCTTTTAAATTATTTTTCTGATCAAATAGAAATTTTTTTATTTTTTTATTTTAATTAGCATGAATTCTGAGTGTAAATATATTTAACTGATCCAGTTATTTATAGCTGTAATCCACTTTTTTTCATTATGTGACATATTTACTATGTTACAAGGGGATTATGTCGGGACAAAAGAAGCTGATGATTCAACAAATAATAATAATGTAATCTTACCTGAGGATGCTCCTCTCTAAACTTTTCAATGGCTGCTAGTGAAGTTATTATCACCGCTGGCTGGCAGTGAATCGTTTTATCCAGCTCAGACTTAGGTCCTCTCAGACATAAATTTAAAAGGTCATAGCCTAAAATAGAGCTTGCTTCATCATACATATCTTTAACACCTGGAAAGGGCAACAGTTTTTTACCCATCCCTACAAACTGGCTGCCTTGTCCTGGGAAGAGAACTACTGATGTTAAGGAGGGATTGATCTTAGGAACAACTGATTTCGCCTCTTCCATTTTTTCCCAGTTTTTGTATCTTTTCATATCTGAAGGAAAACTGTCAGCCTCAGTAAAATATTTAGGTTCTGTTGTCATATTCTTTAAAAGTTCTTCTAGATCTTCTTTCTTTCCCGTGAATTTATCTGGGCCTTGCGAAGAAGATGCAGCTGTGTCACTTTTTAGCTTTGACAAAAATTCTGCCTCAGTTATGCCTTGTTTTTCCAATCTCTTCACTACACGACGGGGCAATTTCTCACTTTTAGTGATATTTGGTGCATTTTTGTCATTATCAGAAGTTCCGTCAAATGTTGAACCATCCCCAGATGAAAATGCTCGAGATATATTTACACTTTGACAGGTTGACAAAGCATTGTTCACATAAACATGGTGAGATAATATTCTAGGAGAAAACATAGGCATCTTCTTAGAAACTTGGCTTTGGTAAATACTGTAAGTATTATGTTGGGATTTGCTGCTACCACAATATAAAGAACTATTGCAGTGACTGTGCCCTTTCAATATTTCTGATTGACTTAGGCATAAGTTTAAGTTTTTGTTTTCATGTTCTACAACTTTGCAGTATATAGAACTATGAGAAGAGCTAGATCTACATACTTCTGTATATGTATTATTTGGTCTGTATGGAATTGTTGAATTAAGGTCAGTGCAGCTATGATTTGAAGACGACTGACTTAACCAACTACATCTAGAACATTTCTTCGTCTTTGAGTTCGTAAAACATGACGACGACGAAGCCGATTGTGCGCATCTAACTCGGCATGGTGTTAATAAACATTTAGCAGGCCTAACTATAGATGTAGATAAATTATATATACTCTGATGTTTAAAAATAGTCACCATGTTGTTTTAATTGTATTTCAACCCAGTGTTGTAAAAAGTTTTAGGAAGATTAATACAGCTTTGTACGATGAGATACACAGAAGGACAGGGTTTATCTAAAAGCGAAACCACAAATTGCGACCGCATCGTTTCCAAGAAAGTATTTCCGGCATTTCGCATTTTTAAAAAGGAATTATTAAATATGAATATCTTTTCACGACAACTGGGTCCTAGATCTAGATCTATATTATTTCAAATGAGCAGACCCGCGGCGCATCACACGCCGCTATTTAGTTTTAATTTCTACTTTTCAGTAATTCATAATTTGTGAATTTGACAGTACCAATGCTGTCACTGAAAATATCTGATTTAAAACACTTAAACCCTCCTTTCCCCCCAACCCCCCCCCCCCCCCCGTGAAAGCAGCCTCCTCTTAGTTACCTCTCCTAAGTTTAAAATAGTTTGAAACTAAATTATCTGCCCCTAATAGCCGTCACTAAACCCGGCTCTACGATTGTAAACATTTAGCGTGAACCACAGCTCACCAGACCATGTGGGGGTGGGGGTGGTTGCGATATGCCTAGAGAGGAAGAGAGGGGACTGCTAGGCGCGCTTACAGCTTGGTGTTTTCTAACGTCTCCAAGAAGAGTATTATATATATATAGACGCTTTTGTATATTAACATTGCACGCTAATATATGATCAATATTATAGAAAATCACTCAAAACATAACTATAATATTGAACATAAAATTATAACCCGTGCGATTGCTCACTATTGCTCTCTAATCTTATTAGAATGTTATGATGCAATTTACGCACCTCCCCATCGTCACGCGTTACAAAAAATTTTGTAACCCCCCCCCCCCCCAGAGGCGTAGCGACCCTTCCCGGCGCCCGGGGACATACTTTCAATTTGGCGCCCCCCTCGGGAGCAAATTTTCGATTTGCACCCCCCCCCCTCTCGAACTTTTCATTTGCACCCCCCCCCCTCAAACTTTCGATTTGCACCCCCCCTCAAACTTTCAATTTGGCGCCCCCCCTAAGGTCGGCGCCCGGGGACATATGTCCCCCCCCCCGCCCCCCCCCCCTCGCTACGCCTCTGCCCCCCCCCACACACACACACATCGAAATCTTGAGGGGGGTGCAAATCGAAAGTTTGAGGGGGGTGCAAATCGAAATCTTGAGGGGGGTGCAAATCGAAATGTTTGTCCCCGGGCGCCGGGAAGGGTCGCTACGCCTCTGTCTCTTTGGTGGGGATTTGTGGGGGTTATCGTCCATAACGAAATACTGATAGTGTTTTAAAGCAAATATTTTTAGTGGCAGCATTGGTACTGTCGAATTCACAAGCAGAGTTTCTTCCAGGCATCTCTTCGGGGGGCGGAGCCCCCCCCCCTGAAGAAAGTCTACCGCCCCCCCCCTCCCCCGGACGAGATGGATTTTATATAGTAAACATACACTTTTACTAGTGTCCGCCCCCCCCCCCCCCGAACATTTCAAGTGCCCCCCCCCCCCCCCGAGAAAAAAGTCTGGAAGAAACACTGTTCACAAGTTATGAATTACTGAAAAGTAGAAAATAAAACAATTAAATAGCGGCGTATGATACGCCGCGGGTCGGCTCGTAATTATTAAAACGACTACAAACAAAAATAAAACTATGTTGAATTTGTTCTGAAATAGGGCTTTCGTCAAATATTCTTTAAACCAAATTAGGCCTTCTTAAAGCAGCCGTTTCTAAATATTTCGTCAACAAAGTAGTTGGCATTAAAATGATAGCGTTAAAACTTTTACAACCCAGCAACTAGCAACACAAAAGTAATCAAGGACCGTAACTCGCCTAACATAAATCACGCAGGAAATTTAATATCAAAATCATTTGAAATAGGGCCTATATATATTTAACAATTTGTTTTGCTCATTTATCTTTAATATAGTTCACAAGTATCTGCAAGAAATATATCAATAATTAAGAAATGTTATTTTAGGATCAAATATGAATTAAATAAAAATATTTGTTTTAATTCTTTGCAAAATTCTATGCGTAACAGCCATCTGAACTTAATAAAAGAAAGCTTATATAAGTAAAACTTCCCAATTTACTTTGCTACAGATCCGATTCTGCTACTCTAAAAGTTAATTCTTATTTACTGAGTGTTTTTTTTTAATAAAAAAAATATCTTCTAGATAAGTGCGCACATTCTTTAAAAATATTCTTTCTTCGCTGAAAATTGAATCGTCATTCAATAATTACATATATATTTACATTTTCAGGTTCAAAATATAGAAATCTAGAAGTGAAAATTGAAATACTTATCTGAAAGAAGTAATTATATGGCAAGACAAATTGACGATGTAAATTACATGTATGAGGCAAAAACTAAAAAAAAACGAAAAAAATAATAAATAAATAAATAAAAAAGATCAAGGAATGATATCAATTTTGTTTAACTTTATTTATTAACTTGAACAAAATTGTTTGATGGATATACTGAGAGAAGCTTCCAAGGACATACGTTCTAATTGAAAAATCGTTTCTAGCAAGAAAATGTAAATAGGAGCATGAGTGTTTCTCTCAGACTTTTTTTCTCCGGGGGGGGGGGGCACTTGATATATTAGGGGGGGGCGGTCAACATCTTCAGGGGGGGGGGGGCGGACACTGGTAAAAGTAGCCTATATTTTTTCTATATAAATGCCTGGAAGAAACTCTGAATATAGGAGGCACCTACATTGTGTATGTTTAAATACAAAAAAAAAATTCATACATAAATCCCTCTCTGAATTTAAGTTGAAGATCATATTCATAACGCTTTACAATAGATTTTCGAGGTTTATAAACTGTTATTTTATAAATGTACACAAACATTATTAAAACTACGTGGCCTTATCGATCACCATTATTAATATTATACAACAATTTCATTTAACCATATAATAAATTTAGAAATGGTCACTCGAAAATATTTGAAATAATGTTGGGAGCACTTTTAAAAAAAAAAACTGGAGTTCAAACAAAGGGGTTCTAATGAAGCAATCGTTACTAGATTCTAGGTCTAGTACACAGTAGCAAATAATTAACGTCACGACTGACGACTCAGGTCCAGACCAAGTAGTGTAAGTTATTTGGACTTAAATAACATCGCGTTATAAAAAAAACTAAACCATCAAATAACCGTAATAACGGTATCTTAACATTTCCAAAATAGTTTCTTCATACATCATGTTAAATAAAAAAAGTTTTTCTTAAACAGCAATAAAGAGATATAGATCTAGACATGTATTATAGTATTATATTAATTTAATTTTTATAAAAACGCGCCGATACCATTTGTCACGTAAAAGTAGAAACATTAGGCCAAGTTAATGTTTTTTATTATTAGTCACGTGATATATCTATTTTTATCAAATTTCGCGGGAAACAGTAATGCATGGGTTACCATCAAGCCAGATAATTATTTTGCAACAATACAGAACTAGAATCTATCTAATATATAATAATCTAAATTCCAAAGAATTCTAACAGTGTGTTGGTATATTTGTTTTAATACAAAAATTTACATCAATGTATTAAAGTTCTGAATTTATAAATATAGATCTAGACTAGATTCTACTTCTAGAAAATCTAATTCTAGACTTTCATCTTTAATCTTTACTTAAATTCTTTACCCTCCTACTCCTACGACTACACTACACAGACAAAAACAGCGGCAGTGCCGTATGTCGTATGCCGTATTCAGCCGTATTGTTTTTCAGCCGTCGAACTTTACTTCCAGGTTATCACAGTTTTGAAAGCCACTGCTTGTTAATTTTACACATCTGTGTGTGTTGGAATAGTATTTTGAAATGTCATCGCAAACTCCATCTACACCTAGCAGGAGAAGCAAAAGGGGAAGAGGGACTGAAGCAGGCAGTCCAGATGGATCTGATAATCAACCACCACAAACCCGTAGGTTTTTTATTTTAATTAGATCTAGATCTATGTGACTGTGGTATTGTAACAATATTTGGACTTTATACAACTATTAGAAACTTGGCTTAGCTTCTAAATAATAATAATTAGAATATAGATCTAGTAGGCCTAGTTCTACTAGATCTAGAGATCTAGTAACTAGTTCAGATGGTATGGTAGTCCTACCTTGCCATAGTAGTAGAATCTAGAATCTAGTAGGATTCTAATCTAGATTCTTTAGGCCTATTAGTATAGTATTACTATTAATTGTCTACCTCTAATAAAATTCTAAGACCATTTGTATTTTCTAAATTGTCCAAAAGTTAACTAACAATTTGGATTTTTCCAGCAACACGACGCTCATCTAGATCAACCACTAGCACTCGTAAGTAATACTAAGTACTCCATTTCCTTTTTATTCTTCAAATTTGATGTTTAGGCCTATGTGTAGCTAGTCTCATAACGCGAGTTGAATTACCTCCCCTGACCCGCTTTTTTATGGCCACTTTCTAGTTCGTTTTTTTCTATCGCGTCTCGGCACTGTTGCTAAAAATAGCATTCGCGCAATACCATACGGGTAAATCTGTTTGGCGTCTGCTACACGCGATAGATCGTTGAATGGCCGACAAGCTGATATAAAAATTATTGCGACCGGATGCGATTTTCGTGGAAATTGAGCTAGATTTAGCAAAAGACAGCTATATTTGTGTAAAATATTATTATTTATACTTCTACTTACACAGATATTTTGATAACTGCAGTTCAGCCGTCCATTTTTCTTTTAAAATGTATCTTTAGAATTTCTGTACCTTTTGGCAATCGGTCAGGAGCATTTGCGCACTAAACCCACCCCCCTACGGCAGATCCGATTTTTTTCCCAGTGAACTCGTACTGACCTCCCACATAGCTAAGATAGTACATTGATACTGATGGGAAAGCCTCTAAATCTGTATTCCTACTAGAGATCTAGAAATAAATCTAGATCGTGGAGTTTTTATAATGACTTTTAAATTGAATGTCTCCAGTTTAAGATATTTTTTTTTCAAAACATAGCTACTTTTAGTACTATATTTAAGTATTTCAAACCCTTTTGGTAGTTTTTTCTTAAACTTAGACCTAGATCTAGTGATTAGATATCTATATTTTGTACTTATAACTTGCAGGCCTATTAAAATAATAATAAAACAGTTTGCTTGATAACTTCATTAGGTCATTTCATAAACACAAATGTTATAAACATATAAAATCACAAAACCATAGGTAATATCTGAATTCTGTAGCCTACCTTACATTTAGGCTAATACTGAATTAAAAAGAAATTACATTAGGGTTTGAAATTAATACAACTTGTAATTAAGAAAGAAAGCTCCAATTCTAAATACTACAAGATATAATAACAAACAATGAAACAAATTCAAAGCTTTTTTCAACCCATTTAGTCGAAAAGATTTTTATTTTTTCCGATATTGACCAAAATAAGTTTTTAAAGCTTAGGCCTACTGTTTTTACAAACATAACTCAATTTTATTAGGCCCCTGTAAACATTAATTAAGATTCCTCTGTAGACAAAGCAATCTATTTGGCAGATGAAGTAGAGTTCATGTTTCTTGACCTCGGTGTATGAAGTGATTGTCCGTGTGGTCAGCGATATTCACAGCCGTCTTTACTTTTTACCTTTAATTTCCCCAATGTATATCAGGTACCCATCAGAAATGGGTGGACTCTAATTGAATTTTATTAAACAAACATTTTGATATAGGCCTAGATCTACAATCTATAACATTCCAAACAACATCTGTTCTGTAGAATTTACCTTTCTGCTTCCAAATGCGGTATTTTCCAATTGAAAATTCATCACAAAACATACAATAAATTATATAAATGGCATTTTATAAATTTATATAAACTATTTACTTTCACCTTGGTGTAAAAAAATGTAGGTATAAGCAAACTGATTTCAATAGTAAGAAAGAATCATGTCTTTTCTTGCTTACTAGCTTTAAAACAAGTGAATTTGACTTTTTACCTGCGTTTTTGGTCGCGTTTCTATATATTTTATTTGCGACACTAAAAAAATTATATTTAATCAACCGATTATGCTAAATTAATAAAATTGGTACTGTTGGATTGCATTTTTAAAGCTCTACAATTATATGCTATTCTTTTTATAATTTGAAGAAAATTGAATTTATATGAGACTAACTACTATGTGGTTTAAAATTTTTGGGGTTTTATTATATACTATTTCAAATGTCTTTAAACTTGAGTGGTTTAGATTGAGCAATACGATTTTAATATGATTTGTTTCCTTGACAGCAACAAGATCCAGCACGAGAAAGTCCCCAGGTAACAGAAGCGAGCTGTCATCTCCTCCTTCTCAGCGTCGCAGGATTGAAGCTTCCTCCCCTGGTGATGAGCTCGGGCCCCTGGATTCTTCCTCTGTGACAGGAGCAGCTGATGATTCTTTTGTTACTAGTCCGAGGGGAGGTAATACATTGTCTACTTTACAATTGACTCACCTAGATCACTCTTGCTCACCCACTTATCATCCTAATGCAGCTAACTTTGTGTGAATAGTGTTTAAGAAAATAAAATAAGGATTACGAGCCGACCCGCGACGTAGCATACACCGCTACTTAGTTGTTTTATTTTCTACTTTCCAGTAATTCATAATTTGTAAATTTGACATTACTAATGCTGCGACTGAAAATAATTGCTTTAAAACACTATCAGTAGCTCGTGAAGGATGATTATCCCTCCCTCTCATTGGAAAGCAGCCTCCCCTTAGTTTCAAATAGTTATAAAACTAAAGTATCTGCCCTTAATAGCCATCACTAATTTGACCCAGCTATACGATTGTAAACATTGGGCATGAACTACAGCTCACCAGACTGGAGAGGGAGGGAGTGGGAGGAGGGTTAGTTAGTCGGCTTACTGTGTCATGGTGTCAATGAAGAGAATTATATATATAGATTAGAATGGCCTACATTAAGTAATGTTAGCAGTTAAGGAATAACCTTGTAATAAATCTTCTGGATCATTTGCATAGTTTAAATTAACTTAGAATATTTTCATGTCTTATGTTTACATATTATTTTAGGTTTGAAAGTATTTGATTAGACTTTGCAATGTCACAAACTTCTAATTTGAAACATTTATTTGATAGTTTATATTCTATTTTTTATGAACATGCAATTTTCCCCAGTGCCCACCAGTGAAATAGATCTGAGCTCCCCACTAAACTATGGCACACCTGGCTCACAGGGTACAGGTATTGGAACCCCAGCCGTGGGGGCCACGCCCATCAGACACAGACCTGATGTACGAAGTGACAGAAAACTAAGACAGGTGGCCATTGGTGGATCTGAACCTCCATCTGTAAGTGATAAGTTTGTTTTCATATTGATTGTAAAATATGTTTTCATTATACCGTATTTTCCGCATAAAAGAAAAAATTTTAACCTCCATCTGTAAGTGATAGTTTGTTTTCATATTGATTGTAAAATATGTTTTCATTATACCGTATTTTCCGCATAAAAGAAAAAATTTTAACCTCCATCTGTAAGTGATAGTTTGTTTTCATATTGATTGTAAAATATGTTTTCATTATACCGTATTTTCAGCATAAAAGAAAAATTTTTTACCGAGGTAAATCTTTTTTATAGTCAGGTCATTTGTATCTTGATGCAAGTTGAGGGTTTGCATTATTAAGCTTTTGTATTTCAAGAAATATATTTCTTCTTATATGTCGGAAACTACAGGATTTATTCATATTTCAGGGTTCGTGCGGCCTCCTGAAATTCCAGGAGGTCCTGGAAAACTCCTGGAATCTTAAAAAACGTAAAAATCTCCTGGAATTCTCCTGGAATTTGAAAAAATATAAAAATCTCCTGGAATTCTCCTGAAATTTTAAAAATTCTCCTAAAATCTCATGAAATTTTATTAACCCGCGGCGCAAAACCCGACCGAAATTATTTGATTTTGTTCCGCCAATAATTGAATAGTAATTTTTAAATGGGACAAAAATAAACGCATCGGCCGTTGTCCGACTGAATCGCACTGCCGTGATCTACACATCGTGTGGCACAGCAGAGTGTGTGGTCACGTGATGCTAGGCGATTGACCCGATTGAATGATACTATAAACAATTTCTAAAGATAGATAGGCCTACATGTGTTCCCGTGTTTGACTTGTCGGCTACGGGATTTTTAAAGTAGACAGGCATGTTTCATAACTTTGTCTTAAACTATTGAAACAGCAAAAAAAAAAGTTGTAGTAGTATTTACGGCTCAGGACTAATTGTCAAAATTAATCTTCTTTAGAAAACCCGGATAGCTGCGACCCGATCAAACAATGCTGATTCGCGTAACGTTTCATTATTTTATTTTATACATTAATTTTTCGTAAAAATGGCTATAAAAAATAAATTAAATTTTTCCAGTGTCTCTTTTTTTCAGTTGACTAAAAATTGTTAATACGCTTAATACTAGCTTGCCAAATCGACCAAAATGGGCTGGGGTGGGTGGGGGAAGACACTGACCATCCTACACGGTATGTAACACCCAACGTAACATCCATAGCTCAACCCGCCCCCACTACGCCGTGACGCGACAAGCCAACGATCGTCACCTTTGATGTTGTGTAACACTCGTACGGTGGTTTCATACCCCACCTCCCTTCCCCCTTTCCCTTTGTGGAGTTGATGTTACTAATCCTTGGGCATAGATCAAGAAATCTTGCCAGACTTTTGTCTCTGAAATTACATAATATTCGTCTGACACGTTCATCGGGTTGGTCGACTAGCCTAGCATCATTGGATTTGGCATCCAAAAATCAATAAAATATCACGAAATGATATTAATTGGTGAAGTCTGCTTGCATTTATACCTCTTTTATAGTGAAAAACTCTTTAAAATTTGGTTCATACCCTCCCAGTATTTTTCCTCTTTCAGTGTCTATCCCAAATGTCTGAAAAATCTGCTCTTTTTTTTTAATGACAAAAAAAATCATAACTTTTTTATTTATGGTCAGATTTTGAAAATTCAAACTGGTCTGTAGTCAGATTGATAGCCTCTATCCTAATATGTAACTAATATATTGTTTTATTTTTACTGAAATTAAATTTTTGCTTTGGCTTAGCTAATTAAATGTATTATTAAGTACGCTTTTTTTTTAAAAATGTACAAATTGGGTTTCTTTTTGTTTTTAAAATCTCCTTGAATTTTTTTTAAACTCCTGGAAAAGTCCTGGAAAACTCCTGGAATTTTATTTGAACTTTTGAGCATGAACCCTGATATTTCATAAAAGCTTTTAAATACTAAAATATTCTTCTGTTTCAAAGCTTGGTGTTTATCACAGCTTCAGTTTGACTGTTTCCGTGCCTTGGTGTCAATTAGAATCTTTCAGGTTGAAACCTGTTGAACTCCTAATGTCATTAGTAAATGAGCATTATAGTAAATTTTATTGTGTGCTATCAATCTTAACTTCAAGATCTTGTTTTAAAGTAAAGAACTGGTTCAAATATTAGTTCACCTGTTTAAGTGACCTCTAAATGAAAGGATAATGTAATCAGCATTACCCCTAGCTGTTCTTAAGTAATACAGGTACCGGTTAGACTTAGGCTTGAGCCCAGGATCTGAACTCTAGACTTTTGGGTTGGCAGTTGTATGCTCTAGACCACACTGTTAGGATGTATGTTTCACTAGGCAAATTGGTGCACATGAATGCTGGTGTGAAACTATAATATTGAACGAGTGAAAGTGTGACGCGGTACGCAAGAAAGTGACATTTTAGTGTGAGTTCGTTGTTGCCGGGGAAGAAGCTTCAATTAGTCTTGTTGTTGTGTTAGGGTTAGGTTGTCCAGTCTTAGTATCGTTTGTTCAAGTCGTCTGATGTATATACTATAGTGCAATAAATAGAAACAGTAACCAATGTCATCCTGTCATATCCTTTGCATGCGTTGATGTCGTCATGTTTCAAGATGAACTATTGCATGGCTAGACATAATAAAATGGTAGTGGTATCTGGATATTCTATTGGATCAAGTAGTTCTACCCTCTCACTGCATAGCTGCAGGACACATAGAACCCAGTTATAACACACCATCCTTAAATCTTGTTAAATAATTCTATAATGTCATTATTTTTAACGCAGGAAACTGACAGGAGTGAGGTAGCCAGTGATATAAATGTGGCTGGACCCCAGCTGGTCATCTGGGGAACAGATGTGGTGGTCAGTCACTGTAAGGAGAAGTTCAGAAGTTTTATCATGAGGTATGTGGACACAAGCATGGCTGATGATGAGCAGTTCTCAGGCATGGATGTGGACCAACCTTATTATCTGCAGAGAATGGATGAGGTAAAAATAGAAAAAATTATTTCATAAAATAACTCATAGCTTGTTTTCTTTCTTTTTTTTTTAAGTTAATACTAGCATCAGTTTGTGTTGTAAATCATACATTTTTAGTACCTTTTTATTTTTACAATTTATTTTTATGTTTAAGATGAATGTTCATTATACTTTTTTTAGTGATTATTTAAGGACATTACTTCTTTAAATAATTTAATTCTCTAATTACTTTCACATCTTGTTTAAAACAAAATTAAACTAGCTTTTAATTAGTAATCAAACAATAGTGTTACAATTATTTTAATCATTAATTGTCACTCCTTGTTAACTTGTCATTTTAGCAGAAAATAATTTTTGTTGTAATGTTGTTCGAATAAAGTATAATTTATTACATTTTAGTTCATTCTTATAAAAACTTTAATATTTCAGATCAATGCTATTGGAGAACCATTCTTAAATGTCAACTGTTCTCACCTGCGTGAGTACAATGCTGAACTCTACCGTCAACTCATCTGCTACCCGCAAGAAGTGATCCCAACATTCGACATGGCCATCAATGAAATGTTCTTTGAGCGTTTCCCCACTGCCACGCTGGAGCACCAGATCCAAGTTAGACCATACAATGCAGAGCACACTAAAAATATGAGATCACTCAACCCTGAAGGTAAAAATCACATTGTTTTTAGTGAAAAATGTTCTTGCACATGAAAATATTTATAAATATCTATTTACAATAAAAAAATCTTATACACTGTTGTGGTTTTGTTGACGCTGTTTAAAAAATTATACATTTCCAGCCATATCTGCTTCAATATTTAGTTTCTAATTTGTACTTAATCGCTAATATATTTTGTAATTGTACTTCATTATGATCAATACATTTATTTAGTATTTGTATTAAATGATCAAGTTATTTTTAAATTGTTCTCAATGATGAATGGCCATTGTGTCTACTTACAATCTGGATTGTTTCATTATTTTAAACATTTAAGCATTTTTACAATCCCCAGATATTGACCAGCTGATAACTATCTGTGGCATGGTTATCAGAACGTCCTCCCTTATCCCTGAAATGCGTGAGGCTTTCTTCCAATGCCACGTTTGTCAGAACACAACCACGGTTGAGATTGACCGTGGTCGCATCGCTGAGCCAACCCTCTGTACCCACTGTAACACAAAATATTCGTACCAGATGATTCACAACAGATCTCAGTTTTCTGATAAACAGATGATCAAGATGCAGGAGTCCCCAGGTTAGTGCTTGAATCCTTTAATAGGAAATTATAAATAAACTCAATATTGGAGTTTCTGCTTTAAAATTACTAAAAAAAGATCTTTTGGTAATTTATGGTAGAGCACATGATTGTTAACTTGAAAATTTTAAGTTTAGATCCCAGACTAGTCCATAGGATGTTAATTCTAAGCATCTCTGTTGGGTACCTGACTCGTATTAGTCAAAACTAAGACAGCTGGGCATAGAACTAAATACACTATTCTTTTCTGTGCTGAGGTAATTGAAATGGATGCCTCTATTTTATTAGCACATGGGCCTTGAGCAATTTTAGAAATTCCAAAATTTTGCTATGATCATTTATATTTGTCGATATCACATGTTACTTTATTATTTCTCCTTTAATCATGTTTGTTATTGGTGTAGTAAACTGTAAAAAAAAAAATATATTGATGCAAATTTTTTTTAAAGTGACGTGTCTTGCTTACTGTATTATGTAGATTCTATATATATTGTTCTCAATAAGTTGCTAACAATTGTATTCCTTTTCCCCCACAGAGGACATGCCACCAGGTCAAACACCTCACACTGTCATCCTGTACGCCCACAATGATTTGGTGGACCGTGTCCAGCCTGGTGATCGTGTGACTGTGACCGGCATCTTCAGGGCCGTCCCGCTCAGAGTCAACCCTCGCCAGAGGAACGTCAAGTCTGTTTACAAGACGCACATTGATGTGGTACACTTTAGGAAGCTGGATGCCAAAAGGCTTACAGAAGATAGTGAAGAGGGGTGAGTTTTTTATCAATCTATGCTTAAAATGGTCTAGTTCTTTTTCGCAGAGATTTATTATTTCAGATGTTGTTTTTTGTTGAAATCCAATTTTTATCTGTTGAGAGAGATATTGTGAAATAGAAATATTTTCCCTATGCTAAAGTAGCTAGGCCAATGCCGCTGCCGAGAAAATCGAACAAATCGGCTTTTCCCTACCCCCTGCATGTTTAACTCTGTTTTTTGCATGCTTTTATTGTGTTTATGTTAACATGTTATACACCATTCTGTTCGTAATTGAACAACCTTTTTAACTGTATAAGTTTGATTTCTTTATTACTTCAGACGTTGAAGAAATCGCCGATTTAATCGCATTTTTTACCCCCCGCGGCGACGTGCCGATTAGGGGGGAGGCTTTTTCACCTTTTTAAAAGAGGGGTGTTACTTAGAGTCTATAGACTCTTTGAGTTTTCGTACTACAACAGTGAAACTTGGTAGAAGAATAGATTAAATGTTCACGTATAACGCTCAAGGTTCTTGGGGAAAATATGTTAAATACATTTGGAGATATCGAACGGCAAAGTTGAACTAAGTTATTTGGGCTATTAATGAACCGATTTTTAATTTGAACCTTGAGCTGTATTCCTGAAATCTCGACGTTTATTAATATGTATGATATGTCATATTAGGCCCTATAATAAGGACGTCTATAGACTTTGAAGTGGACCGAAAATCAAAACATGACGTGCCGACCGCTGTCCGACTGAACCGCTTCGAATCGACGTGTTTTAAATATGACGCGCTACAATTTTTTTATGGACGTATCGAGTTTACGTACTACAACAATCAAATTTGGCAGACGAACAGATTAAATGTAGACGTACAACGCTCAAGGTTCGTGGTCAAAATAAGTTAAATACTTCGGGAGATATCGGACCGCAAAGTTGAACTAAGTTTCCCGGTCTATTATTTGACCTATTTTACATTTGAACCTTGAGCTGTATTCCTGAAATCCCGCCGTTTATTTTAATGTATGACATGTATTATAACACGTCATAATAAAGCCGTCCATACATTTTAAAACCGAACGAAAATAAAAATTAACGCGTCGGCCGCTGTCCGACTGAATCGTGATCTACACATCGTGTAGCACAGTCGAGTGTGTGGTCACGTGACGCTAGGCGGTTGATCCGATTGGATGAGACTATAAACAATTTCTAAAGATAGATACGTGTGTTCCCGTGTTTGACTCGTCGGGTATTGCTATTTTATATTTAAGTAGACAGGCATGTTTCATAACTTTGTTTTAAACCACTGAAACGGCAAAAAAAAAAAGGTTGTAATAGTATTACTATTTACTATTCGTCGAAATTAATCTTCTTTAGAAATTAAACCGGCCCGATCAAACGATGCTGATGTGATTTGGGAACGTTTCATTATTGTGTACATTACTTTTTCGTAAAAATGGCTGTAAAAAAAATAAATTTAATTTTACCCCGGGCTCTTTTATTTCGGTTGACTAACATTTTTTAAAACCCTTAACAACGTGGAGGTTACTAGCTTGCCAAATCGACCAAAATGGGATGGGATGGGTATGGGGAGTCACTGACCATCCTACACGGTATGTAACTATTGTAACACCGTATGTAACATCCATAGCCTCACCCCGCCCCCACTACTCCGTGACGCGACAAGCCGAGGGTCGGCGCCTTTGATGTTGTATAACACCCGTACGGTACCCGAGCGGCTCGCGGTGGTTTCATACCCCACTTCCCTCCCCCTTCATTTTGTGGAGTTGATGTTACTAACCCTCGGGCATAGATCAGGAAATCTTGCCAGACTTTTGTCTCTAAAATTACATAATATTCGTCTGACACGTTCATCGGGTTGGCCGACTAGCCTATCTTGCCTCGTGTTTACGTAATACGGCAATTAAATTTGTTGGTCAGAAAACCTGGTTACCCACGTCTGATTGAACTATGTCTAGGCAAATGCTGATGGTGATAAACACCTCCGTGTTTAAGCAGACACAGAAAACTTAAAAAATGCCTAGCATCTACTACACACAGTCAAGCACTCAAACACGTGCTTTTCCCCCCAATGTAATAGGCCTATGGTAGGCCTACAAAATACACAAGCTTACTACTAGCATAAACATTGAGCATATATAAATCTATGTTATAGACCTATAACTTACACTACCTTATACAAGCTAAAAAAAAATAATTTTCCTCCAATGTTTATGGTATTAAAATTGTAAAAATGAGCAATTTTTGTGTGTTTAAAAATATTACAAAATTATCATAAAGCACACTGATTCTGATAAGACACATTTGTAACTAGCCTAATTCTATAGAAGAAAGTTGTATCAATTGTATGACATTTAAAGTAACAAGAAATATAAATATAATAAGATATGCCTATATTTTTTGAATAGATTAGGCCTGTAAGATTGCACATAGATTACATAACATATTTTAAGAAGTTACATCATCACAAATATACTATTGTTATAGCATCCTTCTCTTCATATTAAAACTATTAGTTATCTTTTCTTTAAGTAGGCTATTCACAATGAGCAAAAGAGATTTTAAAATAAATACATGGTAAATTATGAGCAAAAGGTGCGAATTACATAACCTGACATTTATAGTTTTGTAATAATGTTTGACCATTTTAAATATCACCATTAGCTTCAGCATATACAAATGTCATATTATAGATTAAAACAGTGTTTAATTTAAAGAATGACTTCTTATCACACGGATTATCAGATGTTGTAACAAAAATTGAAGGGGGGTATTACATAATCCATGAAATAAGTCTGTTATGTAATCAAAAGACACTTTTTAAAATAGCATCATTGGATTCGGCATACAAAAATCTACAAAATATCATAAAATGACATCAATTGGTGAAGTCTGCTTGCTTTTATACCACTTTTAGTGAAAAACTCTTAAAAATTTGGTCCATACCCTCCCAGTATTTTTCCTCTTTCAGGGTCTACCCCGGTTGTCTGAAAAAACTGCTGTTTTTTAATGACAAAAAAATTCATAACTTTTTTGTTTATGGTCAGATTTTGAAAATTCAAACTGATCTGTAATCAGATTGACAGTCCCTATCCAAATATGTAACTATTATATTGTTTTACTGAAATTAAATTTTTGCATTGGCCTCGCTAGCTAAAGTTCGTCAAAAAATAAATAGTTATCCCTTGCATGTTTATTTTGAAAAAAAAATTCTCATTTTTATCATCTGAAATTCCTGGAATTAACATCACATTGTTTAAGGAAAAGAGGTCATGCATTTTTAGCAGATTTCTCAACTTGTTGATAAAATATAACTCCTTCCTTTTTTTTTTAAAGAAAAAAATGAGTGGTCACTATTACGTCTCTCTTCTCTGTATTACTCATTAATTTATAAAGTTTGTCCTATATTTCTATACATTCTACACTTTTGTTTCTTCCCTATTACATTCTATTCTTATAGTGTCAATTTTCTTTTTAAAAATTAATTGCTTATTTTTTTCTTGACTTTTTTACATTTTAGGACTGTACAGATGAGAGAAGAAAGAATAAAAATAGTTAAAGATTTAGCAAAGAAACCTGATATCTATGAAAGACTTGCTCGTGCTATAGGTTTGTAATGTTTATTTAATCATCATAAATTCTGTTGTTTTTTTTTTATTATGGAAGTTAGAAATTATAATTATTTTGACTAAAACATACAAAGTTGGAATATCAAATGCTACTCGGATTTATTACCTACACATTTCTTTTCATGAAATGGTTACTAAATTCATTTAAAAATAAATCACCTGTCAGTTGTAGGCGTAAAAAAATTTTTTTTTTCCTGTGTCTTAGTTCCACCTGTCTGATTTAGGTGTAAATCATTGCTTATTATAAAAATTAATATTTGTTTTTGCTGTGTCTAAGTACCAAGGAATGATATCAATGTAAAGATTTATATAGTTCATGTTTTGATGTTAAATTCCAGCTCCAAGCATCTATGAAAATGAAGACATCAAGAAGGGAATTTTGCTGCAGTTGTTTGGTGGAAATAGAAAGGATTTCTCAAACACTGGAAGGGGAAAGTTCAGGTACATTTTGTTTAGTTGTATTGTGAGTTTCACTAAGTGCGGTTGTTCTCAAAATCATGCCACATGTGCACAAGTTGAGGTGTGTGGTAGGCGTGGTTGAGTTGTAAAGCTCATGGTTGCTAAACTGAAAAGTCTCGAGTTCGACCCCTTGGGCACATGAGGCTCGTTAGCTGGGGACAGCCACTCTTCTAGGAGTGACAACTCCAAAATTAAACAACTGCTGCCTTGTAGTTTGTTCTTGGTTGGACAAAGGCTATGGAAGCAAATCCAAAAAGAAAAGCAGGCTGAAATCGGAGTCAATGGCCTCAATTGGGCATAACCAGTTGACACATATACTTAATTGTGTTGGAGGGGAACCCTACCAACACTAAAAATTAAGAACAAAGAAGAAAAGGTGTGTTGTTTATGTAAAGCACAAGTAGTTTTTTTTTACCCACTTGGACAAGCCTTCAAAGAAACTGTCCAGAACTATTCTGTGTCCCAAGTGGTGCACCATTTTTCTTATTTAGTTATCTAGGTTTTCTTAGTATTGTCTCCTTTTCTTTTCTCTGGGTATTCCATTTAAAGTCTTGTCTTGCTAGTTCTATTCAAAATTGCTGAATTTTATGTATTATTTTTATCTTAGTAAGTTAAGAAAAGTAAATCAGCCACTCAGAGGTTTGTTCAACTAGATTGAGAACTACTGTTTGATTTACCTGAATGCTTCAATAGAGAACTTGTTTAAACCTGAACATTTGTATCCTTCTAGGGCGGAGCTGAACATACTCCTGTGTGGTGACCCCGGTACTAGCAAGTCCCAGCTGCTGCAGTACGTCCATCACCTGGTCCCACGTGGTCAGTACACGTCTGGTAAAGGCTCCAGCGCTGTAGGTCTCACAGCCTACGTTACCAAGGACCCTGAGACCAGGCAACTTGTGTTGCAGACGTAAGTCAAACATTTTAAATACTGTATTTTCTGACGGTAAAGATCAACTTCAACTTTTTCAGTTAAAAGATTTAAAATATTTTGCTTTTCCTTCAAGGTGATTGTGAATTTTCTGTTCTAAATTCATCTCACATGCAGAAAATACTATAGTTTAATTATTTATTTTTTATAAAAAATTGTACGAAATTAAGCTAGGTTTTATAAAATACATGTTGCTCTGAGGCTTGATATTTTTGTTACATTGTAGGATAATAATTCCAAGGCCACTATCTCTGTTTTTAACAGTAAAAATGAAAGTTTCCATTACTGTGTGTTTTAGCCAAATTTTGAATATCTGTTTACAGTGGTGCTTTAGTTCTCAGTGACAATGGTGTGTGCTGTATTGATGAGTTTGATAAGATGAATGACAGTACAAGGTCTGTGCTGCATGAAGTCATGGTAAGTTTGATGTCTTGTGTCTAATGGTTATCACATTTCAGATAGTTGCTTCTCATTTTCACTGGTTTGCATTTTTAATAAAGTTTGGTATAAAACTATCGTAACTATTGCTCTAACCCCTGAAATTTTACACCATTACAATCAGCATTCTGTAGGAGTGTCCCTGAGTCCACCCAGCTATAACGGGTACCTAATTCACATTAAGCAAAGTAAAGGTGTCCGAGCATAGTAAAGTTCCCTTTTCAAACCTGATGGTTTATAGGGCAAGTGAAGTAGAGTTCACTTGTTTCTGTGACCTCAGCATATGAAGGTATAGTGTAGTAGGCACTATGCCCAGCTGTCTTTACATTCCCTAACATGAGTTAGGTGCCCATCAGAGTTGGTTGGACTCAGGGACTGTCTACTTACTTGAACCTGGATTCGAACTCGAGACTTCCGGGTTAGCAGTCCAGCTCTCCACCGCTAGACCACTCCTTTCCCTCCATGCATAGTGCTGACCACATTATCCCATTATTTGCAGAGGTCACAGAAACTTGTGAACTCTACTTCACTTGCCCCATGGACCGCCATGTTCCAAAAAGTGAACTTTACAATCAGCATTTAAAATGCTTTCAGATAGATTGACCAAATACTCTGTCATTAGTCACAAAATTGTAGTTGCTGTTTTTAATTAAAGGTTATTTAACTGCTTTCTATTTAATGTTTTTCAACACGGCATGTGTTACCAACAGCTGTTGATGTCTAATGTTAAATTTTTTTTTCAATTAAAATTAAACAGGAACAACAGACATTGTCCATCGCTAAAGCTGGAATTATTTGCTCACTGAATGCTCGGACATCTATACTTGCTGCTGCCAACCCTGTGGAATCTCAGTGGAATAAAAATAAAACAATCACAGAAAATATTCAACTGCCACACACTCTTCTCTCCAGGTAAACTGTCTCATCATTTTTTAAAACTGTTTTCATTTCCAGAAGAGTGGTTTTATTAACTTGTATCTCAAGTTGTGGTTAAATCATAGGAATTAATTATTAGAATCATGAAATGAAGTTAATGCTAAAAAATATAAGTTGATCAATGGTACCCTGAAGAAATAACTGTACAGTTAGATACTCACACAGTTTTTGTCAAATGGTTGAAAAAATGGGGCATATTGAATCCAAAACATTTCTGTTATTATGTAGTGTAACTAGACTAGGCTCATTTTACACATTAGTTAGATGAAATGTTTTATTTTTTAGGCTAAATACTGCTTGACACCAAATTTTGAGTTTATTTTGTTAGTTATTAACATTTTTTCCCTCTATTTCTGAAAAAGATTGATTTGACTTTATCTTTTTAATATTAGTATGTTAGTTATTAACATTTTCTTCCTCTTATTTCTTTAAAACAGATTTGACTTGATCTTCTTAATACTTGACCCACAAGACGAGCTGTTTGACAGAAGGCTGGCTGGCCATTTGGTCTCTCTTTATTTCCGTGGGAAAGATGCAGAAGAAGAAGAAAATATGGTAACTATACACACCATTCGTTATTTTAATTTTACAAGCTTTTATTTAACTTGTTTCTTCTGGATGGGTCTGGGTCTCTTCCTAATTATTAGTTAAAGAATCCAATACATATTATATCGACCCAAGCTTTTTTTAAATAGTTATTTAAATAGTAGTGTATTATAATATATTTAAAGAAAATCATTTATTTTCTCCTTTAGCGCATTATTACATTAAAGCTTATAATTAAAATGTTTTTTATGCATTTTTTAGTGTAATTTTCTTCTAAATTGATGTTATTTTATTTCACTTTAATGTTATTACAAACTTTTTTATAAATTAACTAAATTTCAGTCTGAGTAAATGAATTATTTTTTTCTCAACAGGACATGCATATTTTAAAAGATTACTTGACATACGCTAAAGCTTTTGTGAAACCCAAGATAGGAGAAGAAGCTGGACAGGCATTCATCCAAGCTTATGTTGAAATGAGGAAGGTGGGGAGTTCAAGGGGACAGATATCTGCATACCCCAGGCAACTAGAATCTCTTATACGATTGGCTGAAGCACATGCCAGAATGAGGCTGTCTGATAATGTGGAAGTTGCTGATGTGGAAGAAGCCAGAAGGTAAAAATCTGTCTAAATCTCTGCTTGGTTTTGTACTTGTTTTAAATAATATTCCTAATTTGTTTTTAAAAAAGACTGTAGTTCTATATTTTTCTACCTGTCTAGTAATTAACATAGAGTATCAATTTTAATTGAAGTGAAATTTTAATAAATAATTCATACGGTAGATGAAGTAGTTTTTTTTTCAAACGCCTGCAAGAGAAATGATTGTGTTATCAGGTTACCCTTATATGCATCCCATTACCCACCACAATCACCAAACAAACTCTACCAAGCTTGTGTTAGCTATAGCAGAAATTTTCCAAAACTTGATTAGTTTCTTCTGTTAGTTTGAGGCATGTAAATTATGAATAAAATAACAACACACTTTCCATACCTTCTCTAGTTATAAATCAGTCTTTTACTACTACTCTCCTCCTTTCTCCTTCCCCCCCTCCCCCATTACCCCAAAAAATGTTTACTCTCTAAATCGCATTTTGTACTCATTCTTTGGTTGAACTGCATGCAGCACGTTTTTTATCATTTTGGTTGTATTTATATAGTTTTCTCTTGTATCCATACTATTTTGTGTTGTGTTTTAATCATTTGTTTTTATCTATAACCCAGACTGTACAAGGAAGCCCTTAAACAGGCTGCCGTCGACCCTGCCACAGGAAAAATTGACATCACCATCTTGACCACAGGCATGAGCGGGGCGGCTCGCAAGAGGAAGGCGGAGGTGGCTGCAGCTCTGAAGAAACTGATCCAGGGCAAGGGGAAGATCCCAACTCTCAAGCACCAGAAACTGTATGAGGACTTCAGGGAAGCTCAGGAATTTGTAAGTTTTCCTCTCCTCTCTGCTGCCATATTCATAGAAATGATTTTAGCTTTTCTGAATGTTAAATATTGGATGATGTGGTTGAGTGGTAGGGTGCTCGACTGCTAGACCAAAGGTCTCAAGATCGGGTCCTGGTCAAGAGTTGGGTCTGCAGGACACCTGAGTCCACCCAGCTCTGACAGGTACCTAGCTAAAATTAGGGTAATAAAAAGCATGCTGTTTACCACACTATCCCTTCATATTTCGAGGGTAATGAAACAGGTCAACTCTACTTACCTGCCCCATGGAAACATGGTTCAAAGGAGATTTTTTAAAATGTAAACTGTAAAGACTTCAGTTGGTTATAATCCTTTTGCTTTGTATTTGTATACTAGAGATTGATTTTTTTTATCAAAGATTGTTTTGACATTTTATTCTTGAATTGTGCTTTACAAGATTAAGAAAATGTTTAAATTATTATTTTCAGCCAATCACCAAAGAGATGTTTGATGATGCTTTACGTGAACTTCAAGATGAAGATTTCCTTATTGTAACCAACAAAGTTATTCGACTGTGTTCGCTTTAAATCATTTTCTTTGATATTTTAATTACAAATTTTTTTTATAAACAGCCATTAGATTTTGTCTCTCATTTAGCTATAAATGCTTGGATTGGTTTGTATCATATTGAAAAGTATTGTAAATAATATATGATTCTCGGAAATGCTTGCTGAGCTATGTTAAATGTAGGAATGTTTCATGAAATTTAAGTGTCAAAAAACCAGCAAAATAGGAAGAAATAAAAAAACAAATATATATTTCTATTTTAATTTTTTTTCTTTTTGGAAAGCTTGTTTTTAATAGTAATGTATCATTAGAATTGTATATACAGTGACAAGTCAAGCTGACTGCTGTAATATTTTAAAAAATTGATACCTTGTCTATAATTAATTAGCAATTGCTGATATGTGGGGTGCTTATGTTTAAACAGTAATGCTAATAATTTTAGAGAAATTCATACAAACTATTGAAAATGTTGATTGCATTAACCTTCCATTCTTTCCGCACAACACCCACTTCATTAAAACAAGCAAGAATAAAGACAGTTATCAAACAAATTTAATTGATGCAAGTTGTGCTGATATTCTACTGGTCTGAGTATATTTCTATATCTTAAGCTGCAACGCTGTGCTCGTGGAGGCATAACAAAGTGAACACAAATACCTGCAGACCTACACTTCAGTATATGTGCGTGGTTATAAAAGTAACAAAAGTGAAATCTTCATATGAACACCGTATGGTTGACTGGGTGAAATTGATAATGAACAAGGGAAATAAAAACTTTGACAAAAATTTTAAATATTTAAAATGGAATGGTTTGCAATCAATGTACATTACAGGTAACACATTTTAGGGTTTTTTGAATACATTTCAAGAATCTTGATTAACAAATGGCACTGAGAAATAAGCTGCTTGTTTAACTGGAATAATTAATTTTCCATGTGCGAGTAATTTTTAATTAAAGCACCTGGTGTTTTATTTATGGTGATAAGTGAAGATAACTTAAGTTGTGAGATCAGAACAAAACCTGTTATTTATCTCCCTTACCCTAGCAACTAGACAAGGTATGAAAACCATTCTAATACCTGCATTCTTTGTAGATCAGCAGTAATGCTGGATATGTTTTCACATTAAATAACAATACAGGAACTTATCACAGCAAAATCTATATATATTAAAACTAATGATCACTAGAATTTAGTCAAGTCCATTTTCTGTATAAAATGAATCCAGGCTTCAAATAATAGAAGTAATAATATTCCATCTGGCATATTAAATTTTTTGTACTTAAAAATGTTGGTAAAAACAAGCTACCAACAGTGATCACATTGCTGTGTGCAGGTTACTGAAGTTTTAGCTTGGCTGATCACATCAGTCATTACAAAAAGTAGGAAATCAAAACATTTTCCAGCAATGTGCAACAAGTTAATGAGCGTACAGCAGGCATTTAATACTGACTTTACTGCACTCAGTGATGTAGGCAGGGAGATGTAGTATGATAAGTTTTAGACATCAGATATCTAATGTGGTCAGCTATTTTTAAATTGTATAATTTTGAATAATAATTTTAAATTCTTAATTAAAATCATTTACATATACAGATATAAATGCATACATAACATACCATATATATATATATATATATATATATATATATATATATATATATATATATATATATATATATATATATATATATATATATATATATATATATATATATATATATATATATATATATATATATATATATATATATATAAATTTAGGTATATATTTTTATATATATATATATATTTTTTATATTTTTATATATATAGATATAAAATTGGTATATATACTTATATATATATATACATACATTTGATATTTGATATATATACTTATATATATATATACTTATATATATATTACATATATATATATATATATATATATATATATATATATATATATATATATATATATATATATATATATATATATATATATATATATATATAAACATATATGAAATAAATTGGAACCCCCCACCCACTACATTTTCTGCCTACACCACTGACTGCACACAAAACATTTATATCATACATTTCTTGACTCAAACTAAAATAGCCACCTCAGCTTTTTTTCCCCACTTAAACAAAAATCACAGTGGTAGTTTTTCAAAGTAAAACTGAATTTAGGGTAAAAAGATACGTCTTAAAAATTCAGCTAAATAAATTAAGATTCTTTGATATAAAAAATGCAAGTAGTAGTGTCGAAAAAAAGTAAAAACATTCTTAGCAAGGCACAACAGGGAAATTAAAAATGTCAACAAAGGCTGTGTGTTTGATTTTAGATTAACTATGAACTATCTAGTGAACATCTTTGATAAAAGCAATTGTGATTAGTTCAATGCTATCAAAGACTGAATGATTATTTTAGAAATTTAAAGTGAATATATACACATTTAGCATCAAGCAAAAGATCTAGGTTATAATTTTTTTTTTTAATCACAAAAAAAAGAACTCAAGGGAGTGAATCAAGACAGATTTAAAGAATAATTAAAGTAGAGCCAAAAGCTTCTGGAATGGTATGGGAAACCCATAGTGGAATCATGAACAAATGGGTTCGTTGAAGTACTAGCAACTCTATACATAAAGGTTCCAGAGGAATGATAACAATATAAAATGGAGTGCATAACAACATAAAAAATTATACAGTCATACTGGTGATAGATTTCTATAAATACCCTTTGACTTCAATAATAATTGTAATTAGATATGAAATTTAAAAACCATCTTATGTATTGAATATTTATTTAACTGTGATACATATCCTTCAAATTTTATGAAATGTATCATTCAAATTTCTCAAGTTTGAGTAGTTGGCTAGAATCTTAGCATATCCCTGCATCCACCCTACTCTGAGGGGTACCTTAAATTGGGGAAAGTAGAGGTAGCTGGCCATAGTGCCACACTAACTCTTCACATGTCAAGGTCACAGAAACAGGTGAACTCTATTTCACCTGCCCTATGGGACTTCAGATCGAAAAGGGAACTTTTCTTTACTAATACTATTTACAAGTTTTTAACTAAGTTGAATTTACTCCAACTTTTTGCCTGTGGTATAAATTTATAATGAATACCCCCTACCACACATTTACAGATTCTGTTTTTCAAAACTATTACTTAGAAGCAGTAATGTACAAAATACTGAAAAGTGCAGCATTTACTTTGCATAGTTCAACTAACTAATAGTTTTATTTTAAAATAAATTAATCAAGTTAGAAAAAATGAATAATAAACAATGGAAGTGATGCGTAACAAAATTTGTACATAAAATTCATTGTACTGGAATAATGATAAACATTCATTGGAAGAAATACTTCTCAGCTTCAACATGTCTGCATAATATATAAACACTAAATAAATAAGTCTAGTAACATATCATAAGCTCAGTGAGGAGCTCTTTCATGTGTCTATATTTACATTATTACACTAGATTTTCAGGTTTAATAAATACTACATTACATTGAAATACCACTTAATATTTAAAGTGATCATCATATATAAAATGATAGGTTATTCTTCTTCGTAGAATGTAGTTAATACAAGTAAATTAAAAAATTGTAGGCCTTTTTATATTGAGGACTAAACATTTTTTGTCTTGAAATAATAAAAGTATTCGCACTCAAGTTTACTAATTTGAAAATATTGAGAACTATAGTCCAAAAGTAAAGATAAATTTAACAGTATTAAAATTTACCCAGAATATTTTAGGAATGAACAAGAGCAGTAGACGTATGTTTATTAAAGATAGCACCAGTATCTCATACAGCTGATGAGCTACAAGCTCCTTAAAACCTCCCTCTAAAAACATGAAATCCAGTGGCATCATAAGCCAGATATCACAAGGTGCAGTCAACCCACTCTCCCCCCCCCCCCCTTTAACAGTTATGCATATTCAGTTTGGTATCCTGCCTTTTTATTATTATAACTAGATAATACAAATATTTGGCTGTAATTTTTTTTTTTCTATTTGTGTCAGCCTAAATCATGCCACCCAGTGTGGAACCTTGATATGTAATTGATAAAATCCAATGATCTAGCCTTTACTAAAAACTACTCTTTACACAAATTATCTTTTTCATTACTGGTAAAATATACTTGAGTACCATAACGAAAAAAAAAAGCAATTATTAATAGCCATTTGTTCCTTCTGTAAAAGAGAGTTATCTGTTTTCAACTGTTAGATGGTTCATGTGAAACATTCCCTTCTTGACCTCACCTCGATATTTGGCAAGATCTTTTCTTGTCACCATTCCTATTGGCTGAAGAACAAAAGGAAAAATTGAAGAAATATTAATGTGTTTATGTTGTACCCAAAAAGATTTTAAATCCTTATGCCAAATGTTTTTACACTTCAAACATTAAAAATGAACTTAAGAGTTCTAACCCACAAGATTCCCAATCTCTAATTTTTTTACAATGAAAACTATACAGCAGATGTTCAAGCCAACAAAGTTTTAAACCCCCCTCTCAAATATTTAAAAATTACAACTACAAGAGATAGGTTTTAAAATTATTCTAACCAACTAGATTTTAAATTGCTCTCTTTCTACATTTTTATAATTTAAACAATATCATACATGTTCTAATAAATTCTAACCAGCAAGAGCTTAAATTCCAACCTTCCTCCAAATGTTTATAATTTTCTATGCCTGAGATGTTCTAGAGAACTATACTAGATATTTTTATGGTTTCTAATTCACAAGGTGTTTACCTCAAAGTTATCATTGATAACAACAAGGTGCCGAAGTCCTAGACCTCTGAACAGACGAAAGACCCGAGGCATTGAGAAATTCTAAAACACAAGATTTACAAAACTTAATCCATAACTCTATTGATTAGAAAGGAATATGCTTTCCTATTTTAATTTTACATTATCAAATCAAAGCAAAATATAAAATTTGTAGCCTAAAAATAAATTAACTACTTAAAAATATTTTAAAATTGTTATTTCCATATCTTTATGAGTTAAATAATATCTTTGTATACAAGAAATGGTTGAAATGTTCATACACTGAGAAAATTTAGAGTTTTATTCAATTAAAGCAACAACAAAAAACCTCCATACAACATCTAATTATCTCAATAAAAATAGTCTATTTATCTTATTTAAAAACATACAAAAGTTTAATCATCTATACCAAAAACATGCAAAAGTCTAATATTATCTCAAGCCAAAACATACACTTGAAAATTCTAAGTATGTCAATCATAAAATTAGTCTAATTTTCTAAATTAAAAACATTCACAAGCATAACCATCTCAACCAATCAACTGACCAGTGATACTGTGTATGGTGTCTGGTTCATGTAAGGCCTGAAATCCATCACACAATTTCTATCTTCTTCACTCAGCTGAATATCCTAATGAAAAGAATGTTGACATGTAAACCACCCTCAGTATTGTAGATTAAACAATGGTTTTCTTTGAAAAAGTGATACAAGACAGAGTGGTCAAGGAGTAGAGCACTAGAGCAAACCCAACAGTCTTGAGTTTGGATCACAGGCTTGAGTCTGTAGGATGCCTCTGAGTCCATCCAACTCTGAGGGTACCTGACTTATGTTATGGAAACAAGGTGATGAGCACAGTGCTGACCACACTATCCCCATGTATGCCGAGGTCATTAAGACAGATTAACTCTACTTCATCTGCTAAATGTCTTGGGCATGAAAGGAGAATGATGATGAAGTGATACAAGATTAACACTGATATTGCTCAGAGAAACTTTGTGTTTTTTGTGTATTTACATTACACAACTGTCCTGTATTTCAAAATTTTTATAAATACTTTAATAAGATGAATACAGGTTTATATAAAAGGAAACGCATACCTCTATTTTAAGACTTAATGCTACTGGGTATGGGTTCTGAAAATCGTTGAGTGACAAAATTTTAGTAGGTGTTTGGCCTTCTGGACAATAAACCTGAAAAGAAGAAAAAAATGTAATGCATTATTTAAAAAAAAGTTTTAGTGAGGTAATTTATTATGTATTAAGACCAAAACCCTGTTTTACCACAAAACTACAATAAAAACAACAACAAAAAGTATCAAAAACACATAACCCTTAAATAGATTGGGAAATGAAAATAGACTTTAAAAAATATTTTTAAAAATAAGCACATTATGTTGCTTCTAAATTAAATATAATTGTTTTTAAAACAATTTTAATTAAGGTATACACTTTAAAAGCCATGGCTTAAAAGCTATAGAGTAGAATCTACAATGGCTTCTTCTTAAACTTACTTTATTTTTAAGCAGAACCAGAATTTGAGAGCGTAGAATAACACCTTTTAGCTTTCCCTTTTGTGCTGTTGGACCCTGAAACCAAACAAAAGTAAATCTACTAGATCTTTACATGACTTTTTTAAATAAGATAGTCAGAGCACATGTTAATGTTTGCACTAATGCTGACCCCATTAAACTATCCAACCAATGATAGCCTTATTAATACACACGAAATTGCACACAAACAAATAAAAAGTGATCCCGCTTGATTTATGAATGTAAATATAATAAACCAGGAGAGATCTCCCCTAAACTTTCTCAAATATTCTTACATTACACTACGTGGGAAGGCAACTCGGAATATAGACATGATTTTTAATTACTTAAACTTTTAAAAATAGAATAGAATCTTGTAGAAAAAAGAATTGTGCACAAAGTGAACACCAAAACAAAATGTGCATAATAGTGCGGAATATTATTAGTACTTTATAAATTTACATGCGTTTTTGAGAAATCGGAAATAGCGTAAATTACTACTTCCGGTCAACGGAAATTACTCAAAATTTGATAGAAGGTAGAGAATTAGATCTTTTACTTTTACTTACATGTGAAATAGTACTCAAGTTATAGGCTTTTAAAAAATTCAAAGTAGAAAAAGTACCACTTCCGGTTATCAGAAATTGCTCAAAAGTTGATACGGATCTACTATTTTGATAAAATACTTATATATGAAATTTCATCAAGCTAGCCTTATTGGTACTCAAGTTATCGTGTTTACAGACACACACACATACACACAGACATATGGACAAGAGTGCAAAAATATGTTTTTTCGACTCAGTGAGGTGTAAATCGTCGAGATTTGTAAAAATCTCGATTTTGTTTTGCACGATTACAAGACTTTCTCTATACTTCGTATGTACGAGAAAGTAAAAATATCCTACATTTGAATCTAGCTCGATCACAGGAAATCCATTGAAGGTCTCTCCCACGAGACAGTCATAAAGGTTGCCCACTTTTTCTACTGAACACACTGACATCACAGGTTGGCTCATAAAGTCACTGCAAGAAAAAATATTTTTAAAAAAAATGGACAGGTTAGCTCATAAAGTCATTGCAAACATTTTTAAAAAAATCACTGCAAGAACAGTTATTTAAAATACAACATATTCTACAAATTATTCATAAATTCACAGCAAGAACCATTGTTTTGTTTTTTTAAAATAACATATTTATAACAGTGGTTTATAAAGTCAATGCAAGAAAAATTATTTTAAATTAACACATTAAGACAAACAAAATTAAGAGAGTTAACTACCTTGTTTAAAATATTCCTTTAATGTTGGTTATTTAATAAATTGTATGAGATTTAGAGACTTTTTTTTTTCAAATTCAAAAATAAAGCAGTTACTCAATTAATAACTAAAGAGTATAAATAGCAGATTACATAAACAATTCATTTTAAAAAAATATGCTAAACAATAATGTAAAATTGTGTAGAAACAGACCAACTATGGACAGTAGAACTTCTACTGAGAGAACATTTTCATAATGGTTTTTGTGGAAAATACTGACAATTACCTGACATAGACATGGTCACACAAGGGAGGTGGCTCCCATGATAGAAGTGGGATACCACTGACTTCAACATTCATATCATACAGACCCTGGTATAAAATGATAATAAATATGTATTTCAGATAACAATAATTGTAAATATTTTGTTTAAACATAATAGTGCATATTTTTGTTTAAAGGACAGCTCAAAATATTTTTGCTTATAACATTAGTCGTTATATTTTATTTAAATTTAAAACAGTAGATATGTTTTTAACACATATGTAAATATAACCCACAAAACATGAATACATTTTTTTAAAAATTATCATATTTGGATTACTCCCAATCTAGCAGAAGTTATCAAATTTTATCCCAATTTAAATTAACGTAAATATTAAAATAACTATTGTAATAAAACATTCTAAAATTCTTGCCAGATTCTACCAATTGTTATAAAAAAACCACTCAATAATTCTTCCTAGAGATGTGAAAGAAAATAAACAATATAGTATTGTAGCCAGATTTTAACAGTTGTAAAAAAAACCATTCACAAATTTTGCCAGAGAGTTGTAAAAATAACCATTCAAAAATTGCAGCCAGATACTAACAGTCGTAAAGAAATCTCCAACCCACTTTGAGATCATCAGGGCTATCATGATGCAGAGACCAAAGGTTATGTCCCCTGTACACTCCACAATGATCACAGTCAGGGATATAGTGGTTCTCAAACAGCCACCCAGCTGCGAGGCTGCACCTATCAGGGCATATTTACCTACATCTTTGGCCTGGAAATAAATCAAAATCAGAAAAAAAATATTTTAAATGATTTAGACCTCAAAGGGTTAATATAAATTAGTTATATTTAGCTCAACACCATATTAAATAATCCTAAAAAAGTGTTTTTATTATCAGTTGTGTCTGGGACAAGATTATTATTTCAATTATTTCTTGATTTATAAACGGTGATAAAATAATTTGTAAAATGAAAACGTAATTGGTAGAAAATTCAAAATATTTGCTATTCAAACTAAAACTATAAACATCAGGGCGATTGTAAACTTTGCAAATACCCAATGAGTGATGACCAACGTATGTATTTATTTCGTTTGATTAATAAACTAATTTATATTTTTAAACTATTTCATGGTTTTTAACAAACACAAAAACATTAATATGAAATCATTTTGGAACTAAAATCATTACAACAATTATGTTAATGAAAAAAATAGATTACATTAGGTTATAATTTTAATAAGCACTTTTTCTAAATTAACCCCAATGAAACTTGTTATTTTGTTTCAAAATATATTTAAAAAACAACAACAATGAAAAACAGGAGTTAACAAGAAAATTATGGGTTGAAAAGTTTTGTAGAACATATTATAATGCAGTTGGTTTTAATTTTGATATTTTTGCAAGTCAACTCTAATATAACATTATCTTTTTTTTCCAACCATATTAAAAAAAAGAAAACAAAAGTAACAAGAAAACAATGTTTAAAACATGCTTTTAGAACATTTAATAATCTGGTTCTAGTTTTGGCAAGCATACTTCCAAATTAATGTAAATATAACATATCTCATTTTTTCAAAAGTATGTTTTAAAAAAATAAAACCAAGAAATAACAAAGCTTAGAACATGGCACTAGAACTGGAGCTACCTTATGGTTGGAAATCTGTAGGGAAAAATTAACTCAAATAACAAAGAATCAAAACATGAATTCACCTCACAGAAAGTCCATAGAAGGCAATACAAAATAACAGTTGTGATACACTTTGCACTCACTCAAAACAAATTTTGTGTTCGAGCAAGTTTTCATGCACAATAATTTCAGTGTTTGTAAATTTTAAAGACTTGCATGAAAAAAACCCCAAACAAGCTGATGCTCCTGATATACCTTTTAAGAAGGTTTTATTACATAGTCTACTCTTTAATATCTTTGATAATTTAAGAGAATACAATGTAATAAAATCTTTTTAGAATTTTTTTTTTAAAAATGTGCATTAACACAAAGTTTTTTCCAGGCATCTCTTTGATGGGGTGGGGGGGGGGGGGGAGTCTTCCCTAGAAGAAAATGGAATTTATATAGAAAATATATACTTGTATCAGTGTTCAACCCCCACAACCTCACTAGAAATTTTAGCCCCCCCCCCCCCCCCCCAAGAGAAAAAAAATCTGGAAGAAACACTGCATTAAAATAAAATGTAATGATCATCACAGTGTGTTCTAAAACATTTATTTGACTTGTTGATATGATTTAAGATAAAGAATTGTTAATTTAATTTTTTTTTTTTACCAAAAATGAAATTTAAAAAAGAAGAGTTTTTCATACTTCACTATTAACGTGAGGTAATGTAACAGATAGCACAGTAGTGATAAATTTAGATTATTTAAGTGCAAATTCAAGTAATTAATTAAAAAGAGAAAGTGATCAGCTCACCTGGTCAGGGAAGAGCTGGACAACACCAAGGCCAATCAGTCTCCCCCAGCCTGCCCCAATGGCTAGTGAAGGAATGAACACACCGCTGGACACACTCAGGCCGTAGGTCCACACACCCAGCAGGAAAAAGATGACCAGAAATAGCACCAGGGAAAGCACACTATGTGTCTCTATATTGGGAAAAAATATACAGGAATTATGTTGAGCAAATTGAATTTTAATTTGTTATTAAATAGACTATACATTTTTCTAATGCATTTAATGTGAAATTAAATAAAAACAATTACAATGTTACACATAAAAGACAATCTTTTATAGAATATATTTTTTCTAATGAATTATGTATATAGATTAATTTTTTAAAACCAACAACACAATTAATAACACATTAATTACAATGCTTTACAGATTATACATTTTGAACTAAGTAATTCTTTTTTTTTAAACATAACATTACTAACATTTTTTTTGGTACTATTTTTTTTATCTAAGGGAGAAAATCCATCTGTAAAGGGAAGCTACTCAAACACTGTGCTAAAAACTGAATTATTCACCTTTTATTTGTGTCAAGACTATTATTTTTCTCTGCAAACAGTTTTAGCAAAGGGGTGAGGGGGTATGAAGGGCTAAGTATATAATTTAAAATTCATAGGATTTAAGTTTGAATATCAGAGTAAATTAGGCTTGGCATTGCACTGGATATACTGTACCATCATATGTGATTACCATGGTACATTTCCATGTATTTTCACAACACATATTAATACATTTTCAAAACATTTTAAAATATGCCCCTTACAATTGATAAAATGATACAAACTCACTAACCTTGCTTTACGACCAACATAACAATTGACCACATACCTATTGGATCATGCAGCAGTGCCTTGAGACAACCCTCTGGGGTTGTGAGAAACAGGGTTGACATGGAGTTGTGAGAGCCACCACTGCAACCCATCTGATATAAAACAAACAAGACATCAACAAAGGCATCAATATTATCAATAATGCAACTAAAGGTTGCATGTAATCTAGTGAAAAAATACTTAAAGGGGAATAACTTCCATTATATAAATCAGAGTAGGCCATGATCAGTGGTAGAAAGTCCATACACTTTAAAATAGCCAAAATTTTATACTTGATTTAGAGATTTTTTTTCTCGTTTAAGTTAAAGAATCAAAGATTAGATTTTATACTATGTATTTATATAGGTAACAGATAATTGGGAAAATTCAGGCTTTAATTTTTAGCACTTCCTTTTTTAGATTGCTAAAACTTTAAACATTAACCAAGGCAGCAAGTAAGCCAAATACTTAAATTTAATACATGAAATAGTTCAGTACAACCTGGTAATGTTTACCTGTGTTGTGATGGCATGGTCGTTGTAAGGCTCTGAGGTAGTGCAGTCCTTGACAGTGAACATGAGTAGAAAGGCAGCGATGCCACTGACCACTGAGACCAGGGTGGCCTCCAGGACTTTGATCCAGCGCTTCTTGTGCAAATATCTGGGTACATACAAGCCAATAATTTACTAATTAATTTTCTCTTCCCAACAACTAATTAATAACTTGAAACTATATAAACAGAAAAGAATATCAGGGTATTTGTGAAATTCGTTTTCTATGTCCCTTACCCCTGCTAAAGTCTGTTTTTAATTAATGTAGAAAACATGGATTAACATTTAGATACTAAAATATTACATAAAGGCCTTAAGACATTATCCATGAAATAAATAAAATCCATAATGTAAAACAACATGTTTGTATAATTTTTATTCTTGAAATATATTCTATGTGATGATATACAATCATGTTAGCACATAATCGTGAAAGTCATAAGTTACCCGCACCCCAGCAGTAAAATAATTTATTTTTGTAACATATTGGGACTTGTGAAGTCAAGGGAACTCACTCTTCTGTATTAGTATTATATTATATTGTTATCTTGAGTGATGTCCCTTACATGTTGTTACGTATATAAGTCTCTCGTCACTTCCGTCTAACCCTCTTTCCTCAGGGTGTGAATAAACTACTGTTAACAATCAATGTGGCTTCTCGTCAGTGATTACAATCTAGCACATTGGCGACGAAGGATAAATAATCCACTAGAAAGAGCACCTACTTACGCAAAAAAGAGGTTTGCTAGAGCATATTAGCTAAGTATTTCTAGAATAATGGCGCTGTATGGCCAAATAAAAGAATTTGATTCGAATGATGAAATCATTCAAGATTACCTAGATAGGTTAAGCTTTTACCTTGAAGCTAACGACGTGACGATAGAAGCCAAAAAGAGAGCTGTTTTGTTAACAGTCATAGGGCCTCAACAATTTAGGCTACTAAAAGACTTATGCGCACCAGCTAGTCTAACTACCAAGAGCTTTAACGAGCTGAGCAAATTGCTAACAGACCACCATGCGCCTACCCCATCAAAGTTTCTATGTCGAGCTAGATTTGACAGTAGGACTCGTCAACCAAACGAGTCAATATCAGAATATGTTGCTGCTTTACGTCATTTAAGTAAATTTTGTGAATTCGGCGATACGCTGTCTGACAGACTATGTGAAAAGTTTGTGACAGGTGTAAACAGCCCTGATATTCAAAGAAAGTTGCTGCTCGAGTCAGATCTAACATTGGAAAAAGCAATACAACTCGCAACTTCATTCCAGCAGTCATCCGAGGCGGCGAGATCTCTAGCACCTTCAGAGATCCATGCAGTAAACAGCAGGTTAGTCAACAAACACCAACCTCATCAGAGCATTCCAACTTATGCTAAACAGCCTGCACGTTTAAAGCCTAGATCTAAATCTAGTAATAATTATCAAAAATGTCATCGATGCAAAGGTCCCCATGCATCTCATCGATGCAAGTTCAAGTCTGCAACTTGTTATAAGTGCAGTAAGCAAGGTGACATTGCCAAGGCCTGCTTTGCAAAGTCTTCGTCTGTTGCTAAATCTAGCCAGTCAAGACAGTACCGCAACCAAAGGCAGCACTATGTTAACTCTCACCAAGACTACCTAACCCAACCAATGAACCACTCTACCTGTGAAAATGCTCAAACTGATTTGCAGCCGGAGTTCAACCTGTTCCCTGTGAAATCAGAAAGTCATGCTCCCATCAATGTACTAGTTAATATCAACGGTAAGAGCATCAGCTTCCAACTTGACACTGGAGCATCTCTAACAGTCATAACAAAGAAAGATTTTGACGCTGTCACAGGAGGATCAGTGCCTCTACAGCCATGTCACAAGTGTCTAACAACATACACTGGTGACAATGTTCCGGTAATAGGAGAGTGTATGGTTCATGTAAGTTATAATGGTCAAAGTGTTAAACTTCCTCTTCTTGTGGTTGAAGGAAATGGACCACCATTACTAGGTAGGAACTGGTTAAGTGATCTTAAGTTAAATTGGGAGAGTATATGTTCATTGAACAATGGAAAAGAATCTAGTCTTACTTCACTAGATAAAGTAATATCCGAAAATAAAAGTGTTTTTGGCAATTCAGGTTTACTAAATGATAGAACAGTGAAGTTAAGCATTAAAGACACAAATCTAAGATACTGCAAAGCTAGAGTTCCACCTTATGCAATGAGGAATAAAATTGAAAATGAGCTAAGTAGATTGAAATCTAATGGCATCATAAAGAAGGTAGACTATTCCGATTGGGCAACGCCCATTGTGCCAGTGTTAAAGAAGGATGGTTCTATAAGAATTTGTGGAGACTATAAAACTACACTGAATAAGCAAATAGAGCTAAATAGGTACCCTATACCTAACATTGAGGAAATTTCTTTGAATTTGGCAGGAGGAGACAAATTCACTGAATTAGACTTTAGTCATGCTTACACTCAACTAGAACTGCATCCAGATTCAAAAATTCTATACGACAATAAACACACATAAAGGACTCTACCAATATGAAAGACTATGTTTTGGCATATCATCTAGCCCTGGAATTTTCCAGGCTGTCATGGACAGTATTTTTAAGGATATTCCAAATGTTTGTGTTTATTTTGACAATGTGTACATAACTGGTAAGAATGACACTGAACATCTTAAAACACTTGATAAAGTCTTGAAAATTGTTGGTGAAAAAGGTTTAAAGATAAACAAAGATAAATGTCAATTCATGCTGACAGAAATTAGTTTTCTTGGTTATATATTAAGCAAGCAAGGCATCAGACCTCAACCTGAGAAAACAAAAGCCATTAAAGAAGCACCCAAACCTGAAAATACCCAACAACTAAGAGCTTTTTTGGGCTTGATAAATTACTATGCAAAGTTCATAGGGAATCTGTCTGGTAAACTATCACCACTGTACAAGCTGCTACAGAAAAATGCAACTTGGCACTGGGGTAAACAACAAGAAGCTGCTTTTAATACAGCAAAAGAGGCTTTGTCTTCTGACACCTTACTAACTCACTATGACCCAGGGAAAAGACTTGTATTAACATGTGATGCTTCACCAGATGGTGTAGGAGCAGTCTTGTCCCACATGGATGAGAAGGGTGACAGACCCATTGCTTTTGCCAGTAGATCTTTGAACCAGGCTGAGAAAAATTATTCTCAGTTAGATAGGGAAGGCTTAGGCATCATTTTTGGTGTTAAGAAATTTCATAAGTTTCTGTTTGGTAGGAAGTTCACCATCTTTACAGATCATAAACCATTGCTAGGTTTATTTGGAGAAAACAAAACCCTACCTGAGCATGCCTCACCAAGAATTCAAAGATGGGCTATCACACTAACTGCATACAATTATGAATTGAAATACAAACCTGGATCTGAGAATAGTGCAGATAGTCTTAGTAGATTACCTTTAAAAAACCAAAGCCTTAGTTATGTACCAGAAGATGTATTTGTTCTCTTCACTATCATGGATAACTCCAATATAAATGTGAATGATATTAAAAGAGAAACACAAAAAGATGAGTGCTTAATAAAAGTATATGAGTACTGTAAAAATGGTTGGCCTGAAGAGTCTGTGAATGATGACTTAAGGCCATATAAAATAAGAAATAAAAACCTTTGTGAAGATAATATAAAAGATGGACAAGATGCAATCCATTATTAGTCAGAGTTGACTAAACAAAGTATTTGTAACTTAATAAATGATTATGGTGATATGGCAATTTCAAATGCTTTTAAAGAGAATACATTAGTAAGAAGGAATGTGATCATCAAACAACTTTGCTAACATCATTAGCACTTACAGAAACTAAAAGGGTAACATCAAAAGAAAAGAAAAAGATTTTTGCCATTTAATACACCCACTTCAAATACTGGATCACAGTTGCAAAGTGATATGGTCCAGGATATTACTTTTAAACAGTATTTTTAGTTACAAAAAAAAGCACTATCAGATTACCTGAGAAAATTGATCAATCAAAGAAATCTATGTCAGTCAAGGATCTGAATAACAGCATAATACTTCCAGATGCCAATTCAAAAATAGTTCCATTAAATCATGACAAAACATGCATTGAAAGAGAATTTGGTGTTAATGAGAATGTGTATCTAAGAATTTATGGGAGAAAGGAAAAATGGATACCAGGTCAAATTGTTCAATGTACAGGACCTGTGTCTTATAAAGTAAAAACAAATGATGGACTTATTGTCCGTAGACATGCAGACCAGTCAAAAATAACTTGTGCAGATAATAAGTGTGAATCTGTCAATCCCACCAAATCTGATCAGTTCACACCAACTCAGTTGTTCCACAACCAAGTTCTGTTGATATGAGTGAACCAAGTTGTCTAGAGTCAGAAAATGTAAATTCTGGAGTTAATGATTTAAATCTTAGACTTCCTGAGATAGAGAATCCAGATGGTCAGAATATTGAGTCACCAAATCAAAAGCCACTGAGAAGGTCAAACAGGACAATCAAGGTCCCAAATAAGTTAGACCTATGATTTTAAAGGTCAAAAGGACTTTGACATCATTGTTTGTATTTTAATTATGTTGTAACATATTGTGCATTGTTTGTAAGGATGTAATCTACCATAGTGTTCATGTTACAATATAATTGGTGATTTTAGGATACTGTAAATTGTTCTATTGAGAGATGTGTTGTGTTTACTAAGGGTAAAGGGATGTAACATATTGGGACTTGTGAAGTCAAGGGAACTCACTCTTCTGTATTAGTATTATATTATATTGTTATCTTGAGTGATGTCCCTTACATGTTGTTACGTATATAAGTCTCTCGTCACTTCCGTCTAACCCTCTTTCCTCATGGTGTGAATAAACTACTGTTAACAATCAATGTGGCTTCTCGTCAGTGATTACAATCTAGCACAATTTTAGCACACGAACTATGATTTAATTTGCAAGCAAGACACTCACCTTTGCCTGAAGATTGTTAGCTTATAGTTCATGGCTACAAACAAGGAACCCAATAGACCACCTAAGGAAAAAAAAAATAATTTCTTCAAAATTTTAAATTATCAAATTATTACATTTTTCAATTCCCAGTATAAATTTTTTCCATTTTTTAAACTAAACAATTCAGTATTTTCTTTACATTTTCTCAAATTTTAGAGTTTGCTTTTTACTAATATTTTCATATTACTATACTTTTATTTAAAAAATTGAACTAGCAAAGGTTAAAGCTTGACCATTACCTACTGCTGCCATAAGGATGAAAACAGGAATTTCAATCAGGTCAAAGGTCAGGTTCTGTAAAATAAATATTAAAATGTTACACTTACAGTAAACAGATTCTACAAATTCCCAAGTAGTCAAAATAAACCACAAGACAAGAATAAACTCAAAAGACATTTTTAAAAAAAAATCAAATTCCAAAAAAAAGTTGCTATTTCAAATCTTGTAATGACTTGACATGCTCGTATTTACCAAAATAATTTTGAATAAGTTTTCACACAACAGAAAACACTTACAGGAAATGTGTTAAAGCGCACTAAACCTGGATTGGATAGGTGGGTTGGGTGACCCTCAAAGGCACTTAGCAAAAAGTTTGTGGAAAAACACGCCACCATAGCTGAGAAAAACTGAAAAAAAAAATGTCATACATTTTTACAAACATCAGTGTGTACTTTTGAAGAGAAATATTTTAGTATTAAAATGTAATGAAACAGTGTTTTAAAGGCTTATGTTATATAATATATAGTTCTGCATATAAAGTGTATGGGGTCATCCATAAATGAGGTCACGCTGTTTTGGCGATTTACCTCCCCCCCCTTTCCCTTCGTCACATATACTCACCAAAAGCCAGACACCCCCCTAAAATGACGTCACACCTCTGGCTACAATCCCCCACCCCCCTCAAAATTGCAGTTACATTTTTCTTAAAATACGATATTTTTTCAAAACCTTTTCTGAACTCTATCAACATATTTTAATCAATTCCTACTACAATTTATTAAAACAGTATTCTAAAATGCGAAATAACGGCTAAAATTCGTTTTCTAACATTGCTTTTTTTATAATGTAAAAGTGGGACGACCTCCCACCCCTCCCCACCCCCTGATCACTCACCTTCACAAAATTACGGACTCCCCCCTCCCCCCCTACGAGTGTGACGTCATTCATGGACGACCCCTATCTAGAATTCTTTATATTAATTGTTATATATATCTATATAAGGATAGAAGAGGCGTAGCGAGGGGGGGGGGGGACATATGTCCCCGAGCGCCGACCTTAGGGGGGGGGGCGCCAAATTGAAAGTTTGAGGGGGGGAGTGCAAATGAAAAGTTCGAGGGCGGGGGGGGGGGGTGCAAATCTAAAGGAGCGGGGGGGGGGGGTGAAAATAAAAAGTTAAGTTCGAGGGGGGTGCAAATCGGAAGTTTGTCCCCGGAAAAGGCCGAAATTCTCAAATTTGGCATGAAAAAGTTCGGAAGTGGCCAGATATAAACAGGATGACGGACATCGCAAAGCATTATCGCCTACAATGTCAGAAAAATATTTTCAATACCTCCCTCAAAGTCTATTGAAACGATGTATTTGCCTCTAACAGAGTTTGAAAATACTTGTTTTTTTTTCCTTAAAGTATTTAATAAACCGGGAGTGATCTCCCCTAAACTTTCTCGAATATTCTTATATAAAATAACAGGGGATGGGAACTCGGGCTATAGACATGATTTTTAATCCATTTTAAATACTTAAAGTTTTAAAAATAGAATAAAATCTCGTAGAAAAAAGATTGCACACCAAGTGAACGCCAAATAAAAAAAGTGCATAATAGTGCGCAATATTATTAGTACTTTAAAAATTTACATTAGTTTTTTGAGAAATCGGAAGTAGCGTAAATTAGTACTTCCGGGCAACGGAAATTACTCAAAATTTGACAGAAGGTAGAGAATTAGATCTTATACTTACATGTGAAATTTAATTTATCTATCTGAAATAGTACTCAAGTTATAGGCTTTTGAAAAATTCAAAGTAGGTAAAGTACCACTTCCGGTTATCGGAAATCGCTCAAAAGTTGATACGGATCTACGATTTTGATAAAATACTTATATATGAAATTTCATCAACCTAGCTGTAACGGTACTCAAGTTATCGTGTTTACACACGGACAGACACACACACACAGACATACGGACAGAATTGCAAAGCCCAGTTTTTCAGACTGGATTACGCATAAAACCTCTTAATTTTGATAAATCTGGATTGATAATTTTTGCCCGATTAAAATAAGTCCTCTATACTTCGGATGTGATGAAGGACTGAGGTGTAATACGGTGAAAATTGTTAAAATTTCAATTGATTTTTGTGCACGATTACAATACTTTCTCTATACTTCGTATATACGAGAAAGTAAAAATGCTTGTTCGACTAGAGCAGATAGACACTTGTAGCTAAAAAAATGCGAATCAAACCAACCACTTTCCACACCAGCTCAGTGTTCCAGAAGCTTGCAGCCTCCTCCACGCTGAACAAAGTCCCACCAACTGGGGCGCCAAAAGCAGCAGACACACCAGACGCAGCCCCGGCAGCAACTAAATCACGAATTTTATGATCCGTCCGGAATATTCCATACAGCTGAAACATTTCAAATTATTCGGGACATTTTATTCTGGCTTTAAAGTATTAAAACCATGCCGTTTAAAAATAATGTTTAAGGTTCATTAATTCGTTTGGCAAACCTACACTAATGTCTTTTTTAAACCACGGTATCCTCCCTTTGCCTATACCAGCGGCTATAATACCTCCCGAGTGGGCCATTGGTCCTTCCTGTAAAAAAAAAAAAAAATTTTAAAGTTTAAGTTTTGAAGTTTTAGAAAATAAAACAAATAATAACACGTTTTCCAAAGTTTAAGTTGTACAATATTTTATTCTAATTGTTTTTTATAACCTTAAAAAATTTTAAATGAATAAAAGACATTTAATTGAGTTAAAGAACTGTAAGGAACAAAAAACAACAAAAAACTATAAGAAAAAAAGAAGGAAAAAAAATCCAAAAAGAAGAACCAAGAAAGAAATGATCTACCTTTCCACAGGCCAGTCCACCTAGAATTGAGAGCACCACCCCCACACATTTGGCAACGAAGGCACGAAGTGACAGAAGACCAGGGATCCGGACGCCATTTAAATACGATTTTATCAGCGGTATACCACTGCCGGCTGCCATTGGCTGTTTGAGTTTGAAAGAAATAATATAATTAGTGTTAATAATTTTAAAATGCCTTGCTTCTTCGTTATTTTATTGTAATGTTGGATGGTATTTCCAATTTTTACTAGTCGACTTATTGAATCAAATTTCAGACTGCTTTTCTTTCTGGATTTGCTTTCATGGCCTTTGTCCAACCAAAAACAAACTAAAAGGCAGCAGTTGTTTAATTTTGGAGTTTCCTTTTCTAGATGGGTTGCTGTCCCTAGCTAACGAGCCTCATCTGCCCCGAGGTTCGAACTCGAGCGTTTTCGGTTCATCAAGCATCAGCTTGACCCGACCACGCCTACCAGTTTCTTTGCCCATTTTAAAAATGTAATATAAATTTTAGGTTAAAATAGCCATATTTTAAAATTATATCTCTGAAACCTAGTAATTTGAGTAAATTTAAAACCGACCTAAAATGTTCTCAAGAGAAACCAATAATAATTTCCTTTAATGTCTATGTGTTAACAACACACAGCAACAGATGTCAGAGCAACGATGGAGGCTAAAAATACTTTATAAACACCAATTCTAAATTCGTTGCCTTAATGGGCTGTATGTACTGACGCAAATAGAACAAAAACAAGTCGATACATTGGGGAGGGGATGGGTGCTTTCCCCTTGCTGAATGTTGTCGTATGGCTTCGCGCATCTGTTAGGAGGAAATGGAAAGTCTAGAACGGAACTAAGCTCCAATTTGTTCCCAACATATCTCGGTGTATTTGTGTGGGAGGGAGGGGGGGGGGGGGTTGAAAGAGGGGCTGGATAGTGTATTACACTCAAGTTTTCAAGATGTTATTAGAGTGGTGTGATTTTCATTTCAGAGGTCGCAAATTATTTTCATATTTTCTTTCTATTCACGCTTAAAAATAAATAAAAAGAACATTTTTTTTTTAAAATTTTAAGTTAAAAAAAAAAGAATTATAAAATTTATAACTTGGATAGATTCAATTTTTTAATTGACAAAACTAGTTAATTATTCTTGATCTGTAATTAAAAAGCGATAATTATATTCTCAAATTTGCAAATTATTTTCAAAGACATGTAAAAGCTATAAATGGGGTTGTTTCGATTTTGTTATGAACACAAATAGCAAAAAAAACGCAAAATATTCTAAAATTTGCCAAAAAAAAACGTGAGTTAATTAATCACAGGCTTGTTTTTATATTAAAAAAAAATGTGTAGTGACTACATAGAAGACTAAACCCCTGATAAACAGAGAGTAGACTAATGAAGAAGAACAACACACTCTATTTTAAGCCTGTGAAATAGATTACGGGCGTAATAATGCACACTTAGCAGAAATCTTATTCCTTGTCTCTATATCGTCACATGTCGATACAAAAAGCCAATCTCCCCCCCCCCCACACACAAACGTCTAAAGTTCTATCCCCATTCCTAAAAATAATATCTAACCAAACTATTATTTAGCTTACAATTTTGATTGCTTTAAAAAAAGGCTATGTCACATATCTTAAGGCCCAATCTTTCACCCCTCCCCCAGAAACACAAGTCTAACACCCGCCCATATGTAGCCTACACGTGAGAGCATTTACAAACGATCCTATGAACAAAGTATCGATACAATATTTTGTTTAATTGTATAGACAGAAATTAACACTAACGATACAGTACCCTTCCAAATAAAAAATAACGAAACAACAACCAATACTTCGACCACAAGTCTTCGTCAGATCGAACAATAAAATTCAGATAAAACAACATAATAAAAATGTGTCTTAAAGACCCCCATTAATTTGAAAACAAATCTAATAAATACCTATGTGATTAAAACAATTAATTAAATTGATCTAATTATTAAAAACTTGATTACCTGAAGGAAGGTGACGAGAGAGGAGCCTAGCAGTGTAATGACAGCATTGATACAGATCCATATCATGGCAGGCTGTATCAGGCAGTCCCCCTTATCTGTGCTGCATTTATCTAGGTCTGTTCACTTCGTCAAGGATATCATTAGCTTGGTGTATTGAATATTTCTTTAACAATTATTTTCATTCATTTAAAACATTTACTGTTAGCTATCTTACAAAAATAAATAAAAAGCTGTTACCATAAAAAATCGCAGAAGGTCAATAGCAACATTAATTTAATAGCAGGTTAGCCTACTTGTGTGTGTGTGTGTGTGAGTGTGTGTGAGTGTGTGAGTTGTTTATTGTAAATTAGAGTAAATTAGTGGAAATTTTCATTGAAAATGAACGCTAGTTATGTCGCAATTGAACGCTGTTAAATAAAATCGAGACAAATAATTAAGATACCATGCTTTAAACATGACTTACTTATTGCTTACGTTTTAAATATACTATGATAAACGTTGCTTTTTAGCAGGTCTACCTAAACAATTCGACGTGACTTTTAAAAATATCCATAGACTTAGGGTTAGGGTTATGGCTATGAGGGTCAAGGTTATGGTTAGGGGTTAGAATTAAGGTTTATGGTTAGAGTTAGGGCGACAACTTGACCGACTTCCCCGTGTACTATAACGTATTTACTTCAAGCCGTCACAAGTAAGCTATTTAGTAAAAGGTCTATTAGTAAACATCCATCTCATCAAGTGGACATTTACCTGGTCTAGTTATCGGACAACAAATGTCATTTGTTAGAAAATATCCGGCCTAGTTGTAAGACAACATTCATCATTTGTGAGAAAATCTGTAAACAACAGGGCACATCAACATAGCCAGCCTAAATTTAGACATCTCGTTTTATCCCGTCTATTCCCGTTACACGACCTGGTCAAATAATGCTATACAATCACAAGTGAGCAGTAGAACCTATATTACCCTCCCCTCCCACCCTGCTCAGAGTGAGTAATTGTAGCTTGTAAAAAAATCTCAGATATGTAATTATGTGTTTTACACGATCTTTTAAGCACGAAATCTGCTCAACACTAGGTATAACAAGTACCCGTTGGCTGTATAAAAAAAAAACTCTAAAGGCTCGCTGATGATCCTATCTGCACACAATAGAATCATTAGAGTTGAAATAAAACATCAGCTTGAATCTCTATCACCCGGCAAGTGATATTAGTGATATACTCCTCGATCATTCACCCATCACCACTCCCTTCCACCCCTTCTCCTATTCAACCCTTTCCCAAACACAGTATCTGCCAACACGTTAATAAAATATTATTTACGAGCCGACCCGCGGCGTATCATACGCCGCTATTTAGTTGTTTTATTTTCTACTTTTCAGTAATTCATAATTTGTGAAATCGACAGTACCACTGCCGTCACTGAAAATATTTGCTTTATAACACTATCAGTAAGTCGTTAAGGACGATAACCCCCCCCCCCCCCGCACCTTCCCCCCCCACCCCCCGTGAAAGCAGCCTCCTCTTAGTTACCTCCCCTAAGTTTAAAATCGTTTCAAACTAAATTTTCTGCCCCTAATAGCCGTCACTAAACCTGGCCCTACGAATGTAAACATTTAGGCGTGAACCACAGCTCACCAGACATCATAGAGAGGGGACTGCAAGGCGCGCTTATAGCTTGTTTTCTAACGTCTCCCAGAAGAGAATTATATATATATATAGATTATATTAACCCTGCATTTTTCCACACTTACACTTTTAGACGTATCTATTCTACATTCTCTTAACCTCATCCGTTTCTCAGTGAGGTTTCAACATTACGTGCAACAGTCTAGTTTCTGTAGATACTATACGACCCAGTGTCCCAATATTGACATCACCCCAACTTTCGTTGCACCTAGATCTACATTGTTAGGCCAAGTTAGCGGTCTCCGAATAATCTCTTGACATTTTCTGCTCCCTATACTTTCTGTACCACCATACGGCGCACGCAATATGATGTCATTTGTTTGAAGATGCATGCGATTATGTGTTTTCCGAACGGACACTTGCTCTAATTCGACAAATGCCCGAAAGGATTTGTCGCATTCGGGCAAGTCTCCATTTGGGCATTTGTCGCATTCGGGCAAGTGTCCATTCAGGCATTTGTCGCATTTGGGTAAGTGTCTTTCGGGACTTTGTCGTAGACCCCAATTAAACATTTAAAATGACATGCCCTAAAATGTTGTTTTAAAAAAAAAGATACAGGTTTTGATGAGGTTAAACTTCTGATGCGCTATAAGTTCAACAGAAATCTGCACCCCGGCTGCCATTAGTGCTGTCCCGATGCCAATAGCGAAGTAAACAAACCAGTTGCTTAGCAACTTGAGCACGAGCTTCCGCTGAGGAAGAAAAAAAAAACAATTGGTATAAGAATATTTAATGGGTGTTTAGAATAATAATTTATAGTATTAATTTTATAGCTTTAGGTGATCAGTGTTGTTAATTCCTATTTAAATTTCAACCTAACTCAACCTGATCGATCTTGTTTCGGCCAAGCAAGCATAAAAAAAAGTACAGCTAAAGAAATTGTGAGGGCAGATAACTTTTGCTAACGCTGCGTAAGTTCTCTCCAACGTTTGTATTCTTGAGTTACCGTTCTTTGTTGACGTGGTGAGTTATTTTGTATTTAGAACATCGACCTTCCCATCACGATAACAACAATATTTTACACTATATCCGGGTACTAATCAATTTCATTAATTCTGAATACACTTTTTTCTTCCTCGTTCGGTAATTCTAGAGTTTGAAGGGATCCCCCCGAACACATTTAAGTATTACTTGTCAACTTGTTATGCGCAAAATAGGCCGTTGATTCCGATTTCAGCCTGCTTTTCTTTTTTGGATTTGCTTCCATAGCCGTTGTCCAACTAAGAATAAACTACAGTTGTTTGATTTTGGAGTTGTCTATCCTAGAAGAGTTGCTGTCCCAAGCATTGAGCATCATCTGCCCGAGGTTAATTAAGTTGATTATATAAATTTAGGGTTGGTTTAAACAATCTGATGCTGACGTACCTTCGATGTTTTTTCTTCATTCTTTTTTCTCTGCAGTTGACTGTCGATCTCCTCATAGTTCATACTCTGAAACATAAAAGAGGGAAATTAAATGTACGAACCAGAGATGCATGACATTTAGCCTAACTAGGAGATTATTGAGCCAGCTCAGCGCTAATGAGTACCCAGCATAAAATGGGTCATAGGGCTAGCTATACAAGCACGTTACATCCTCTACACCAACAGTACAGTAAACGGAATGGGTGGTGCGGGGGGGGGGGGGGGGGGAGGGGGGGATGTTTCACGGGTGCATTAAACCCATTTTACTTTTTAAAAAATTATTTATGTCTGTCATTTAAAGTCTACAAGCCATATATTGAGTTGTTTGTTGTTTACTAAAAACTTATACAAGAACTTACTTGATAAAAGGCCTATTTTAATGTACTGGTAGCACAGTGTTAACTTATATAAGCGTTTAATAAATAAAAGTAAACATAAGACATCACATATTCAGTACAAAAAACTTCAGCGATCGGCGTAGCGTGGTATTCTCAACACATGTAGATAAAAAAAAAACACGTGACGTCATTGGGGCTTATCTATGGAGTGCCCACTTAAGTTGGTTATCTTTTGGAGTAGCTAGCAACCTTTGTTTAGTAACTCCAGGCTGTCTTCGAAATGAGAGTTACCGCTCTTAGTTGAATTGATGAGTTGTTTTTGGGTTTGGACGAATTAAGAGTTACCGTTCTTTGTTGAAGTGGTAGTTGTTTTGGATTTAGAAAAGTTACCTTCCCCCTTTTTAATAAAAAAAAATTACATCGCGTTGTACCCGGATATTAATCAATTTAATTATTAATCAAGTAGATTATATGTTTTTTGTCATTTACATTTTATTCATAAACATGTTGTTTTTTAACATTCGTTTGATATATTTTTCCTAAAGCGGTTTCTTAAAACTAGAAATTAATTAAGAAATTAAAATTAGGTGGATTAAAAAGAATAACTTTATTTTTTTAGAACCTTTAGTAGGAAAACAAAAACACCATAAGTGAAAATCTACCTTTAATGGTAAATTACTTACCTCCCATTTTGAATGCAGACGTTTACGAAAACGAGGCGAGTCTTCGCCATATTGTTTCCATCTCTTGGCCACATCCTGTTGACGTAATCGAAACATTAAAACATAAATTTCATGATTGTTAACTTGTATTTTTTAGCGTGCTCTCCGTAATCGAAAAGTAGAATCTTGTTGTAATGAAATAATGTATTAATTTAACCTATTCCTATTGGAACCAGATAGAGACAACGAACAGTTATATCATTAAAGCTATAGGAGAGAGATATTAAATATAGAATCGAGTTTCTCCGATAGACCAGCCATCTTTAATTTTAAAGCGAAGCCCTGACCCATGAAGTTTGAAGTTAAATTCGGCTTCGATCTTACCAGCTGTCCATATATAACAAGATTTATATTTAGTGATGTACTATTTTATTTTTACTGTG